ATATAAGAGGTCCGTATAATCTGTGATTTATACGGTCGATCGGGAAAATATACGTAATAAATTTTATTACCGTTATATCTAATTATTTTCCCGTTTTCGGTAATAACTCCGAATTTATCGGAGTTTTTACGGATTTTTTTCGGTTTATAAATTAAAACCGGTATTCCTAAGGTATGGATTTAGGATAAATCAGGCGTATTATCCTTTTTTGGCCAGAAATAATCGTAAAATTCCTAGTAAAAAATAAATAAACCGGATGCCGTAGCAGTAAAATTTATTAAATAAACTATTGCTTTTGTAACGAATTCCTAGAGGTTTTTTCGATAATAATCCGGTTTATACGTTTGGCTATACCGTTTTATTTTAGTATATAAAAGGTTATAAGTTCGAAAATAATCCTTTTTTCGGTTAAATAATTTTTTAATTTAACCGGAGAAAACTCCCTACCGTTATTTATACGAATAATATTCGGATATTTTCCGAATTAAATTTTATAATATTCGATTTTATTTATTACGATATCGAATATATCGGATTTTTTTTTTAGAAAATTTAATTTTCTAAAATCCGGTTTTATTATCCGTAAAATTAATTATATATTTATAATAAAAATAGCTAAAAAGGGTAATATAAACCGTATTAATATAAATACAATATAACGGTTTATTAGCCTTATTCGGATTCGTACGGGGCTAGTTTCGGGTGAATTTTCCCGAAATATAGGATTTATAGTTTAAATCCTTTTTTTTTAATTTTTTTTAGGAATTCCCGTAATTATTTTAGCTGTTTTAGCTAAGATATTATAGCTAAAATAGCTAAATCGTTTATGCTATTTTTCCGTAGCTATAAGGAAATTCGAATAATTCGAAATTAATTCGATTTCCTCGAAATCCGTAGTTTCGTTGGATTTTATATTATCCGAATTCGGTTCCGGGTAATTTAAACCGATTATACGGGCTTTTTTTACTATTTTTAGTGGATTTATAGCTAAATATACTATATTAGGCTCTGATTTATTAGCCAAGTATAGGAAAAATCTACGTTTTTTTTTAATTTAACGTGGTAAAAAGCCTGTTTTTGGAATTATATAATTTATTCCCATTTATAATACCGCCTTTTTAATAATATAATTAGCCGGATATAATATTTAGCGGAAATTCCGGTACATAAAGCACGTTTAATAACGTTATTTTATATATTTCCCGGTTAATTTTAAAAAAAAGCGTAATATTTCTAATTCCTTTTAGAAATACTTTTCCATTATTTGTAATAATCGGTAAAAAATCCGATTTTATAATAAAATTATCGAATAAATTCTTATTATTCGATATATGCTTTAAAAAACCCGTATCGTATAATTACTAATTTTTAAGGAGGGTGGTTAATTTCTTTTTTTTTAAATTATTCGAAATATTCGAAAAAGCATAAAACGATTCGTTTTCGTTTGAATCTTCGTTACGGGGTAAGTTTCCCCGTTTTTTGGATTTTTGGTTCGTAATAGATATAGTCGAATTTAAATTATTTAACTTATTCGAATTATTCGAATTATTGGAATTATTCGAATTATTCGATTTTTTCCCTTTATTCGATTTATTCGAATTCTTCCTATTTCCGCTTTAGGTTTTTTATTAATTCTAATTGGATCGGGGAAACCGGAATTTCTTATTATTATTAATATAATAAAAATTTCCTATAGCCGTATCCGGATTCCGTCGGTTTTTATCCAAAATATCCGTAATTAACCCTTCGAAAATAAATAGATTTATAGACCGTAAAGCATTATATTAACGGTTAGCCTATATAGGGTAAGCTAATTAGAAGGCTGTAATAAAAATCGTCTTTTAATCGATATTATCGATTTTAGCCCTAACGCTTAAAAGCTTTAAAATATATCCTTTAAAAATGGATATAAATTCGTTTAACGAATTATAATTCTCGAATTTAATAATATAAAATTCGAGATATAATTGCTAACGTAATATAGGTCCGGTGCCTTAATAGGCTAATTATAAAATCGATAAGGCTTTATATAGATTTATTTTATTAAATATTAAATTTAACGGTTTTATTATTAAATTTTAACGAATTAAAAGCAATATTTAGGTTTTTTAAATATCGGTTATACCGTTATATATATCGGTAGTTTTAAAAAACCGATCGATTCCTAATAATTTAAAATATAACTATAACGTGGATTTCTACGTATTCTAATTTCCGGATCCGGAGAGTTTCTGTTTCTCCGGCATCTGGCATCCGGTAATAGTACGGATAAAATTATTTATTTTGCCGAATTTTTGCCGTTATAACGGTATAATTATCGTTAAAAACGGTAAAGGAATCGTTAAGAAAAATAAAAATAAAAAAATTAATTTTTTATTTTATCGATAAAGTATATAATAGGATTTAGGTGCTATAATATAATATAGCAGGTGCTATAAGGTGCTATAATAGATCGGTTATTATAGTAAGGATTAGTTATAAATAACTTTATAGCCGTTATATGGCTATAACGGGTAAAATCATTATAAATAGCTATTTAACTATAGTTTTCGATATAGTTACGGCTATATAAGCTTAAAATAAAGCTTATAAAATCGGCTATTATAACGGAATTCCGGAGTTTACGTTATATTAATTCGTCCGGGAAAACGGCTATAATTTTCGATATAATTTAAATCCGGTATTTAAATATAATCGATATTATACCGGACCGGGCTTATAACCTATTCTAAGGTATAATTGGTGGATTATAAATTTAGGTATAGGGAAGCGTTCGTATAATTTGTAAAATTAGGCCGTAAGAGTAGTTATAAGGCTATATAACTGATTTATTAAAGCTTAAGGAAAGAATAACTAATTACGGAGGAATAACTACCTTTTATACCTATAAAATTAACTAATAAGAATATTCTGGAATATATTACTAATAAATTGGATTTATAATTAAGTTAATTAATAATAAGGTTGATTTATAATCGAAGAAACCATCGAAATTTATAAATTTTTATGGTGTAGGTTACCTTGTAACCCAGGGCCACTGTGGCCAGGTGCACTGGCTATACTTAGTGGGGCTGGATCCAGTGGAACGTTCCACTGGATTCCAGTGGGTTCCAGTGGCCATAGTGGCCATAATAATTAATTATAATAACTTATTAACTATATAGCACTATAAATAATAGCTATAAATGGTGTTATATTAACTATAAGTTAGTATAAGGTAAATTCCACTAATTTCCCATATATCGTTATTTAACGATATTTCGATAGGTTTTATAGCTATTATAACGATATAATATGCGTTATAAAGCTAATTTTATGCATTATACGATGCTATATTAACATCCGTGCAATAATTATATTAATTATATTAACTTATATAACACTATAATTTATCACCCACATATTTATATAATATATTGCATAACTTTAATTAAGCGCTATATGCAGTGCCAACGCGCTTAACAGGCACATTGCCGGTGATAACCGTGCCCTGCAAATTAGTATATGTATTTATACGTAGCTACATGGTGGCCAGCCACGCTCACGGACCATAGGGGGACAGATAGCAGGAAGTGGGTGGATGAATAGCCGGGGCGCTAACTACTATTTTGTTCCACATCTCATGCCTGCTTTGATTATATTGCATTCCCCAAAACCTATCCATCTGTACCCAACATGGTAATTCTTCAAGAACCCAGTACCCGTACGTATTCTGGTGAGATTCCCGATCCGATATAGGAGCCAGCCCCCAAACCCGACCTCTCCACGGTCGACTGCTGCTAAATTCTTTAAATAAATGCCCAGAAACTGATTTACAAGGGACAACCTGGAAATATTGGGTCTGTGTCACAATGGAGAAGAACCGACATGCTCATACCACCATGGCGCGATTTGACGTCGTAGAACTTCCCCATCCGTGCCCAAAAGTGTCCTTATCTAATGCGGCCCATTCGACCTAGCGAGACTGGCTTTGGAAATGTAGTATCAAAAGCAGCTTCGCATATCCGTGTCACCAGTCAAAAGATGATCATATCAGTGTTTTGACCCAAAATATACTTTCTAGAAGGGGTGACTCGCGCCCACTACGGCATGTTCAGTATTTATACCGTACCCGCATCCAGCGTCTGCCAGGTCTCCTCCACCGCCCCTTGTCTACATTATAAAAAGCTCCACTGCCGAGTATAGTACGGCTTTTGGGAACTCCACAAACACGCCATTACTTCATTCATACTATGGTACTTTCCCACTAAGTTTTGTATTCTTGTCACATTTGTCCATTTTGAATGACTCTGCTGTTTGACTGGCTCCGTACAGCTTCTTTCCCCCCTCATGCCTGGATCTTGGGCAGATGCTCCGTTGCCGCTCTTAGCTGGCCGCCTTCAGCAGCCCCCCGAACTGTTCGGTGTCCCCGGTGCGAGTCCGAGTTTCGGCCATTTGTCCCGGCCTCTCGTCTACTAGTCTTGTACAGTTTCTTAATCATACATGGCATTTGGATCTCATTAAGAGAAGACGTTCGTTCCATCCTCCTTCGTGTCTATTACTAGCACCGTATAGAGAGAGTTCGAGATAAAATCTGCCCCCTTTTTTTCTTTCTTCCCTCTCTTCCCCACTGTCCGAAATGAGACTTTACCACTTATTCATGAGACATGTTTGAAAATCGAGCTGCATTCGTCAGAAGTAGAACCTATTTCGTTCATCACTAGAAGATATCCAGCAATGTTGCCCTGGGCGATGAGGATGATTTGCATGAAACACAGAGCCGTGGCGGACGCTCAAAGCCTGACGTTAGAAGCTCGTTCTCAAGGCGTCTTTGATTGTAACATACATTCATCTTTCTTGTCTGCAACTGAGCCGATCGTCCTGTTGAGGCTTATCTCAAGTAATCCTTTTTTACATGTGCAAGCAGATACGTGCTCGCTTATTTTCCAAACCATGATCAGTCCCTAGAAATACATATCGTACAATATTTACATGTACCCATGGGTGCTGCATTGCAAAGATTAGACCGTCACCTCGGGTGTCGTGTTTGGTTCAAGCACACTACTCGGAGGCGCCGAGGTGGTTCCGCGCTCGACTAGCTCGATCGCTTCAACTAGGATGACACCAGAATGGACATTGACATCCTTGAGCTTCACTTCAAACACATCGTTGATCCTCACATCAGCCATCATGACTAGATCGTTCAATGCCTCGGGCCTCAAGAACGCGGTGCGGTCGAACCAGTCCAGCCGACCCATGAGGCTCTGTCGGCCTTCGACATGAGAAACCTTGAAACTGAAGGTCTCAGGGAGCTCGGCCTCACCAAACTTCCATGCCCGCACCAGCGCTTGCAGAATCCATTGGTCAGAACCGCTGCCGTTACTGAGAAGCTTGGCTTGGCGCTCACGCATGCGGAGCATGGGTAGCATCCGGTCGAGACGATCGCGGCGGAAGGGGAGGAACGAGTCGTCCTCGTTGCCAATCAAGGATTTGCCGAGTTTCTTCTCTTCGAGCAGCGCAGCTTGAATTTGCCAGTGCACAATCAAATCACCAAAGCGCCGCAGAGGCGATGTGGCTTTTGTGTACATGTCGACTCCCATCATAAAATGAGGGCCTGGTTTGGTAGTCAACTCGTCACCACCAAGGAGGCCGCGGAGATTCCGCCACATGGCATCGTCGGGCCGCTGACCAGACTCAATCAGTGGCATCAAGTTGTCCTGTGTGAACTGCCGTATCATTTCGGCGTTCTGCATGGCGCGTGGTTGCGTTCGATAGGGAACGGGGATGCCGCGTTCGTTGCACCACCGGGCAGCCACCTCGCAAGCTAAACGCATGGTATGCTCAACGATATCGGTTCCCGCACGCTTGGAGAAGCTGATATGGATGGAGGGGTCGCCTGTTGTACCGAAGAAGCCGTCTTTACTTTCATTCAGTGTTACCCCATCGAGAGAAACCTTGGGGGATGGGCGAGCCTGGAAGTAAGGTACTGCACCTTTGCTGAGGCGTCCGTGGTGAAGGGCTTTTCCAAAGTGCGAGAGTAGCGTCAGTTCCTCCTTCTGCTCTGCAGTCAGGTCCTTGGGCCGCGTCATCGTCCGGTTGGCCTTGACAGCGACCGCTTTGGGTCCAATTGATAACTCTTGATCCGTGGCAGTAGGGTCCACTCTCATTTCGCCGAGAGCTTCGTTGACTTCCTCGCCAGTCATATAGATAATATCACCCACAGTCCCAGGGGTGATTTTGTGCTCCAGTATGGAGCCCTTTGTATCGACGAGTGCGCTGAAGGTCATACATGGCCGTCCTGCTGCCAATGAGAAGCGATCAACGCTGATATCGTTGGGCAGCATCCGAGAGAAGTGACCTTGGAGATAGATGGTCTCAGGCACTAGCTCTGCAAAATTGGCAATCGCCGTATCGCTAGCGATAGATGAGGCCGGGTCTGCAATATGGACATGAATCCAGGCTTGATCCGGATTCAAGGTCCGCTCCAAAGATATAGCATCGTCAATATCGGTAGTTGTCTCTGCATCGATTGCATACATTGTACTGCACGTTTTTCTGTCACTGCTGAATTTGTCGGGAGTCAACTCATTGGACATGTCTCCGTGATAAGGTCGGTCAAAGCCACCGCTTCTCTTGACTTCGATGTCCGGAAAGCGTAGCTTATACCGAGACTGAATGTCCCAAGGGGTGATATAGCCTACTTCCTGGAGCAACGTCCATCCGGCGCTAGCTTCCAGCTTTGCATCCGGATAACGGTCCACAGCTCGTAAGATCATTGACCCTATGGCCTGAAGACTAGAGCCACTGGGGAATTTTTGATAGCCGGACCATAGCTGGATGAAATGCAAAATTTCCAGGTCAAGGGCAGACCACTCGGGGAGGGGGTTTATAGAAGCCCCGGAAGGGCCAATGACTCCGTGTGTCGTCGGTTTCCTGGACTTCCTGCTGTTGTCAATTGCCTTTTGCACGGTAGAGACAAATCCTCCAAAAGTGTTTGGCACATTTTTGCGTTTATCATTTGATGTCTCGAGATAAATTCGCACGAGGTTCTGAATCTTCTGTATGGTGCGGACTTCTGAAAGCGGACTTATCTCGAATAAATACGAGTTCCGATGACCTGCTTGCTTGAGTGGCCTGAAGAAAATGTCGTCCTGGAGTAAGGCTCTGTGAACGGCATACAGTGCCACCGCAGGAATTTTGCCTTCTCTCTTGATTGAATAGGGCAGGAGGCGATCGGCTATTTCATGAAGAGTGAGGTATCGGTGTTTTACTGGATCCCCGATGAAGGCACTCGAGGCATCCAGCTTGCCTGCGTGCGCTTGGTAGATACCCTCAGCCTCTTGGGTAAAGTCGACCATCTTTTTCAAAAGTTTGGCGCCTGCCTTTCGGGACGGATCATGGCCCACGCTGCGCAGGGCATTGACCGTATCTAAGGAGATCTCATCCAAGGGGATTTCTTTGATGATGGGCTCGAGCTCGGCTGGTTGGACAAAACTATGCACAACAAATAGTGATTGTATGCCTAGACCGGTGAACCACTGTCCTCCGCTCGTGTAGTAGTGCTCATACCCGTTAAATCGGCCCAAGCAGACGGCCATCAAAGGTCGTCTCGAACCTTGAGAGCTGCAAAAGTGTTAGTCGCAAGTATATGTGGCCTGGTTCAAGCTGAAAACCGTACCTCATCTCGACCAAATCGCCAGGTCTTAGATTGGTGCTATCCGAGCGAAGATCACTCAACTCATCGCCATCAAACAGAGGTGGAGCGACGTCGACCTGATGCATCGAGTCGTTTTGCGGACGGGTCAAGCTGTTGGAGACCTCTCCAGTATGTGCATAGTCTGAAAGCATTGATTGAGCCTCTGTGGGATTCTCCGATTCCCACAATCGCAGCCTTTCTCGTATACTGAGATTCTTTCGATCCAAGGCGCGCGGTGTCGCAGCGGCAGCGTTCTGATCACCACCGCCATCTTCTCTGGATGGATGAACGACTGTTGCAAGGCTCTGTGAAAGGATTAGACACGGGCATGGTTTCAAAGAAGTAATTATAGATGCGGCCTTACTCTGCTTGCATTCGACCGTCCCTGAGCATATGAATTCAAATTTGGCGTTGGTAAAGGACGGCCTAGTCTCGACGCTCTACCATTTGCGACAACGCTGCGCGTGGCGCATCGCCAGCAAACATAAGATCTGCTTGCCTGCAGCATGATCTAAAATACGTAGCTGGACCGACGAGCTGAGTTGATCAAGAGTTTTACAAAGCCTAAAGCTCGCGATGGGTTGCGCAGAAACAACAAATCTCGGTCTTGTAAAATTTCAAATGCTAGACTCATTGGTTGGCCACCTGCCGCCAGCTACAAATGGATGCACGGACCCACAGGCAACGCGTACCCACTAATGTACAAAGTGCTATTCGACACGGAAACACGTGACTTGTGTCTAACACGAAAGCATCCAGGAAAATGATCAACGTTTATATTTCTCTTATTCTCTTTTCGAATAACTTACTCTTGATAAGCAGAGAATGTGATACAATGCTCACATGTGTAGCAATTGTGTATCTATGCAAGAAAGATATTGCCACTGCCATGAAAGCCGTGACCGAACGAGACAATCCGGCTCGGGAAGGGATCATAGTCCTTTGAGACACACATTCTCTGTTTTCATCGTCCATATTGTCTCCTGGTTGATCTTTGGAATGCGGCAATATGCCAGCTGTGCGCCTTGATCCGAGGATAAAACCCGGGCATGACCCCAGTGCCACCGTGAAATCACTCCTTTGTTGTCTTTGTCTTCTCAAGTCCTTCATCTGACTCGACTCTCTTACACGCCTAGCTCTATTTCTTTACTGATATCCGTCTCTTATACCTTCCCTCGGGTCCCGGATGCTACTTACCTAACGAATCCAAAAAATGTCGTTCAAGAAGTTTGCTATGGTAGCCCTGGCCGGCGCCGCCTTGGCCATGGACAGCATGGGAGGCATGCCAGACTCGGGCAGCGGAATGGAAAGTTCAGCGGCCGTCGCCCCGACCGTGGCCGAGACTACCGAGGCGGCACCCATGACCACCGAGGTCGCACAGGGTACGGTCGACACCACCCCGTTCACCAACTCTTCCGTCATCATCACTAACGATGCCTCTGCACGGACAGGCGGGGATGCTAGCAGTTCGGCCGCAGTGGCCACGACCGCCGAGGGCACGGCGGCATCGCCCATCGACCCAATGTCCACCGCGGACGCAGCTAGCATGGATGCCACGGCGTCGGCAGATGACATGACTACCATGTCGACTAGTGTCATGTCCATGGACAGCATGCCCATGGGAACCGGCGGGGCGTACCCGAATGCTTCGTCCACTGGCAGTATTCCAATCTCCGGCAGCGACGCCGGCAGTGGTGTTTCCGTAAGCTGCCCACTCCCCTTCCTTTCGTCGGATTCACAATATTGACCGTCTTTGATAGATTGTGCTCATCATTGCCTCGACTATGCTTGGAGGCCTATTCGTACTGTAAAAGTTTCTCTCCAGACAGTTTCGCAGTCGACACAGGAATTCTGGCCTTCTTGCTCATTTACGACCAACAGTCGTTTTACTCTTTCCTTTGTGTGCATAACTTGCGAACAAGAACTATGAATTTGTCAATTCTTCTCTAGCTTTATTTGCGTACCTGCTACCTTTGCGATTGGAAGTAATGCGATGGACGTAACAAGACGAATGCGGTTGAACAGATTATCAGCCATCTCGGGCGACTGCGCTGAATTGGTAGCATTCAATGTGTAGAGGTGTTTTCCAATAGGGGCATGAGCCGCATTGAGTAGTCAGATTGATAAATATAGAGTTATAAGCTTAAAAAGAAGAATCTCGACTTGATCCTTTGCAACCTTTCTTCAGCCTGCATGCCTCGCACTACGAGATGACGGGTTTTGTTGAAAAATTCGCTATGTCTATATGTACTGGAACACTTGAATTCTCGTCTTGGCAGTGTTTTGATTGCCGTGCATCTTCAAAATAGCAGATGAGATGATCAAGTGTATTTACTTGATGAGCATCGCTTGCAGATATATGTTTTTGGCATCGCATATTGGGAGGGTATTCGCAGGCCTGTCATCTTGGCAAGCGTTGGAGAGTGCAGGCAGATCAGTACCATATCGAGTGTGAATTGCCCGGAGCTTTCCAAGGAAGAAGAGGGAAAAGGCCGATAATAGTAAAGATTGAGGGGTATTCAGAACCAGATCAGCAGTTCTAGACCTTGACTGTTGGGTTTGATCCCTTCCCTATACGAGATGAATCAGGGACCAGCGAGCAGCAAAAGAAGTCTAGAGTCGGCGTGTGGTGCCCACGGACTTGGCTGCTCCTGTCTTTGTCACGGACTGTGGGGAAGGAGAGGACCCAACTCGTGGTTCGCTCAGTCGAAATTGCCAAGCAAGTCAGATACGAGATTGACACAACAGAAAAAAAAAACAAGGCACGCAAATCCGGGAATCCGGGTAATTTTGGGGAGAAGAAATGGAACTTTTTACCAAGGCTGTATAGCAAGACATGCATTTGGGAAGTAGCATACTCAGAGTGAAGACTCTTAGGTAGGCGCTTGAGGTGGGCAACGGGAAAAGAGTTTTAGCTGTTACGTGTAGAGTAGCAGACTACGGAATAGAATATACTCTATAGAACCCCTCATCACGCTTCCTCTTTTTAATGACGCTGCACTTTTGCTGCTGTTCAGATGGAGAATTAAGATCTCGTTGCATTGGTTGGATAACCGGAGATGGGCTAGACAAATGAATGAAATAGGAGGCAGCGGCTTTTGCCGTCATCCAACATTGCGTCTGGACTCTGCAACTCTCGCAATAGGAGGCATCACGGGCCAGTGCCAGTACTTGCGGCGGCGCCCAGAAGTAATGAATTGCAATACGGAATATCGAGTAGTCCTAGACTCCTAGCAGTAGATCTGGAGCACTGCCGAGGAGCGACGGTGAAGGTTCCATTGCGCAGTGATTGGATCGCAAGGGGGGTTGATTGGAGATTGCTGGTCTCTGGGCGATCAGAGCTTCTTCAAGCAGTGGTCAGTGTTGTGCTGACTGTGATCAGAGTGATGACCGTGCATGCAGACCCAGGTGATAGTCCCAATGCTGCCCAGACTGGTGGCCATTTTTAATCCTTTTCCTTTGGCCTTCACTGCCTTCTGGCCTGTGTGTGGTGGGAAGGGAGAAGTACCATAGCAACCCGACTCAGCCTACCTGTATGTAACAATGAGCCTACCCCGGCTTGTTGTGGCCGTTTTTGGCAATGGGCCCTGGTCGTATAGTCGGTCCCACTGTCGCCTGCAAGGTCTGCACGACGCCAATGCAAGGTACCGGGCTCGTAAGTGGTAATGATCGACTTCTTTTCGGCATCCTAGCTGCCAGGTTAGCTTGCTTTGCGGACAGTGGGATCGCCAGCAACAACACCCACCCCCTTCACCATCCTCTTGCTGCAGCGCTGCTTGGTCGCTGTAGTAAAGAGGTATGTAGGTTTTTAAAGTAGATATGCAAAGAAGAGGACGTGACGGGAGCAAGCATGCTGTCCCTTTTTCTTAGAGCAGCGATAGCGGGGCATTGACGACGGTTATCGAGATAAACTCGAGAGACTACCACAGTACTGTAGTAATTAATGACTCTGGTTGATTACTCACCAACACATGGTCCAGAGAAATGCTTCTGGGGGTTATTTCATTCATTACAACCTCTGAATAGCGCTGTGATAGATTGAATCTCATGTTTGGTATCGGTCAAGTGTCAATCTACCAGCCAGATTGTATATTTCATTCGCAATGTTATGTACTTGGCAACGGCTGTGACGACACGGCCAATCAGGGTGTGTCCTTGTGAGAATGCACGCAAAGCTGAAGCCAACACGAGACTGACATCACCAAGCGCCCCGGATTCAGAGGGAAGGGGAACCTCTGATGGTGTCGGTATTTATTCAATGATTTTAATTATTCATTAATAGTATCATCATTTGAGGCTGAGAGGTTTGGCACCGGGTCAAAGAGAACATGGAGTCATGGTCTTCCTATTGATAGAACATGATGAAAAGAAGGAGCCGCCAGCCTGCCAGTCAATAACAGAACCATGCAGCCTGATGAACTGATGACAGCAGTGGCATTTATCGTATGGCCAAATTACCCTGCATACAACCTTGCAATCGGAGTTGTCGGTCACAGCGCACGAAAGCACGTTTATGGGGTGGCCACTGGTGGCTCCTCACGCTGGGGGGGAAACAAGTCGAGGTAATTTCCCGCTGTCGCTTAACTTTAAGGTAATTTCCCACCCAAGCGTTGGCAGCCCACTAAGCATGCACGCTAGACGACGCCATTCGAGCAACCGCTGCCCATCTCGTCCATCCCATCTCATCGCAACCTTCTAGTAGGTCCTCTTTCATATACAGACCTCCTTTACCACCTGTTAGAACGAGCCCAAGAATCGTCAAAGTCGCGCCGGAGCTTGGGGCTAACGGTTCAATCATCTCTGTCCAAGAGGGGTCATCTAATGTTATCGACCACGCGCCCAGCGCGCGAAGAAAGCCCACTCATGACTACTCGCCGCCTAGAGGACATGAACCAATCCAGAGGCTACTCTTAGGATGCCTCTTCATCCGGAATTACACACATCGTACAGTAAACCATTGATTCGCTGACGTCCACAACCTCACACATACACAAGCTGGTGCAAGTGCTGCTGTCTGCTACTGCTAATGTACACCTGCCTACCTACGGTTCCTGCTGGCTACCTACTGATATGAGGATGACGACGAGTTTGTTGGTGCTTGTCTGTACTACTGGGCTCGCCCGGATATGAGAATCTTGGCAGACAGAAGTTTCTAAAGCCTGGCCCGCCCCAGGTACCGTAAAGTGGTTGTATTTTTTTTTTTCTGATCTGCTTCCTTGTTACCTATCAGCAGCACCCACTCTGCCCGCCTCGATGCAGTCGGGCCAGTGGACTGACAACAGCATCGGGGAAATAGTACAAGTCAGTGGAAAACCCAGAGACAAAGAATCATGACTCCGCAAGTGAGTGAGGATCCTCCCAGAAAAGGAGCAGGGAACTGCCACCAGAAGGACTGTCCAGGGGTCCTGGTCGTCGACCAGTTGACGCCGCACAGGGGACCGGGGTCGTCAATTTACAGTGGTTGACCAGGGTGACCCAAAAAAGTCAACCGATGGACACTCTCCTACCCAAAGCGAACACCCTACCCGCATTGGCGCCATGTCTAATGAACGACTCGGACTGGGGTCGATCTCCCACCCCCATGAAGCCGTGGTCAACAATAAAACTGTATGCTTCTGCTGCTCCGATCTGCCTGCCTTTTCCCTCTCTCCCTCCCATCCCCACGGAACGACCCTGTGATGTTGATACTGTCATCGTGATAGTTTCAATAAACTTTTCGTCCTTCGTTTCCGAATTCGCTCTCTATCCCACATACCGCTTCACTCTTTCAGCGGGCACTCGTTATCACGAACAACCTCAAAAACTAATACCAAAAAACCGACATCTATTATATACCTAATTCCTTACGGAGCTTATTAATATCAGACAATATGAAGGCTACATTTGCAGTTGCCGCCGCCGCGGCCATGGCCGGAGGTGTGAGCGCCAGCACAATCCACAACCGCCACGCTCACGAGGGCTTCCACGCCCAGCTGGAGAAGAAGGCCTACGCCGCCGCCCCCATTGACAACAGCACCTGCGGCTGCACCACCATCTACTCCACCTACTATGGTGAAGCTACTCGTATGTGAAACCAATATATGGACGGCATTGGACCGACCTTGTATATATGTAAAATGTCTTGCATGGAGGATTAACACATCATCATAGTCCACAACCCCCCGCCTGCCAGCACCAGCAGCGCTGCTTCCTCGAGCAGCGTTGCTCCCAGCAGCACCAAGCCGCTGACCACGGCTGCCCCGACGACCTCGTCGACGCCCATTGTTGTGCCCACTCCCGTGGCTCAGACTTGCCCGACCCCGGGTGTCTACACCTTCCCCGCCACCACGGTCACTCTAACTGAGACTACCACCGTGTGCGCCGCCTCGACCACCTCCGTCCCCGCCGGCACTCACACCCTGGGTGGTGTTACCACCATCGTGGAGACCGCCACCACCGTGACCTGCCCGTACGCCACCGTCTCTACCAGCGGCAGCGTTACCACCAGCGTCATTGAGACCACCACCTACGTCTGCCCGTCGGCTGGTACGTACACCATTGCTCCCACGACCACCACCGTGACTGCGCCCACCACGGTTGTTGTCCCCGTTGTCAGCACCTACTGCCCTGGCACTTACACCCAGCCCGAGGTCGTGACCACCATTGTTGACACCAGCACCGTCATCTACTGCCCATTTGACGTTCCCGCCACCACCACCGCTGCCGCTACTACTTCTGCTGCCGTCCCCGTCTACACCACCGCCTCGGTTGTTCCTACCACCGTTGCTTCCAGCACCAGCACCGGTTCATCTTCCACTGCCACTGGTCTGACCGGTAACGGTGTTGCTCCCTGGGCCATCACCTACACCCCCTACGATAGCGATGGAAGCTGCAAGTCCAGCAGTGCTGTCGCTGAGGATATTGCCGCTATTGCCGCTTTCGGTGTCACTGCCGTCCGTGTCTACTCGACTGACTGCGACACCCTGCCCAACGTTGGTGGTGCCTGCGCCGACCACGGTCTCAAGATGATCCTTGGTATCTACATTGACGCCGCTCAGTGCACTTCCAACAACCCCACCGTTGATGAGCAGATCAGCTCCATCAAGGAGTGGGCTCAGTGGGACCTCGTCGATCTGATCGTCGTCGCCAACGAGGCCATCTTCAACGGATACTGTACCGCATCTGAGCTCGCTGACCTGATCAACGAGTGCAAGTCTGAGTTCTCTGGTTACACTGGTCCCTACACCACCACCGACACCGTCGGCATCTGGCAGGAGTCGACCACCACCGACGCTCTCTGCGATGTCGTTGACATTGTCGGTGCCCAGGCCCACGCTTACTTCAACTCCGAGACCGCTGCTGCTGATGCTGGTACCTTTGTCCGCGGTCAGCTCGACATTGTCAACGCCGTCTGCCCTGGCAAGGAGGCCCGTGTCCTCGAGACCGGCTGGCCTTCCGCCGGTACTTGCAACGGTGTCGCTTGCGCTGGTGTTGTCGAGCAGGCTGCTGCCATTGCCTCGCTTCTCCTCGAGGTCAGCCAGGAGTCTGTCTTCTTCTCCTTGACCGACGACAAGTGGAAGGACGGCAACACAGACTGCCAGTGCGAGCAGCACTGGGGCTGCAGCTCTGCTCTGGGTCTTACCGGTCTTAGCCTTTAAATAGCAGACAACTAGCATATGCTTTGACGAAAGCAATCAAATTCCTCTCGCACTTTTTCTGTATATGATGTTCACGTTCTTCAATTGCATATACACTGGACATATCCTTGGACTTGGGACCGCGCGGCGTGAATTGGTGGGCATTGTTACTACTCACGGAGGAGACAAGAGATACGAGAACCATATCGTCAAGCCTCGCGAGCGCCCGGCGTCTGGTTCTTCTGCTCTCCCTCTTCCAATTCTTTTGGTTCAGGTGTTTTTCATAGGAGGAGGCGGGCGAGGAGGCTCTCTCAAGCTACAACGCAGCATTATATGCCGGAAAAAAAAAATTCCCCCGGCTGTCGTCGATTGGGGTTCTGATTCATAATGTTGTAATTTATTAGTGTCTATTATGGATGTCGCTATTCAAGCAAAGATTATCTTTTATGTTGCCCACCTTTCAGTTTGATCGTGGTCTCTCTTGTTTATGCCCATGAATATTTGGCTTGAGTGCTCACGAGTGAGAATATTCTGTACCAGCTACCATGTTTTATAATTAATTTCTTCTCCATGTATATAGCCCATATCCAGAGGCAGTCAACGTCCCTTTTGCTAATTCCATGGATTTATGTCCAGTATACACTGGCTATCCCAGTATAACCCCCATGACATTAGCAAAGTGACGAAAGAAGATTCTAAAATGGAAGCATCTGTCCGTCATCCCGCCATGTTTAAGACAGGTAGCGGGAGATACCCGGTTACCGGGGTGGCTTGTGAGACAGTTGTCTCATGCCTTTTTTTCTTTCTTCTTTCTTGCATATCCGTCCCGTCCTCTCCTTCTCTTTCGTCTTGGAACGTTTCTTTGACAGGGCGAAAACGTGGACATGTGAGACATGTATTTAGACACGGAATGTCTGAGAATAGCAATCAATGGCAGGCAGATGACGACGAGCTCGTTCCTCCTGATGCAGGACCGAGAAAAGAAATAAAGGTAAAGAAACATCGAGATGTCACAAGCGATGCATTATTCATTCAATTGAGGTCATGACTGATGAAATATACCATATACTGCCATACGTTCTACCCCCGCGGCGTCTGAGCGGAACGATATAGACGAGCATGGAATGCTTCAGCTCCATGATCGAGCTCTTTGCCTTGTCCTCTAGGGGCGTTTATTACCAGATAAGAAGCCTGGCCACCCGCCGCCGGCATCAAATTTCATATATGAAGCATAGTGTGCGAGGTATTGCAAAATGTATATTTGTGACTGTTGTCGGGTATCCAATATCTTCCTACGCCAGTATCCTTTGCCCTTGAAAATATCATGAATCTCATTGCCATCGTGCTGAAAGTAAATGCTCGCAATATGCTGCTGATGTAAGTGGCCAATGCGCATAATATCATACGCTGCCCCAGTTGATGCAATATATCAAAGTAGAGAACAAAGAAATCGAGAAGAAAACGTGAAACAGTATGTCTCGGTCCACGTAGAGCCCTTGCAAATAGAGCCAAAGACGCGTCCAGCCTTCCAACGCCAAGATATGCACATAGTTTTGCCTTCGCCTTCTTACAGTGTTGCACATGATGCGATTCTCAGAACGGTTCAAGGTCCATGTAAGCTGTTGCTGCTTTCCTTCTCCGTTCCGTCATGGTCTCTAATGAGTCTGGTCGCTCCAGAATAGCGGCCGTATTCCTTGCCCAGTCCCAAGGATACTCGCGTCGATACTGGAGATGCTTGGGGTAACCTGCATACCATTCGCTGGTGTCAAAAGCATCCTCAGCGCCACCGTCACATTTGTCAAACTGGACAACTCCACCTCGCGACGGATCAGTGTTCAGCGCCAGCAGAGTCCGACCATCATCGGCGAATGCAGTGCCACCAATTTCGCCAAACATTTCAATCTTCTGTTGCGTATTGAAATGCAGAGCATCAAAGATATTGATCACATCCGCCTCCTCAGCTGCAACCAACAAGCGCTTGCCAGAGCCCAAGGGAGAGAAGCGCAGGCTCCTCGCGCCAGACATGTCCATTCGCAGGACCGCTACAGGAGCCCCTGAACCATCGTGGTTGTTCGTCCAGCGGCGAGCATCCCATATTCGAACGCTCTTGTCTTGAAACCCCGTGGCCACTGTCACGCCATCCGGTGCCCAGTCACAAGCGAAGCCGAAATCTCTGTGGCCACTGAGTTCCTGCAGAATGTCCCCCGTCTCTGCATCTGCAATCAAGACATTCGTGTGGTCGCCGACAATCACACGCAGTCGCTGGTCGGTGCTAATTGCCGAACAATTCAAATAGTCGTCATACATGCGCTCAAAGATGAGCTTGTTAGTCGTTAGGTCCACGGTTCGAAACCCATAGTCATTCGAGGTGAAGGAAGCCAAAGGCGCAGAGGAACGTCGGGCAGAGTGGATCTGTACATGGTTGGTTATCCCACTGATGTGATCGGTGAGTTTTCCTTCCGCGTATGTGCGATCCTCAGAGTTGAGGTTGCGATACCTATAATCGCCTAAAAAGCTGCCGGCTACGAGGACATCATTAGTTGCGGCAATGGTAGATATCTGCACATCACTGTCCTTGCCGAAATCCATCGCTTTTCGGGCGCGCCCTGTCGTGGGATCCAACTCGGCAATGGCGCGTGACGTTGGGAAAAAAGCCCGGGTACGTGAAGCACAAGCAAGAATGTTGCGCAACTGGAAATGCAGCAAGAGAGGATCGCGGCGCAAGTCCATACTATGGAACCTGAAATAATTATCACGCGGAATTGCGAACTGGTCAGGAAGACCCGGCTGTCGAAGCCTGTCAGCTAATGGACGAGCACAGCAGGAAAGATATGGATATACTTACATGCCACTTGTCAGAGCCAGCTTTATTTACATAATTCTTGTAGGAAGTTCGACGGCGTTCTCTTGCTCGAGTTCGGGCAATGCCCATTTTGGCCCAGTTCACACCCTGGAAATCATACTCATCGCCTTTCAGGTCATGGTAGGACACACGGTGCACGTCCTTCTCATTGGCGAGTGCGCTAATGCCTTCATAGTTGGGAATTGGGTGCCCATCGCGCGCTCGGCCTAGCTGAGCCCATGTGCGTAGAAAGTCCACGAGGCTGAAATTATCAGGCCCCAGTGTCTGGTGGTTCGGATTGCTCATGGGAGGGGGTGCGTGCGGCTCGCCGAGGTCATCATCCAGATCGGGCTGTTGCAACGGTGTGATCTGCAATGCTTGTTGCTGCTGATCTAGGATCGCAAGGACTTGCGGTGGCATTTGGAGGAGGGGATCCAAGAGCGCTATGTGTGGGACAGAGCCTGGGAGTTGTGCAAAGGTTCCGTTGCCATGTGGTTGGTCCAACGGAAGAAGGGACGGGGAAGGCGAGGACGACATTGGCTCGGCCGCAGAGCCCTCTTCAGATGCCGCGGGCTGCCAATCATCTGGGCCTGCAATAGCCGTGGCATCAGAGTCCATATGCCAAAAGGGTCCGTCAATGAGGGGAGGATCAGACCAAGGAGAGATAGGATTTCCCCAGAGATCGGCTGCAGATGGATGAAGATCACTCTCGTGAGAAAATGTAGCCGTCAGGGCAGCACCGCCTTCTTCGACATCTACGTCGGACATATCATGGTCGTCCAATGAGGCGGGTTGCTGCTGCTGCTGCTGCTCCTGTTGATGGTGGGTGGCGGTTAGCTGGGAGCTGCCAGACGCCGACCAGGTCGCTGGGGCATGTTGCGACATGAGCGTCGTATGCGCCGCTCCAGCTGATGGGATATGGCCGGAAGAGCCAGCGTCGGCCGAGGCAAGTGAGGTCTGACTGCCGCCGACTGGCTGGAGTGGATGAGGGAAAGTCGCAGAAGACGATGCAGGCGCGGTGTTCTGGCGCATTCCGTTTATCAAGTATCGCTCATGGGTTCGAGGGCGGGCTGGGCTGGCTGAATCCGATCAAGGGCGGGTGGATGTCAAGGAACCGAGCTACGGGCTGCCCACATGCAAAAGGTGCAAGAACGGAAGCTTTGGCGTGCGAGGTTTTGGTTGCTTTTCGAGTACGAGCGGACGGGAACTGCTGCGGGAGAGGCGAGGATGATACAGGTACGTACGCGAATACTATAGGGAGGGACTGGGACTGGGCTTGATTTGACGGGAGGAGATAGAGATAGAGAGAGCCAGAGAGAGCCAGAGAGAGGAGAGATGTGATTGAATGCGATCGGCGGATCGGGTGACCCACGACAACGGGCGACAATGGAAAAGACAATACCGCAATCAAGTCTGTGTCGAACGTGACCGTTGGGTCTTTGATACTGCGAATTTTTGGATGAACAAATGATAGATTGCAGATAGAAGAGAGGTTGAACAGTTTGTCTGTCTGTTGTTGTTTTAGGATGGGCAAGGCAGAGAGTTGAGAGGTAAGCAATAAATGTAGGTAATGTAGGCAAATGTGTTAGCGACCTCGAGGTTGTCACCAACCAAGTAGCTCAAGTACCCGCTGGAGGCGAATGAGCGACTCGAGAGAAGGCACTTGAGCGCCCCCCTCCACACGCTAACAGGCTTAAGTGGTCTTCGGGTGCACTAACTACTATGCAGGTGGAGTCGGGTGAGCATGTCTCTTGGCGGTTGGGAAGGGAGGAATGTGGTGGAGCCTTTTGTTTTCCCACGAACTTCGGGTTTTCCACACTTCAATATCCACTATTATTATTGTCAGTTGTTGTGTACAGAACAGGTACATGCACCTCCATCCATCCATCCATCCGGGCGTGCCTTTTTCAATATCCATGGCCAAACCGTGCCCATTTTGTGTACATTGGACCTGATATTGAGATATATATATATAAAAAAAGCACATCAGTAAATGTATAGATAGTGGGCATTAGTGCCCAAGAAATGGTGCAATAACCTTACATATTCATCACTTACTTCCTCCCCCGTTGATACTGGCTGCACATGTGATCTAGGTAATACAACGTCTATCAAATCACGTACATGTATATCTCGAGATCATACTGTATAGACAAGTGGACTATTACATTCAAATAAGCAACTCCTGATGAAAATAAATAAACAAATAAATAAAGAAAAAGCAAGAAAGGAATCATAGACGAATAGTCCTTTGCTGTCTCTCTTGCAACCCGATGCCACCTGCATTCCGCACAAAACAAAATCATTGTACAGAAATAATGTCTTTAACGAATCGAGTACCTAGGTAACAAAGCACATTCAATGCATGTAGCCCTGCAGCAAGTACGAACCAGCATCGAAGGGAATCAAATGGCACGGTTCATGTATCAATGTACATGCGCAGACAGGTGTGTATGTAGGTAGCTCGTACATATATGTATGTACCTTGGCGATTGGAGGAGTTTCAGTCTGATGGTGAATTGTCCATCCCCCGCACGCGTGGCAGGACGAAGACGGCCACAGAAATGGGCCATGCGTGTACTCTATACGTCCGTATTGATGTAAGTACCAACTCATTTGGTCGCATCGATCAATTGTTAGGTACATTACACAAGAAATCCATAAGCACCTACATGCCAAGAAGACGGGAACGCTCCGTTAAGCACAATAGGTATATCCACATTTGGACTGACTAACTTATCCGTGTACTGCGTTGAAGGACTAATATGCGTAAGATCATATGGGTCAGTAGGTAGATCTCCAAGTCGGTAGGCTTTTTGCTTCGACTTGGGCAAGTAACAGCTTCTATGCACTTGTAATGGATCGGAGATACCTGCATCGGCATAGGATTGTTGAAAGACAACCTGAAAGTTGTGATAGGTCTTGGGCGTTGCCTCTACATTTACTACAGAAGGTGGTCCACAGTTTACAAAGCCCAACCGCACACCTACATCAATCGGCAGCATCTGGCAACAGTACCTACCTACTAGGTAGTCATGTCAACTATCCAAAAGAGAGCAACTGAAACCTCCATAACTGCTTCCCAGCGACTTGCTCAATTTAAGATGAGGGATCTCCCTCTCATAGCACGATTGTCGATAGTATCAGGTAATCGCCTCGCTCTTGGGTATGTCCATTCTTCTGCTCTTTTTTTTCTTGCCTCGTCGAAACCACAAATCCTCGAGAGACATCACAGCTATGGACCTGTGCCGTCCGATCCACATCTGATTTTTGCCATTCTCTCTCGAGGTGTCAGCTGCCTACCTCACCAGCAATGGCTATTACTGGGCCCCCCTCTCCCTCACTTCTTTCTGCACAGCGACCGAAACGGACACGCACTTCTACTCTTGGACATGTGGCGCGTCTCGTCGGACTCCTACCCCTCTGACGGGCTTGTTGCTTACAAAAAGGCGACCTGTCAATCGCTCATTCCAGAAAGCCGTTAGGCTGTTTGCAGCAGCAAAACATTGAGACGTGAAAACCCAACCCCAGCTTGACTTCCGTGTCCCATTTCAGCAGCTCACCTCTCATGTTTGTGCAGGCCAACCTCCAGGAATATACCGGCATCGACCTTCATCCGTTGCCGGTCGCTTCCCGTTCGACGAGAAGCTCATTAGAGAGAACCAGCGATTTGTCACAGCCGCCGGCAAAGCAATCGAAAAACTCCATGGGCCTGCTTGTATTGATCGGTCAAGTTCCCCAACTGAGATCCGCATATACTCCAGCCCATGTATTGAGACGGGCCCGAGAGCACGGAAGCATGCCCTCTGGATACCGCATGCCACAAATCTGCAGTCCAGTCCCAGAGGGACACTCGATGAGCTACCTATGCAACGTCTTTCTTGGTCTCATGCACTGTCTCCTGCAAGCGTCTCGCCTCATTTCGCCCTGCAACCCACTCGTCTTGACAGTATCCGGTCCATACAATAAATCCCTTCCGGAGTTTCGAAAGTTTTCGATTCTCCAGTCCCAACCAAAGACTTCAATCGATTTCACAATGCGATGCCCAGATCTCAAGACCTCCCTAACTAGTCCTCCCTTCACTCTTTGTCGATCTCCTCGTGATCTTGACTGCAAGTCCACAATCATGACTCAACGAGTTCGGATGACAATATCAAGCACGGGTGCGCTCGACAGGGTTGAACATGTAATTCCTAGCAAAGCCCATCGCTGACTCGATCTTGGTATGCACGAGGGCAAGGAAGAAGCTAAACCAGGATGTAGAGATTTTGTCCTACATGAGATGATTTGAAAAGTAACGAGAACAGGAGAGAAAAGTAAAAGCACCCAGCAGAGCTTGGTTATCACGACCGAACCACCGCAGCAATCCGAATGTCCAATGCCAGTCCAAATTTCTGTCTATTGTTTTCCACCATTGCAAGATCTGAAGCTGGTTGGACGAGTTGGGGTCGTTACTCGCAAGCGACATAGTCTGGACACTTTTCTCCCAGGGTTGCCAGCCCCAGAACATCCTGTGGCAGACAGGCACCTTGCCGAACGACTGTATGTGTCGGCTCGCGGTCGTCCTCGCTTAGTAGGCTGAGCGTCACGCTCTGCTCGGCGAAGAAAATACGGTGTCCGAGACGACTCACGTTGGCCCGGTCACCAATCCACACCAGTCCGTACTTTCCGCCGTTGATCCAAGCCTGGTCGGAACTGAGTGGAAGCGTGATATGGGCAAGGCCTGTGATAAAGTATACCCACTGCGGCTCGGCGTGATGGAAGCCACCGTCCGAACCCGCCGGGATTACGGTGAGTATCGCGTTGGCGGCCTTGTCGCCGAGCAAGGCGTAAGACCCGTTTGCCGCTCCGGCTTCCAACGACGCCCTGAAACGGCCTGGTAGCTGCCAGCACTGCAGTGCCGATTCACCATTAATATGCGTTACGGCCGTAACGTTAAGGTAGACTTCATGATGAGCTGTTGAGAGGACAGCTGAGAAAATTACCACAAGGATATCAAAAGACAAAATCTTCATGTTTATGACAAAGTTCTTGGACCAAAGAAAGTCGACGAGGTGTGGGGTGTTGCAATTGTATTGAGACATTCCCTTTCTCCCAAGTGGATCGAAAGGCCATAGGGAAAACTCCTCAGCTGCATCACAGTTTCATTCAAATGATTATGAGAACCCCTCTACACACGGTGTTCTTATCCAGGAGTGTCACAGTCACAGGCACACCACCCAAAACCCGGCTGGCCCAACAAAGAGTCTATCCCAAGATCTTGCTGTTCCTGGCTTAGGACACCCGCTGCTGCGTATCACAACATGCTACCTGGAAAGCTCCATCGCTCGATTCATATTGCTTTGATTTTGATTTTTGTTGTCTTCCTCATCAATAAATCAAGTGACGCAACATAGAATGACACCTCGAAATCTGAAAATTCTCGGGCCGTATCAAATTTTTGTCCCACACACAACCTTTAATATGCCAGCAAAGGGCGAAAGAAATAAGAAGAAAAACAAGGGAAAATAAGGAGGGAAACCCCCAAACATTCCCTTCGCGAGGCATAACATCGCAGCACGACTATCAGTTCCTTCCTTGCCTTCGCATTTAAGAATTTACAAGGCAAGAAGAGAATTCACAACTTTCCCACCGCCGAGTGTAGATGGAAGCGGAAAAAAATGGTGCGTCTGACCACGGGAAAAATGCACCCCCAATCCGATCTGTCAGGAGAGACTTATGTCGTGTCACCCAAGAGAAGAAGAAGAAAAAATCACGCTGCTCATCTGCCTTTTCCCCCTTTGACCTGTCGTCAGCAAAGCAGCTGTTTCGTAAAGACTTGTCGACCGATTTTTCAAGCAAAAGATTGAGGGTCAATAATGTTCTGATAATTTTCATGTAAAATAACCTCATGTTTTTTTTTTTTCCCGAAAAGGGGGAAGGGGAACGAAAGAGCCATTCAGACCTCGGGGATTCGAATCGTGCATTGTGCGGGCCTGGCACACATGTAGCAGCCCATGTACCAGATGCGCAGATTTCCACCCAAAGAGAAGAAGAGAGGGGACCCAAGAAAAATGACAAGAACTAGGGTCTGGTATATGCTATGAAAACATGAACCGGAAATTTCCGCTGCGATTGGCGGGGGAGTGTGTTCACCTTTTACCTGATATCCGCATTGTGAGTGTGTATGTTGTTGTTGTTGTTGTTGTGCGTGGAGCTATATCGGGATCTGATTTTACGTTACAATAGCAGCTGTCGCTTTGAAAGGGTAAAAATATTTGTTGAGAATCACCGAATCCCAGATGATGTTGTTGCAAAGTGAGACAATTGCAAATGAAAACAAAATGATGTGTGCTTCCATGTGATATTCCCGTGTAATGAATTTTTATGGCTGAAGAGCACCAGTCTACAATTAGGTGGTAGACACACAAGTAACGGTGTCTCCCAGTGATTATATACATGCTGTTTAAGTAATCGTGAACCATCCCTCTATGATTGACCTCTTCTCCGTGCCGATGCAAGTCCCGAACAGGAATCTCATGACTTGAGAATGCTGTACTCAGGTTTTTGCATCCTTCGGCTCCCCCCCAAAAACAAACCAGCTTAATCCATGCCCCGAATGAACGCTTGATGGTGTATCCTTTATGGTTCATGGCATATAAATCAAAAGCACAGCGAAAACACCAACAGATGCAATTTTTCAACTCGAGCCTCACGCATCGTCATAGTAATGATCGTCGTAAGGATGGCGATAGGACATGTCTGGTGTCGTCGAGTAAGCACCGCCAGCAAGGTTCTCCTTGGACTGCCAGAAGTTGTCTCTGAGCCGGCGCTCTCGCTCAAATTCAGCCCATCGCTTCATTGTGATCTTGCTGCTGTCGAACTCGCCCTCATATTCCAGACCAGCTTTCTTCGTCTTCTCACCGGCTGTCTTTCTGGTATCACCCCATGAGAAGTCATCGAACTTCCAGAACGAGTAGGTCGGTAGAACGAAATTCCAGATGGGCAGCGAGCAGAGGTAAATCGCCATCCAAACGACATATGACCACGAATGCGCGGTACATACGATCAGAACAGCAGGCAAGCCTAGAATCAAGCCCAGAAGAACAAGAGGAATAATCTGAGGCGGCGAATGAACAATTGAGATGACGACTGCATGAGAATTAGCTTGATTCATAACACAATTTGGAAATGAAATACTTACCGACATAGATGGTGAAGGCGATTGCGGCGGGAAGCACCAGAGTACCAATTAATTCGACAAAGACGACGAATTGCATGCTGAAACAGAAAGTACCACAAAGATCCTTGACCAGTACAAGTTCCATCAAGTTGTGAATGGTCGAATTGATCCATCTTCGTCGCTGAGACAGCAGAACCATGAACTGATCAGGAACTGTCGTCTTGCACACGGCCTGGGGGACGAACACCTGCTTGCGCTTGGGGAATGTGCGGAGCATGAGAGTCGTCAGGTATCGATCCTCTCCCAGCAGGAGCAAGTTCTTCCGGTGGAGGGTGTCGACCACGTTATCAGAGTAGTGCTCAACAATATCAGGATTGGCGAGAATTGGCACCCAATAGTTCTGTGCACCCTTTGGGGATTTGATGCGGTACATGCAGAAACAACCGGGCAAACAGGTGACACCACCAAATACTGACTCGAAGGACTTGGCCAAGTGGTGAGAGATGAAGTATTCAAAGACTTGAATCGCAGTCACCCAACTATCTCTCTTGTTTGCAATCTTGGTCTCACCACAGAGACCCATGATATCCGGATCTTTGACCATGGCAGAAAGCATGTGCGTCAGACTGTCGGGGAAGACCTTGGTATCGGCATCAACCATGAGCACAGCCTCGTAGTAGTCCGGCGAGATACCAGTAACCTTCCAGAGACCGTTGAACATCTCAAACTCGAGCTCAGTCATACGCTCATCAAACATGACCTTTTGGAGGAAGGACATGAGGATGATCTGACTGTCACGCTTGCCTCGGTTGCCAGGCTTGGCCTTTTTTGCTTCATCAGGAGTGCCGCACTTGGAAACGAGCATCATCGGCACGCGCTGCTGCTTTTCCCTAGAAACAGCAGATTTCTCACCGAAGTCGTAGAAACCAGCGTAGATCTTGGCCATGTTGTGCCTCTTTGCACCGGAAGCAACAGCCACGTAGGAGAATGCTTCTACTTCATCAGGAGGGATGATATGATCCTTCATCATTCCAAGCACAATGTCTGGAGTGGTCATGGTCTCGCCCTGTCCCTTGATCAAGCCGTCGCAAATAACGAGAATCACCTTGTGGCTGTTGGGGTAGTCGGTGCATGCGATGGAGTCGAGAGTAGTCCTCAGACCAAGCTCACCCTCAGAGTAAGCGGTGACAAGGCAGATGGAGTGAATCAGAGGGAAGCCAAAGGGTTGGTAGTCGGAGGGGGGCTGCGGCACCACAGCATCATGGATGAAGCCAGCGGGACCATACCCATCCAAGGGGCTGGTACGGCTAGAGTAAGGATCCGCTGAGTTGAGAAAACTGGCTCTGCTGTCGTTGGTTTGCTTGTACATGGAATTGGGATGTAGGAGAGGTCCAGTGGAAGCTTGACTAGCCATCGTAGTGGGCTGAGGCCGCCGCGTAGGTTTGTCTACTCCATAGACTGCCGAGAAGCGAGACGTTGTGGGCAAGAAGGTACTCGTGCGCTTGCTCGTCCTGTCTGAACTGGCAGCCACAGTGCTGCCAATGTCGCCTGCCATTCGTGGTGGTGCGCGGTAGATGTCTTCGCTCCAATCTTCTATTTGCTGGTTCCGCTTTTTCTTACTCGATGATTGCGAAGTCTTGACAGCGGCATACTTTGGACTGATGAACCATTGGAAAACCAGGGCCAGAACAAATCTCACCAGGACAACGGACAAGATGAGGATCAAAGAGACGTACAAAACGACCTTGGATGCTATGCAGCCCACGGTCTCTGTGTCGACACTACCGACTTTAATGATCTCCTCAAAACATTCGGCAATCTCTTTGTCACCGCTCGATTGGAATGCGCGCGTGATGTCTCGTCCATGCACCGCAGCATTTGCTCTTGTGGTGCGGTCCCTGAGCTCCTTGAAACGGTCGGGAATGTCGACCTGCGTGTCGTCGAACCAATAGAGAAGATCAAGATCCAGAACGTTGCCCGAGTATACCATTAGGTTTCGACTGCTGTTCTTGATGTCGTCCCATTGAAAGAAGACATCAGCAGTGCCATCGAGGTCGAGGTAGAATGTATCACGAGCAGTCTCGCTGGTGTGGCAGGCATATCCAACATAATACTCCGTCGAAGTGTTGGGCGACGATGAACCATCTTGGTTGAAAGCTTTGCATGGGAAATACCAGCCCAGATCATCATTGCTGTTTGTAGGGATATCCGAGTCGTTTGTGCGCGTGATCAAACCTTTGCACTTGCCATTGACATTTTGGAAGAGGAAACTTCCGTCCTGGCCGCCATACTTTTCTGGCAAGTCGTACAAGACATTTGGAAGCGAGCCGTTTTCCGACAGAGGAATGCCCTCCGCGACTGGATGTCCAGAATCCACCAGGTTATAGGCAACACCGTGGAAAATCATGTAGCCGCTATCGACTTCGTTGATGCGAAGACGGACGCTTGTGGTTGCGCAGACTACTTGAGTGAAGCCGAATGTCAAGAATCCAACGAAAGCCATGATCAGCAAGATAATGCTAATGAGGCCCATTTTCTCTCTCCACGCTCGTTTCTGTGCCTTAGCCCTAAACCCGCAACATCCAAGTATGAAGTCCGGGCACCAGAAAGTGACAATGGCACAGTAGACATTCCAAATACTCGGCGGTCTGATTACTTCCTCACTTTTTTGTTTTCGAGCGCCTTTGGTGGACTTTGACTTTGACAGTTTTCCGCCAGAGGACTTCCTCCTTTGTGCGGTCGCGCGCGGCCGGTGCTTTTCGTCCCCGCTACGCTGCCTCCGTGGCGGCGAGTCTTGCGATTCGACCTCGGCCGTTCTCATGCCACCAGAGTGGTCGGTCGTGCCCTCAAAGTCCTCCAGGATTGGATCGTTTCCCGTCGAGGAGGGCAAAACCTCCATATTTGCTGCATGCTTTCGGTAGTGATAGTTGGGATGGTCTTTGCCAATCTTATTCCTCTCTGGTTTGATCAAACTTCTTTTGCGCGAGAGCCCCTGACTGTCAGCGCCAAATCCTTCCTGGTCAGCGGACGGCGACAGTGGCAGGTTCTCTGTGGTACCATTAGGATTCTGTATGGTCTCTGCAGAATTTCCCGAATGCGCACGTGAATGAGTTTGTCTTGAGACAGCATAGTAGCCTCCTCCCGTTTCGACGTCCGCCGGACGGGTGCGCCGCGTGGATGAGTGTCGGTACGAGGTTCGCTGCTCGTACGAGGTCCGCGAGGACGCCCCCGGCCTCTCTGGGAGGGACATGTTTTCTGCATTTGCAAGTCGAGTTAGCTGGATGCGCAACGTGGTTTTGGGAGTGGAACAGAACCGCCAACAAGAGTCATACGGCAAGCAAAGTTCCACGAGGCGCTGGGGACAACTGACAAAGGAAGTTGAGGCCGCGCCGAGTGAGGTCACAAGAAGTGCAATCTTTGCCTACACAATGGGCGGGCCAGCAAAGGGCTTTCGTGACTTGTAACAAATGAATCAGGGTGTGCGATGTGATACAGCGACGGTAGTGACCATAAAAAAGCGAGTGTATAGCGAGAGAGGGGTAAAAATGGGAGAGGATCCGAGAGATCGGAGAAAAAGACAGACAATAACAAAAACAAGACAACTACTACGACATGATTGAGCTTTCAAAATGCGAGCAGCGTGACCATGTCGCATGTGGTGGCAGTTGGGCAAGGTGGTAAGCAGGTAAGAGGGAAGCACTCACATACACACCACAAGGGCTGGGCTGGCTCGTCGTGGTGGGCAACTGGCTGAAAAGCGCCTCTGCTGGGTGTCCGCTGGTCGCACTCTTAATGGGAATCCCTGCTCTTAGGCCCCCGAGCCAAGGCCCCAAAAGTCCACTGGGCCCAGAACCGAGACGGTGGAGTGAGGGACAAGCGCTGAAGCCAAAAGCGATGGTACGCCGTACGGGCCACGGGCTTTCCTTATTTGGTGGCCCCCTTTCCCTCTTTCCTACAGACCAATAGAGGAAAACAATTTAACAAGAATAATTAAGCGAGAATTCAGTAAAAAAGACAACAGGCATGTACTGTGTAGATCAGAGTAGCTGTCAAAGCTGTCGTCGGGCTGCGGGAGCTTCTCTGTCAAACAAAGACTCGGTCGGTCGGTCGGTCTAGTCTGCTATGGTGTCCCTCTCTCTAGCTTTGGTGCTTTCAGTGACACTCGACGGAGCTCGACTTAAAACCGGCTATACAGAAAATAAATGTATCGTATTGGCGGATCGTTGGGAAGATCTCAGATGGATGGGCTGTATGACTGAGGAGCGATCTGGGGGATCGACAAGCGTCGGTCGTCTCAATGGGCAACAACTAGTTCTGCCCAGTTTTTATTCCAGCTGTTAGTAATAACAGCACGCCCGTGTGATGAGGTACAGTAGTAGTTTAGCAAGCTGATCGTTGGTTTTGCATGCAGCAGGCAAAGGCAGGCAGGCAGGATACAGGCCCTCGACCCTAGGATCTGTCGTTGTTTCAAATAGATGGGCGCAGTATGGAGACGAGTGATTAGTTGAGAATAAGTAGACGCAATCCGGCCAAAGCGAAAAAGTCCGATACGCAAAGATATGATAAGATATATTGCAGCGATTGCGTTACGTCGTTGGTGGAAAGAGTGCAGAGAACAAAGGCGAGTAAAGGTTGCTTGGGGTCAGGAACGGCAAGCAGAGCAGGGCGCGCATGTAATCTCTACAATATGCTGGAGGATACAAAGAGAGGCCACTTTTTGCTACCCGCCTGGATCAATAATAAATCTGTATTGGATATTGAAGAAGCTGGAGTCTGGAAGATAATCCTCCGACTCCAGACCCGGCCACCATCATGAACTGCTCTAGACCCGCCTCCCACAGATACTTGAGGAAAGGAGGCTATGCAATTGAATACCAGGACGCTGAAAATGCTCCGGTAGAAGCCCCAGACGTCAATCAAAGCTGCCATGCAGTCACTCAAAGACAAGTTAAAGGCAAACCGCCCCCCAATTGTCTGAGGATGGACTCCCAGTCTCAAGAGGATTCGGTTTTGATTGAGACAGTGTAAAACCGAATGGTTTTGTTTTGTGCCTGCTTCCCACTGAAGGCTGGTAACCTGGAAGAAAAGCAAATTAACTGTGTACCTTGCCTGCTTTACTATTACTGTAATAATTGACCCAACCTCAAAGCACGGCAGAGTCTCCATCCCTTCCCTTGCCTTCCTCTATTGATCACGAGCCGCACCTGACCTCGACGCCGAACTAGCCGACGCAGGCTAGGCTGTGATCTACCTAGTGTAAACAGAATCTCAGAGGTTTTATTATTAAGCTCCATGGAATCTGAGATGGCGATGCAGTAGCGTGTTCAGACGGGATACTATTATCTACGTACTTCTCTCTGTTCATGCACGGGGTTGGAGAGTTCTTTCTATTCATTGTCCAGTCGGTCGAAACCAGTCAAGTCCATTGGCCAGAGCCGTCCCCCACCAAATTGATAAAAGAGCATTCTCTCGACATTGATGACAATAATGGAGAAGGAAAGAAGATCGACGACATCAATATACCAGGGTCTTCCCCCCAGTGTCTGCCGCACTACTGCAACGACAGGGATCGTTACTCTAACAACCAGGACTATTTTTACACAAGCAAGATCCAGGATTTTTGCATCGTCTTGGTTGACCGCATCGACAATGGGAGAAAGAAAATAACAAGAGTTTGTATAGGTTGGTCATGCGCAATGTCTCGATACTGGCCAGTCGCTCCATTGCCTCAAGTGACGTCGATGCATGATTGAGTTGCGGTGATCCAACAGTGCGCTAGTCATGGGCGACGGCATTTTGTCCATGTTCATTGAGCTTTTCTTTTTCTTTTCTTTGTGATTTACTCCATGCGCTTGACCCCGCGGCCGGTAGGTCCTATCTACTGTCCACTGTGTAAGCATGGCTCGGAGCAAAACGCGGCTCAAGAACTATACTAGTAACCCATTGATCCCTCATCCCTCTCTATCAGCCCTTGGATCCAGAAACTGTCAAAAGGTTTGACTGTTGAAACTTGGGTCCCCGCACGCGCAAGAAAATGAAAAAGTGGGAGAGCGCCGCGATTATCACCGGTATTCACCGTCGCCGCGTCGTGGCTCATTACGCATCCCTGTGGACGAGGATATCCACCGCCTGGGACAGATCTTTCCAAAGCTCATGCCAGCACCCGCTCCCGACAGGAATAGGGTCCCGCTCTGTCTTTGATCGCCAGCAAGGAGCCTCGGCCTTGCTCGGTAGCGGCAGCAAACTGTATGGAATACTGGAGTGCACTCGTGTTTTACGCGTGTTATCTACCCACAGCTCGTTCGACCATGCCAAGGACGACATACTACTTGCTCCTGTGGTCCACCATAGTGAACTATCTGCACTTCTAGAAATTCCACAGCCGTTGGAAGACACACTGTTCAGTTAAGCTTTTGCCGGCGCACATACCCCTGGATTCGTTACAACTCTGTCCGTGGCTGCCCGTCGTCCTAGGTAGTTTTGGAAATGCATCGATCGCAGAAACGCGGGGATAAAGACTCGACGAGGCCCGGCAGAATAGATCTTGTTACAGATTGTCAATGGGCGTCGATTGGATTTGCTACACGCCATTCGAGAGCCCCTAATAACCCATGTGTGTCATTGCTATATTGCATGTACAATGCCGTGAGCCCCAGCCGATCAATTATTTTCGTGTTGGGCTTTCAAGATCTGTCGGCTTTTGATCATCCGCAAATGGAATTCATCCGTGCTCCTTGTCAGCCAGTGTTTAGCACTGCAAAAATTTTTCCCTTTGAGATATTTCCTAATTTCTCTGCGGCTGGCGCGAGTGAGGATCTAATGATACGACTTTATTTCGAGTGTAGGTCGCTGTCAAGAAAGGGCTAGCAATTCATTAGTCGTTCATTTCTATATAGGGAGCGGCAGGTAGGCTCTAACACGAGAGTGTGCCAGGCGCTCTAAAGCAAAACCATCGAACACGTGGGATACGCTACGAGAAGCGGCAGGCAGGCAGGCCATTCCAGGTTTTGCTTCGACTGTGCCGCTCCTCTATGGATCTTGGTTACCATTTCAACCTGACAAAAGCCAGACTGCTCCCATGTACAGACGACATGTTGCCGTCAGACTGCCGCCGCAGAAATTAGTTTCTGTCGATGCGTTCTAGAATAGTCAAAAGACTATTCGCCCAAGGTTCCCGTGCTCTGCTCTGGCGCACGGTAGATGCATTGGCATGAGCATGAATGCATCTAGGTATATCCGTCCACCTGGTTTGTCGTTCTTCGAGGTCCTGTGCTTTTAACGAGCCTCAAGTCACTTGTTAGCTAGTATGCAGCGTGAGTCTACATACCGTGTGCGGGTATGGCCAAGTGCCATACCACAGTGCCTACTCACGTTCCTATTAGGTGAGGTACATTGACGGAGGGGAGGTTCTGGGGAGGTCCAGGACTCCAGGGTCCCCTAATGCATTAGCCGCATTCGAAGCGCGACTGGCTGACACAATTTGCCTTGGCTTTTGAGCAATACGAACCACATGAGACGAGGGTGTGGTTCGTACTCTGACTTCTCGAATGCAATCCTCCCCATTCACGGTGGCGACGGCACTCACCAGAGGATGCAAGTAAGTCGTATAGATAAGGATCAACTTGCTCTCCGTTCTCAGTTTCTTCTTTAAGAGATCTTCGGTAGGTCTCCTGCCGCGTGATCAATGGGCCCGGTGCGGCAGTACACATCTTGATATCGCCAAAGCCTTGGCCAAGCTTGTCTGTAACTCAATTTTCAAAAAAAGACCCAACATCTATTGGCTTGAAGTGGGCTGAACGCCTTAATGGCAGATGCAGCCTCTTAAGCTGAAAAGCAGCCGTCCCCCTCCAAGCCGTGATGCAAATATCTACGTGAGTGTATATTGTGTAGATGCCGGTCTGTCAAAAGAGCTCGGATTTGGAAAGTGACTATGTATCTTCCTTAAAAAAAATCAGTAAATAAACCACAGATTTCCAATGCACTTAGTTGAATCGCTAATCGAATTAATACATAAATTATCCACTTTTCTCTTTTTATATAGAAACGTTTTTGGGAAGAAGAGAAGAGAAAAATTGAGCCTTTCCCTAATAAACCAGCTAATTTTGAAAAAAAAAAAAAAACGGCTGGTTTTCAAATCCGAGCTCCATGATGGTTTGGTGAGATGCGAGGCGGCAGACATCCCTGTTCCGCCAACCAGAGCTTCCTCTGCAAACTTATATTTGTCTTCGACCATCGATGTTGCTTTTTATGAACTGTCACAGACAAGTCTAGAGTTTCTTTCCATGGTAGCAAGCGCATGACCGGTGCGTTTCAAAGCTCTTCAAACTCATACATGACTCTATGCTGAAGTCAACGAGTTGAGTTCATGCATGTATGACATGTACCCACGAAAGTCTGAAATTCTGAACAACACCTCGATAGGATTCCATAGTTGGTGGAGACATGCAGCCCGTGCAATGTGCATCGCTTTGGCTACTAATGTAGTATGATTTGCCTATTGGAACCCGAAGTAACCGTCAAGAAACATTGAAAGACGACGCCAATATCCGTGGGGCCGGCTTATGACTGCCTGAAATGGATTTCTCAAGGGTTCTTGATAGGCATCTAGTGACAGAAACTCCAGCAATCAACATACTATGTAGAACTGCTTGTTGCAAAAGCCGTATTCATCGTCCTCGTGGTCGCGGCATATATGCATCTCGAGGTAGTCGATCCACAACAGGCTTGCGTTAACTGGCAAGTCAAAGTGCAACCCCCACAAAAATATGCGTGCGACACGAGCTTCCTGACGTGCTGAGTGTACTATTTAGACAATTGACGATTCTAGAGGTGTGCGGCCTTCATTACAAGTCGATAGTGCGATTTTAAAACTTCGTGATAGAAGTCGAAAGGGGGGTCCATAGCCGCCGCAAGAAGAAGGAGGAGCAGAAGGATGAGCCATTGTGTCGGCACAAACCATGGCTGACCTACCCATACTAATCGTTGATGGCTGATGGCGCGAAACCAAGCCCAGAATTAGCAAGAAGCTGAACGGCGTTTGGTGGAGTGTGAACGCATCTGTCAACACGCTCCCGCATTCGCCGAAAGAAAAGAAAAGAAAAATAATGGTCTAGTCTACAATCCGTTCTCCTCCTTCTCAACCCTAGGCCCCTGAAGATCTAAAGCCCAGTCCCTTGTTACCTGGTTGTAGTGGTTATTAGTGGAATCAGGCAGATCACAAAGGCGCCGTGCTCATCTTTCCTACTCTACATACCTAGGGCCAAGTCGAGAGTATATTTCGTGCAGCCGACGCTTGTCCCCTAGGTAGGTAATAAATAAGATAGATTACCCTGGTACAGGTAATGTCAGCCGCTTGACCATTTGTTTAATGTAGATACTTAGATTAATTACCCCCCGAGAGCGGCGGCGTGGGCAAGTGTGAGCTCAATTTCAACGTCAGAAACCTTTGGCACCAAACCCGGTGTTTTGTTAGTCAACAGCCTCGGAGGGGTACCCTTTTTATCTCTCTTTCAAGGCTGCCAAGCTGCAAAGCTTTTCGCAACCAGAAAGGATTTTCTATCCTTCAACAGGGGGCTGGCGTGAAGATCTTTCTCTTCTTCTCTCTTTGCAAATCCAACGCCAAAGGAGGAAGACGACAAGTGCAGTTCTGTTGGAGTGGTTGGTACGTATGCTTTCGTCATCTGTCAACTTGAGTTTGCCCTGCCCTGGCCCTGCTCCGTCCGTACCTACATGTACGTACCGCTATGTACGCGGTTCCCTCACGTATGGAGTAATGTATGTACTCCACTCAGATGCCCCCGGCTCTTTACGCACGGTAGGTGGAGGGGCCGCTAGTCACCCTTGTACACGCTATAGCCGAGCTCTTTGGGGTCCTAGGCAGCTCAGTTGTAGGCGGGTCCGTACACAGTGCACATTGTTTTAGTGCACTGCTTCACTCTGTCTGCTACCGAACACATGGTGCCATAGTGCTGAGTAGCGCTTCCATTGTCGACCACCCCGTGGCCCCAAAGCAGTGGATCAATTGCCCTGCGCTGCAGCTTCCCTCGTCGGACCAGAGTCTAAAACTCCCCGATATGCTGACCGTCCTACCTATTTACTTTTCCACTTGAGTGGAAAGGCAACGTCAAGTATCATAGAAGAAGCCTGAAACGGCATCACACTCTTAGTGGGCAATCTCACGCCATTGCATTCTTTTTTTTCTCCTCTTTCTCTCTGCTCTGAAGAGTCCTCTTCGGTTTCTTTCTCTCCTCGACCGACAAACCCGCTTCTTTCATGTCCACCTTGTTTCTAACGAGCATTCGCATTCAGCATTAGCATTACCGGCGTCGTACTACACCTACCCGCCGTCTTCCGGCTGCGCTCTGCGTCCTACATAAACGCAAGGCCACAGTCAATGTTTGCCGTGTACTTTCCGACATTCGCGACGGAAATTTCTTGGTAGCGACGCTGTCAGGATAACAGCAGCGTTCGGATTAATCAGTACGGACGAGTCGAACAAGGTCAACTTGGCCAAAGAGCTTCGGAAAGACAAGTGACTTGTTGTCCCGCACCTTGGTTGTGCGCAGAGGTGGAACCGGCCACGAGGCCGCCAGATTGCTTGCAATTCTTGAGTGTAGCTGGGTGCTGTCTGCAAGAAAGAAATGGCAACTGTTACGAGCTCGCCGCCGCCCGCAGGGTTTTCGGCGCCCGAACAGAAACCTCAACCCGAGTCAGATGTGTCTTCCCACCGCTACCGTTGGAGCGATGCAACCGAGGATTCTATAATAAAACCACTCCCGGAGCCGCCCGAGAGCCCCAAGATAAAGGCAGGGCCGGTGTCTCCTGTACGAATGAGCTTCTATCCTGAGAATTGGGCTCAGCCTATCAACGCCAGCATTGAGGGAAGACAGACACTGACAGTCGCGTCCGACGACTATACGGATCGAGAATTGCCCAAGTCGCCTGATGCGCCGCCACCGCCGCCCCATAGCCCTGGCTATGCGTTGCCCGATGTTGCGCCTCTTGCGGAGAGACGCTTGGCGCAGCAGTCTGTCGGGAAACCATTGCCTTCCACATTTGCGGCGACTCTTCCAGATCGTACCGGCCAAGGGGGGCGTCCTGGCATCAAGTTAGTAAATGACACTTCTGATGCGAGTGACAAGGAGAATGTTGAGAGTCATGGGGTTCGAGATCATCATCAAAGCCGACTCAGCCAGGAATCAGACTCTACAGTGAGTACGCAACCTCAGGACAAAGCTTCCACAGAAGCATCGGCCGAAACAAACGCGAGTTCATTCTCTCAGGATGCGCCAGGCTCCAAGAATTCAGCTGGTAGTGCATCTCCAGAGGAATCTGTATTCGAGGGGCAACAATCGTTTCAGCAGCTCCAATATCACCATGATCAAGGCTCCACGCCGCGAACTTCGGGTACTCCATTAGCACCAGAATCGCGACCATTGTCCACTCTCGACGCAGCCGAATCGGCAGCGATCATCAACCGCCATTTGACTCCCAATTCTTTCCAGAGGAGAAGCTCCATGCCTCGTCCAGGCTCGTCGTATTCGGTGTATTCGTCTCCTGGCCCACACGGCCGTTCGGTGTCTTCGCAAGCCCGGAGGTCTCCAGAGACTCGCCCGCTGTCTTATGCCGAGCTGCTCAGTGTCCCATATCCGCAGCCAGCCCCCGCGCCGTTGAACATTGACAACACGCACCTGCGCAACAACGTTGGTAACAATGCCTCACTTTTGAGTGCTCAGAAGACATTGGAGATGTACCGGCAAAATGTCAGGAAGACCAACGACTTTTCAATCCAATATTCCTTTGCAGTCTTTTTGATCTCCACTGCACAAGAACAAGGTTTCTCCCCAGAGGAGCCAACTCAAAAAAAGAAGGTTTCCAGATCACCGGCACGAGAAGGTGAAAATGAGGACCAATGGGCCCCAGGCTCGTCACCTGCAGAGCTAGTGCGCGAGGCAAAAATCATATTGACTCGGTTGGCGAATGGGGGTTATCCTTTTGCTCAATACTACCTTGCAGATGGCTATGCATCGGGCTTGTTCAACAAAGGCAAGGAAGACTATAATGCCGCTTTCCCCCTCTTCGTTTTGGCTGCGAAGCACGGTCATGCTGAGTCTGGATTCCGTGCCGGGCTTTGCTACGAATTTGGCTGGGGTTGCCGGAAAGATCCCGCAAAAGCAGTACAATACTTACGCACCGCCGCCTCAAGGGGTCATCCAGGAGCTATGACGAGGCTGGGCAAGGCATGTCTGTCGGGCGATTTGGGCGAGCCTCGATATCGCGAGGGAGTCAAATGGCTGAAGCGGGCGACCGAGGCGTCCGATGCCATGTACAATGCAGCACCATACCAACTTGGCCTTTTATATGAGACCGGGTACGGTGATGATATCTTCAAGGATGAAAGCTACTCGGCGGAACTCTTTACTCAAGCGGCAGAACTCGGTCATCCTGAGGCGAGCTTCCGAATGGGCGATGCCTACGAGCATGGAAAACTCAATTGTCCAAGGGATCCAGCTCTCAGCGTCCACTTTTACACTGGTGCTGCAGAACGTGGCCACGCCGGCGCAATGATGGGTTTATGTGCGTGGTACATGGTCGGAGCTGATCCTATCTTGGAGAAGGATGAAGAGGAGGCTTACGAATGGGCTCGCCGCGCCGCAGACCAAGGTATGCCCAGAATGATATTCTGCTCTTGTTCTTGTCTTGTGACTAATTATCCTTCTTTCAGGTCTTGTCAAAGCACAATACGCCGTAGGGTACTTTACGGAAATGGGCATTGGCTGTCGTCGAGATGTGCTCGAAGCCAATGTGTGGTACGTCAAAGCAGCTGACGCCGGTGACGAACGCGCCAAGCAGCGACTTGCCGCCATCCGCGCGGCAGTCAGCGGCGGCACACCCATGGACGTTGCGCCTCCACGAAACGCAAAGATGAAAAAGGCTCCGCCCAAAGAAGGCAAGGATGATAAGGAGTGCGTGGTAATGTGAAGGCAGCTGCCTATAACATGCGCTTCGCAATATGTCGGCCTCACGATTAGCCTTCGTTGCCCACGGAGCAAGCAGCGGTGTTCAAGCGTGCCACCCAGCCATGTGCTATTGGTCAAGGGCAGCCTCCAAGGGCACAGACATATCTTCAACTTACTCATGCATGGCTGCCAGGCGCTGCTGGCCGGAATATGCGGTAAGAGCGAATTTGGGACCAGGACGGACGAAATATAATGGTCGCTCAGGGATCTGTGGGAAAGGATAACGGGCCGGAATATAAGCTCGTCGAATGACTGACTGGCTTCATGGCAAGAAGATAATGTATTCATTCACGATTTCCAGGCACGAGATCGTGAAGCGCCTTTTCTTTTTCTTTCAAGCTCTCAGAGGTGGTAACGAAACACTCCCCAAAAAAGGACAGTGCATTTACATGCGAATCGCATCGCGGGAACCAAGGGCATTACTTTTTTTTTTCTAGGATAGAGACAAACTTGCTCCCACAAAATAATCGGCGTTTGGAATTCCCAAGAGGCCCCTATTGCCCTTTCCCTTTTTCTGTTTCTTGTTCTGTTCTGCTCGGCGTAGCAAGCAGGGCGGTATCTCCTTTTCACCGGCGTCTTGGTGGGCAAGAGAGAGACGGGTTGCAATTGGTTAAATCACTTTGGCAGATAGAGAAGAAGAAGAAGAAACTTGTTTGCAGTGTTTGTTTTGGTCAAGCAAGCAAGCGTCCATCTAAGGAAAGAAGAAAGTCTATAACTTAATATAGAGAGAATCCCCCTTCTCTTTTGAAATGTGTTTTTAACCGCAAAATGAAGCTGGCCTTGTTTTCTTGGTATATTCACTTGTCCCCTGGTCTCCCGATCTAGCAAGATGGCCGATGAGTAGATAGTCCAATATGCTTGGGACACGGCGTTGTAGACACACGCAACTCGAGCTTCATATGCACATAATTACCGTACTTAGACGAGATCACAAGTTGAAGACGGGAAACAAGGTATATTAAACGTAAAAACGCTAGGCCATGCAAGTGAGAGCAGCAAATAGACGAGTCATGAACCCAAACAACGCCGTCGTTACCCAGCCTTTGAGGCTGTCTTCATGTCGTGAACGGGCATTAAGAAAGAAATAGGTCAAAAGGGAATTCTCTCTTCCTCCTCTGACCACCAATCATCAACGTAATTCAACAGACGACCTCAACGCAATACTGCCCAAAAATCTATGTACCGAAAATTCAAATCCTTTTGATAGGATGCAGCCACTCACTGCCTTATGCAGCAGCAGCTTTCTTCCTTTCTTCGACATCATCACCGAGCTCGTGAGGGTTCTTTGGATCAACCATGGCACTGAAACGCTCGTCGCCCCATCTGGCGCCAATGGTCACCCAAACGTGCTTGCTGGGGCCAGCCACGACCGTCTCGCGGTAGCCCGTCCACATCATGCGTTTACCACGGCTCATATCGCTATTGCCGATGCCCTCATTAGCAACCCACTCCTTGATGACATTCTTAATGAAGTCCACTTTGCGTCGGAAGTCATTGGCTGCAGGAATGCCTTGAAGCATGGGGCTGATATCGGGGCGTTTGCGCGCCTGCGAGCTCTGAGTAGTGCGTGTAGGGCGGACAGCAGGCTTGGTAGCAAAGTTGAGAAGCGTCTGCAAGGGGTAGCTAAGAACTGCTCGTTCGTCCAAGGCCATCTCGTCAAGCTCGCCGGTTTGGGCAAGCTTGATTGCGGCATCTTGGGGCAGGTGCCAGAAATGACACCATGTACCAGTCGGGTCCAGCACAATTTTGGTGTGATCAGGGAAGTTGAATTGCAAGTGACCATCGGCAAAGACCCAGCATCCAACATCGCCAATGCGTTGGTAGAATGTGACAACGTCACTGGGGGCCACTGTACTGCTTGTGCTAGTTGGAATTTGAATGTGGCCTGTATCGTCGGTTGGAGCCTCTTGGTCACGGCCATAGGCCATCATGTAATTAGCAAATTTCTTCCACAGGATTAGGTGCTCTCGTTTGCGGTAGTCGTAGATATCTTTGCCAACTGGAACTTTTCCTGGGGTACCATCCTCGTCGACGGAAATCTTGAACTGCCTGGGGGGCACGTTAACTGCAGAGAGGCCAGCCTCTCCGTTGTTTTCAAAGAACTGGATTGGCTGAGTCATGGGCACAATTTGATGCCGGTCAGGGTAGCCTGGATCGTGGCGTCTCTGGCAGTGGCTTTCGGCGTCCCGAACCACGATGCATGATGGGGGCAACTTTACAGTCTTGCCTCCTCGTGCTTTGCCAGGAAGGCTCTTTAAGACACAGCCAACACTACCATCGTTGAGGATGTAGCCAAGACCAAACTTGTTGGAGTAGTCTACCCACTTGACAACGATATGTGGTGTGGAGGGAGTCTTTGCCGTAGCCTTACTGACAATAGCCATGGTTCGGGCATTCAGTGCTCGCTCCAGTTCGGCCTGCAGTCGCCGTAGCCTGTCTAGCACAATATCGGGCTTCGTGTCGGCAACTGAGCGTTGTGGCTCCGACGGGCCGAAAAGCGTCTCCATGCTGGCCTCCACGGGACCCGATGACACGGCTGGAGCTGGCACCGAGGCCGCCGAACGTGCCGGTGCAGTTTCCTTGGCCTTCTCAGCGGGCATCTTCTTGCTCTGTGTGGGCTGCAGACGTCCAGCGGGAACAAGTGGTCTTATTGGCAGACTGATGACTTCAGGGGCAGATTCAGCGGGCATTGCGAGGATGTTATCCTCAGTGTTGCTCCGCACGAGTTCCCGTTTGGTTCGAGAGCGTATAGTCCCACTGGCAGTTGGCAGTGATTCCATATCAGCGAGTGTCTGGGCGCGGGACAGTGTAGCAGGTTTAGGTCGGCCTTGTGCTCGCTGCTGTGCTGCAAAGCTTTGGGGAGGCTCTCTTAATAAACCCCTTGGTGCTGTTTGGCCAGCCTGTGTCGAGACCAAGTCGTCCTCGGAGTTAGTTCGTGAAGTAGACAGGAGCGACACTTGATCAAGCGCCTGTTCTCTGCTCACGTCTTCGAATGGCCTGTACACGATTCCCTCGGCCAGCGGAATGATGGGTGTCAAGCCAGCTTTTTCTTCCAAGGCGACCTCTCTCCACGTGCTTGTGTACACTTTTTGCGTATCATTCCATGGCCCGACTTCACATTCCTGGCACAGCTTCTGCAAGTGGCGCATGTTTCGCGCAATCTGTGCTGTCGACTGGTCAATCTGGTAGAATGCGTCGCTCTCGGGAGGATAGTCCCTAAGCTTTGTGGTGATCTCAGCTGGAAGAGGAACATGACCTGAAATGAAGAAATCGTGCTGGACAATGATGTCGGGCTCTGGTCGCTGATCGGCTTCCACCAGCATCGTTGCGACAATCTCCTTGAATTCCTGGCTGATATATCTGTTGGTGCCTTCAGTGCTGGGCCACTCATAGTCTCGATTTCTTGCTCGTCGATAGATCTCGTCTGTTGTCGACGACTGGAAAGGGGGCTTTGAAGTGAACATTGCGAACCTGTCATCCGGTGAGTTGGTGCTGCAGCTCCAGGAGAAGAGCAAACTTACATTATAATGCCTAAGCTCCAGATGTCGACCATGTGGTCATGACCCTTCTTGCCCTTTTCCAAAATCTCGGGTGCAATGTAATTTGGCGTACCACAGAGAGTAGTGCGTCTGATTGTCTGCATGTCCCTACCTGTGACGAGCAGGGCTGCCAGACCGAAATCACCAATCTTGGCATTCATGTGTCTATCAAGGAAGATATTTCCCATTTTCAAGTCACGATGGATGATACCCTTGGCATGCATGTATTTGATGGCGCCGGCGATCTGTACCGAGTAAAAACGGACTTCAGGTTCCGTGAGTCCCTTTCGGCGTTTGACCATGTCCATGAGAGAACCGTTTGGGCACAGTTCTAGGATCAGATATGTGCATTTTTCCATGGAGAATGCTCTCAGAAATTGTACAAGGTTCTGATGCTTCATCTTGGAGTGAATCTGAAGTTCAGTTTGGAACTGTGAGAACGGTCAGTTGAGAATTATCAAACATGCAAGAAGCATTCAAACCAACCTTCTGCTCCATCTTGGGCTGCATCTTGCTCTTCACAATCTTCAGGGCATAGCGCCTCCTTGTGCCTTGCAGCACGCCTTCGTAGCACACGGCGAAGCCTCCCTTGCCCAACATCTTGCCCACCTGGTACGAAGCGCCATCTCGGCGATCATTGCTCGGCGGCTCGTAGATGATGGGGGGCGGAGGAGGAGGGTGGTCCTTGTCCTTGGAAACTGTTTTGGCCGCCAGCGTGGCTTTTATTTTGGCAGGATCGACGACAGGTCGGCTGGGGATCTGGACGTTGACGTCTCTCGGGGACAAGGCGTCTGTGTCAAGGCCTTGTTGTTTTGTCGCTAGGACTCTGTCCGCCATTGGGGCTTCCAGCTGACAGGAGCAGCGCGTTGTCAGCCAAAGCAGGGCGAGTTTCTGGCTAGAAGTAGCAGATTCTGGTTCGTCTGTTGTTGCTGTTGCTGTTGCTGTCTGCCTGTGGAACAGACTGAAAAAGAAAGTAAATGTTAGACAATTCCGAACATTGAATTTTTGCAAGTTGTAATATGTCGTGAGTAAACAATGGGCAAAGGGCGGCAAGTGTGTTGTTGCGGGGGAGAAAGGATCGTATTGTAGAAGATGAATGGAAGCTTATCGGGTCACAGCGGCGTGTATGATGAGGTGCCCAAGCCAAAGTCCTGAGTTGCAGCCCACTACTTGACTGTCGCGTGCGTGGTCAAGTGTACTCTGTAGAGAGGCACAAAAACATCAAGGGAGGAAACAGCAAAGATGGGGAAAGATTAGAATCGCACCTACAATTGTGGACGTTAGTTGCATTAAGAGAAAGAAAAATAAAAGACGACTCCCGAATAGGCCAGGTCAGGTTGGCGTCATGCAGAGCGGCTTCTTTCTACTTGAAAAGCTCGTCGGTTGTGAATGCAATGAGTGGTAGTGATGCAAAGAAAGTTTGTCCAGGACGTTTAGGAATTGGATCTTGAGCCCTGCGGGTTTGGTATTCGCAGCAAATCCAGCGCACGAACGTTTTCGTTTACTCCATTTCAGATTGGCCCGGCAACCACCAGGGCCGGGTCTTGGCAAGCCTACGACCGACCCCCGACAGCCCCCGAGGGACCACTAAAACTCGCCTGGCCCTAGTGCCAGCTCGCTGTGCTTCCAAAGGCTCCACAGAAGCATCAGCGGGCGGGACAAGACGTTGTACGGCACGGCCGGTGCAGACCCTGAGATATCCTCAATCGAGTCGGCAAAGAGCCGTATATTTTCCCCAACCCCGTCAAACTATTACGCAAATTATGGTATATACTTTCTCTACCGACTCATAATCATTACAAAAGCCGGATATCATCTATGCGACAGCCGACGAGTGCTTATGCCCTTGGGATCCGGCAGTGGTGAGAGTCAGAGTACGCCCAGAGCTTCTTCCGGGTTTGGTGGGAAGATGGTCGCGCTACCTCTGTTCAAGCTCGCGTCCTTGTTCGTGAGGCATGTGTCCAAATATGGCGCTGTGAGTGTTTTGCGCGCTGCTTGCGCTCCTGCAACATTAGGCCGATTCGTTTACTAACTCGACCTCGCAATAGAATCGCATCAAGAAACAAGCACACGAACATCCAGCCTTTCGAGCCTGGGCGGCGAGTGGAGGACAGGTCATACATCAGTTGAACATGAAGATGTCGGTAGCGCTGTTGAGGGACCCCGAAGCAGAACAGAGAGCCAAGGAAAAGGCCGAGGCGCCGACAGTCAAGACAGAGGATCAGCAAAAGAAGGATGACGAGTTCAAGGCAAAGCACGGAGTTACAGCCGAGGAGGCACGCCGTAACGCAAAGCGGCCAGCCAACATATTGACTGTGTGGAGACGGAAGTTCAGGCCGTTGCCGGAGCCCAAGGCTGTCGACCTGTTTGCCGACGTTATTGGCGACGCCTTCATCTTGTCTGTGGCGGTTGCCCTTGTCATATATGAATGGTACAAGTCGTCCACCAAGCCCGATCACAACGCTGAGCGGATCAAGGAGCTCGACGCTAAGCTCGAGTCTCTTGAACAAGAGCGTGAGAACGAGCGCAAGCGTCAAGAGAGCCGCATCTTGACGCTAGAGATGGCCTTGAGGAACTATAAGGATCCTAAGACGAAGCAACCACTTCTCCCTCCAGCGCCAACTTCTATGATCACGCCACCAAAATCACCACCGGCTTCATAGAGGCGGAGATAATTGCCTGCCTCTCCTAATGGGGTGCAGCACGAGAAGTTCATGTATCTGTACTTGTATTACTCCATCATGTGGAGGCTTCGTATAGTCAACGACCACGTGTTCCGCTGGTGGTTGGTGCAATGCTGTAATTCTTTTTTTCTTGGAAGCATCATGCGGATATTTGGATATAGACTTGGGACCAATAGATATCAATAGATAGAGAATGCTGTTGTGCACAGCTTGTACAATATCTCTCAACTCTGGAAAGAAAGAGGAAATAACATAAAACAAAATTTATATGATACCAAGGTGATGCCTTTCGATCGACCTCGTGCTGCAAGTTGTTTATATTTTCTTCTCGCACATCTACCATTACCAGATCAAATGCACAGCATCATCAATGGGTATGTAGTTGTTGCACTATAATCAAAGCAGGTCGTACCTTCAGTCAGAGATGAAGACTTGTGATAGACTAAGGTAGGTACGATACGGGATGTTTGCTGATTTGGACATGGCAAGGAAGGCGGCGATAGGATTCCTCCGCCGATGAATCCATTTCTTTCTGAGCAATAATCAACGTCTAACCATCTCCATATTTCCTGGCTTGCTGCCAACGTTCAATCTGCTATCATTGTGTCGTTAGGTACACATACAGTCACGCCGGCTAAACTCTTCCCAAGACACCGCGAGGCATTTCATCTGAGGTAAAATTACAGGCTATAGCTATTCTTGTTCAACTTGGTGGCCAGCATCCCTGATCTTGTGAAGTGGCCAGAAAGGAAAGGCAGCGTTGAGAAGCCATGATTTCTCAGAGCGAGTTTCCCAAGGCTGTGGACATGCCTGTCATTTGCTCCTCGATGCGCAAGAGGCCTGATTGGGCCTCACTCTTCCCAGCGCTTCTGCGCAGTGATCATCCTGGAGGGAGGTGGAAAGGTATGGCACCGCCTTCAATCTGATCCTCCAGGGGCTAAGTTCCCGGCGTTCATACTTGCTGACTGATCTTGAACCATTGTTTCCATGTAGAGGCTCAGCTAAACACTCACGATGTGGCCATACCATTGCACCTACCTGGGCAGCCGTCTCGTCTCGTCTTCCGTGCCATCTGCTTGTCGTCTCATGACGTCGATTCACTTTCAACGCGCGAGCGCTTGGAGAGGCTTTACAATCTCAATGGCGGCCAACAAGTGGCCGTGGTTGTACTTGTAAATACAGCCGATGCCGATAATGGTCAGGAAATGATGATAAGATTGCAATTAGAGTAAGTGTAATTCCTATCCGTTATGGTGCCTAAGATCATCACATCATATCGTAATCACAAGTCACTAAACGAAAAGAACAGGCTTATGGGTGGACGCGAGATGCCTGTGCTCCCGATTGTACGCGCTGAGGCGTTATCGGAAACGATCCAGGCATTTTGTCGACAACTGCTGCAGACGACGGCTTCTGCCACACAGCCCAATGCTGTTCGAGAATTGTTACCATATTGCTCCGACCTTCAAAGGCTCACAGAACACAGTGTTAATGTACTTAGCGACATTACTACTGATTTTCGGGACATCGTCACAAAATCAACAGCTGCGGATGGGCAACAGTTGTTACGAGAATTCATAGGTGAAGATGCAGAAAGGTTGATTGGCTTCTGGCATGATGAATATGCCCTCTGAGTGAAGCTAGTATTGGCTTAGAAGCCGAAGAAGTCTGGTGCACTGGCTATGTGAGGTCGGGGGGTGCATTCACATATCACATTAGTGGCGCAATGACAAGAATAGAACTGTCCAGGCTATGCTGCATTGACTTGAGTTGTCAACTGCATGCATTTGCTGTTCGTGGGGGAATAGTCTTGGTTGGGGTCATATTGCAACGCCAATGCAGAGACCATTGTACAAAAACGACCATGGGCATGAAATTGGCATGCAAGCTTTGGCCCGTCCTTCTAGCCATCTTCGACGCAGATGATTGCAAAGATGGGGGATATAGGTCATATAGTCCAGAAGTCCGAGTTGAGAACATTTTATGTTGAGTTTTTAAAATCGTGGGTGCCCGACGAGAAGCATCATATTGCCTGCTAACCTTTGACTGGTGAACACGTACCGAAACTCGCCTATGGTCTCTAGAAAATCGATACGTATTAACAAGAAATTTCGACCATGTGGGAGGTATCCCTCACTCTTAGCAGGAGATCGAGATTGCCGGATGTAGTGAATGCAATATTTCCCAAACTACGATATCTGGTGAGCCAGGCTACATTTGTCAAATACATAAGCCCATCACAGGTCAACAGTTGATAACCATCACCAGCCACAATGCGAATGCGGTGGACTAGACGGACAAGTTTACCAAAATTGGCGTAGAACCTTTATTCTAGTTCAAGCTAGGTGTGTTAATATACCCTACATTCTCTGGATATGAATGGAACTCCCGATCTTTAGTAGAAGCTCGCGTGGATCAAGTCAGATCTTCGGGGTGGCAGATTAGGAGCAGCTCCAGATTAGTACTCTGTATAAACCTTTAGCGTAGGATGCGGGGAGACGGAGATGCCAAAGAAAGAGACTGTTCATTGGTTCGGACTATAAAAGACGACCCTGGGTAGCTAGGGAAACCCATACATAGTAGGACCCGAGCCATCACAGGCCAATTAGGACACGGGAGGTGCCGCCGAACGGCAGTGGTGCAAATACCCATGCGAGTGTCCCTGGCTTTGGTGCACACCGCATCTGTGTACTACACGCTACTCTGTGGGCTGGGAAGTTTTTCACAGACTGATAGACACTTGAGGATGTTCGTTAAATTTTTGTATCTAAAAGCACTACATGAGAGGCCGGAACCGGCATTCGTATTCTCCCTTTTCGAATATGGAGAAATTCTTATCAGAAAGTCCACGTTCTTCCCTTCGATCTACTTTGACAGGAAGGAGGAGGCGTGTAATGGTATTGCTGATGTCTTTCGAGCCCCTTGGGCAATCCGCATATTCTTACGGGCCCAGAAAATACTCAACCTGGTGTCTTGGACATGAAAGACGATGCGCTGGTGAAAAAGAGGCCAACTCGTGCTTATTAACCAAAATCATGACTACGGACAATTACAGGCAAGTCAGCCTAATGTGCCCAATACGTACCCGTGGACGTCGAAAATCCATAAGCCAAATTACTAGACATTTACCAGCGGGGCATGTCATCCAATGCCTTTGACACAGAGGTAGAGTGGAGTTTCCAAAACTTGAACGCGATGCGGCTGATGATGGTTCGAGGTCAAGCCATGGCTTTTTAAGATTGTGAAGAAGGAATCTACTGGCGAGACGATGCGCAACAATTGCAGCTGTCAAAGGTCAGATGTATGGATGTTATTAGCTCAACTACTACCTAAGGTTAGTAGTACCTATGCTATGCGCCCGCTGTTAATAAGACGAACGAGCGACCAGATTCCCACCCCTGTCGACCCACGTCAAACCTGAGTTGCTTCAGTTGCGAAACTCCCATATTGTCTGAGCACAACTTGATCGCCACAAGGGCACCGTCGCAGATATTCGGATGACATCAATTCCATTTCTATTTTGTATCTGTTGTCTGAATTAAGACAAACAATCATTGGATGCGTTCAGTTCTAATAATAATAAAGGTACTTTGCAGAATAGTGGCAGTGGTAAACGATTCAAGAGGTTGGGTTGGTTATGCAAGTCGAATACTGTCACACACACTAATCCTTTTTGGCAGCCACCCACTGGAAAAATGAACATCGGCTAATGTTGTACGACAAGGAGCCGAATACAACGATACATAGCAGGTAGTAGGTAACATGGTAGTTTCTTGTTGGAGTCGGGACGGAATTGCCTGCGTGACATGGCCAAAAAAATCATCATGTTCCGCTAAAGAATTCTGTTATGCATTACGCTAATGAGTCCATGTGCAATTGACCCATCGATGATATCCGGACTTGGTAGGTATTCCGCACAACCAACTTTATAGTGGATCAATACTACTACCGTGTACGTTGTGTTCAAGATGAATTCATGGGTTGGAAGAGCCCAAAATCGTACCCTAGGAAACCATGCCGTTCATCGTCAATCCGTGAGATCAGCTGGCATTACGACTCGATTTATTTTTTTCTCTTTCTCTTTACAACTGTTCAGTCAAGACTTTGATCACATTCAAGCAAAGGGCAGAGCACAGCATGTTCGCATTACTTGACTGTCCAAGGATTAGAACATAACAAGAACGAGAGGACCCTGGCTGACCTGGGGTTACATACCCCCCCCCCCCCCCCCCCCCCTGTCAGAGGTCGAGCTTGGCAATGCATGAAGCGACACGGTCCGCGCCCATGATTGGCTCATTAGCACCATCTAACCGCCGTACCCAAGTCCAATCACCTTGCCTTTTCTTCGCATCACTGCTATTCTTTGCCTGCCACGATTCATCATCCATCGCGACCTTTGATCAACTATGTACAAGTTGCCTACCCGTCTTCGCAGTAGTATGCTGCGTAACCGCCCTCTACTACTAGCAGCTACTCAGTGCTGCCCCTCTCAGGTACCTCGAGCCTGCCGAGTCCAATCGAGAGCTGATTTCCACCTGCTCCTCCGTACCCGCCGTTCTCGCTTGCCACCTCTCCAGGCCCCAAAAGTCGATAGTTGTCAACCTTTGGGCCGCTTTCCGGCTCACCCTAGAAGAACCCTTGTCTGTCCATCATGAGACTTGAAGATACTCGTTGCGCTTTTCTCGGAATTGCCCCAGACCACGTACATGAGAACCCTTGTCATGTTCTTCTTTTTCCCTCTCCTCTGTAGTACATAGTAGTAGTAGTACACTGTATGCAACCTAGCATTGGCTGTAATAATGGCGGTCTCGGTCGTGAGGGTCCTAAAAAGTCGTGGCTGATGAGACTGCATGTGGCCCCAGTGCGGCCCCATTTACACGCCTGTCGTCTCTTAAACTCGCATGCCGCCGCTTTGCTTGCCTAGACGACCGTAGATCTACAATACCTACATTTTCTCATACATGAAGAAACCTCCTGGTGCCTCATAATACCCCTCGACTCCCTGGTGACGGGTTTTGTCTGATCTTCAACCCTTTGTTAATGCGACGAAGCAGAGCCGCACCGCACGAGCAAACTCTGGCACAAGCGTTGCACCATCCACCACCCACAACCATCCTGGCGGGACATCAGACACTCAAGACAAGGGCCGCCCCCCCCCCCCCCCCCCCATAGATATCTGAGCCGCACTTTCAAATACCTACAACGCTCTACTAGGCTCAAACATTCGATCGTCTTCTTCCTCTTTGGGGCTGACCGCGAGACACACGAGAGTTCCATTGCGGCTCAACACTAATACTCTTATTCCGGTTAAGGTTTTGAAGGCCTGTTCCTCCTTTGCCTTGCCGTCGCGCCAAGGGATCCCATCCTCTCATCTGGAAAACGGCGGAAACAGAGAATGCCGCTCGGATGCCCGCTGTCATCATAGATCAGATTATCAGAACTTGGATCTCAAACGAGACACTAGCATCCACTCAGAAGCATCTGAAGTGACCAAACCCCCCCAGCAGCAGCAGCAGCAGGGCATCGTCTCTTCTGATACAGCCTCTTCCCTCACGGGAGCGCCGCTCCCACCCCTCTCCACTCGACTTCCAACCCAATATAGTCCCCCAAGACCCTCTCGCAGGCCGGTCGGTCACCTCTTGGCTTTCTACCACCTCTCTCTCTTCTCTTCTTCCCGGTTGCCAGCGCTGTGCACTCGCCCGTCGGTAACCTTCTTTTAATATCGACTACTACTTTTTGTTCTTCTTGGATTCGACATCTATTCGCCCGTCGCAGGTCCGGCTACCTTGCAGCGTTTCCTTCTTTCCGACTTATTGTTATTATTCTTTTTGAGAGAAGGCGGTTTATTTTTTTGGCGGTCTTTGTAACCTTCTTTTTATCTATATCTCGTCTTGGGTATCGGTTATTCGACGGTTCTTTTTGTGCAACGAGTTCTACTTTCTGGGAAAACTTGGACAACGAAAAAGACCAACAACAAAAAAAAAAGAGATATATTTGAAAAGGAATCGTCAAGATGGGCAGACTTATCAAGAACCACTGGGCGAGACTCATCACCCTGACGGCCGGTGTTTGTAAGTGAACATTACATATAATTCCAAAGGACATACAATTTGAGAGGAGACACGACGCTTACACGTGGGAACAGACCAGATCGCCGCGGCCATCCAGGGCTTCCTCTGGCCAAAAATCTTCTTTGACTTTTTGACCAAGACGCTCGACCCAGCCATCAAGCCGTTCCCGATACTGCAAATTATCAACTTGGTCATGGGTCTATGGATGATCGCATGGGAATATCCGCTCGTCTTTGTCGCCGGCACCGGCATCCACCGTAGCCTCGAGGCCCGTCTCGCGGCACTGCCTCTATTTGCTCTGGCCGCCATCCTCACTTACCAAGGCACCAATGCGGGTCTCTACTACCTCATTGCCATGGTCATCTACTTCTGGGCATACAGTGAAGGAGAGGTATGTGCTGAAGTGTCTTTGATTCACAAGGGACTTTATGACTAACAACTCTTTAGATGATCTGCGCGAAGCCCTGGACTCTGCCTCAAAGAGGTAGCCGTGGCAAGGCTTAAACCACCAGTACGATACCTGTGCTTTTTGGGGGAGGCATGCAGACCATCGAGTTCTTGAGACCAAATCAAGTTATTACAGCCCTTTCCTATGCGAGAAGGCAGGCGTTGGTATCAACAGACGAACCTCGGGCAACAATAGCAAAAGCATGAACGAGCTTTGCCTATCACTCGCGTTATGTCTCCACCGCTGCAATTTTCATGACTCTCTCAACACGACAAACTTTTACGGCGTTTATAAATGTTTTCCTGTTTTCCACACGACTCGCATGAAAGGGGGAAACACCATGATGGATTCTAGAAGAGGATGCTGATCTTATGGACACGAGATGACGGGAGTAAAGTAAGAAAGGCGGGGAGGGATTTATTCAGTGACAGACAGCCATGCCGCCAGTCTGTATCTTGCCAGACTTGGTGCTAGCGAATGGTTACGGCAGGAGAGCAGAGGAGAGGAGAAGCTTATCTACGAATCAAGAAATCAATTCTTGCATGCACACATGAGACTTTCTGTTTAGATTATTGTTTCTCAACATTGGCCACGTTTTTCTCTCCTCAAGTACCATAATCAGAATTATATGAAAAAAAAAATATTCATTATCGAAAAGTCATGGCCATTAGGTTTCTCCACACAAGTCAACTGATGATTTCTACCTACTCTCTTCCATCATCGCGTCTTTCCACGTCTGTTCTCCGTCTTTTCTTTCACTAGCTCCTGGGGGGAAAATCGGTCCCAGAATCCAAACTCTTGGGACGCCCCTTCTCCCAGAGACCAAAGGGGGAAACTAAAGAAAAGACTGTGTGCATGGCTCCGCCCCTAGAGTCATGACAGAGAAGCCCCGACCAACAACAAAATTCAAGACGGTAACCGTTTCATCTCATCTTTTCTCCCCTCACTTCTCAAAAGGAGGATAATAATAGACCTGGACCAAGGGAAATTGGCGAGATGTTCTGGCCTTCCTCTTTTAGTAGACGAGCACGGTCTTTTTTTTTTTGGGATGAGAGAAAAGAACAAAGAAATCTTCTTGGTTTGAAACTTGAGCTAGAAAAAAAAAAAAAAATGAGGCTGAAATGATTGGTATAATATGAGGATTGGGCTGACACGCCAAGGGGTATACTAACCCATGTCAGACACATGCCTTTCTTCGTTTCGGGCGACGAGGGAGAAATGATTACAATAAAGACTTAAGAAATTATAGATCGGCACCACTTGCTCTTGTTTGGTAGACCTCATGTATACATTTCAGTTCCTTGTTTGTGAACGTCCTATTGCCCTTGAAGCTATTTGGAGGGATACGGTACAATTCACGAGGATTCGACCCGTATGCGTCGGAAGCTGGGTACAAAATCCATTGCCTATCCGGTTTGCAGAATAAGCAACGTCGTCCCCCTCTGTTCGAACGGAGATGGCCATGCAAACGGGATCATTTGTGAATGCTTTGTGGCAATATGACCATGGCCAACATATCGAAGAATGTTCACATGCTCACGAACTAGTGTGGCTCAGAGCAGCTCCAGTGTCTATTTTCTTTCTCAACACACGTCACTACATCCACCTGCATTATTCGAGCAGGTAGTATATCGAAATCTTGATCGAGTATCGACGATATGGGTATTCGACGCAATACTTATACAACAGAATGAACTGAGTGGTACGTGGTACAGGAGACCGCAACATCATGTCCAGATACTCGTCGAGTGGATTTCGCAATATCAAGAATGGCTTTTTTTTGCCTCGTGTCTTATCACGCCGCAAGTCTGGAGGCCACAGTGGTTACTTCTTATGGGGAATCTTATTCGCTATCAATTAGCTGTATAGAGTCCATTCGTAATGCCATGCAAACAAAGTCCCATTCCAGTCATGCAAGTCGTAAAGTGACGGCATCTTTGGGGACCGTCATTGAAAAACCCAAGTCCATGTCCGTCAACTAGTAGGGTCTGTCAAAAATTTATCGCGAGTTCTGGCCGCTGACGATGTTGCCCTGCTGGGCCTCGTTCTTGTTGCCCTGGCGTCCGGGGAACTGTTGCGTTGGAGAACGGCCATGGTTAGCTAATTTGTTCTCCAACTGAGAATCGACGGGGGGGTTTGGGGGCGAGAGCAGATGACCTCTCAATGGGGTTTTAGATGTGTATGTGTTTCTTACCTCTGTCTCCTGCAGAGAGCCCTTCTCCAAGATCTGCTTGATCACGTCCTCATCGACAGAGGTGCCAAACTCGTTCTCCAGGGTAGCCTTGGAAGCACCGTCATATTGACCTTGCGTGCCTTGCCTGTAATTGGTGATGCATGATTAGCTAGTGTTTTCTTTTCTCCTTTCCCTTTCCTGGCTGGTTCCTTTCCGTCCATGCAAAGATGATATGTCGACCCAATTTGAGGGGTGGGCAATGCGAGTTGACCCCGCTTCTAAAGCAAGAAGCGCCACGGGGAGAGGAAGAGAGCAGTGCAGTAGGCAGGAGAGTGAAAAACACCAATTGGGCGTGGAAAACCTACTTGTGTGTGACGAAGATCTTGAAAGCAGAGATGAAGTGAGACATGGGGACGGACTTGTCGCCCTGCCACTTCTTGTAGTCGGAGACATCGTCAATGAAGATGAGGAAGTCGTCCTCCTTGCCCTTGTAGTGGACCTTGACTTGCGAAGCCTCTCCCTTGACCATTTTGACTGATTTGTGGTGGGTGTGGTAGAAAGATGTGTGTGTGTGTGTGTGGAAAAGGTTGAATTGATGGTGCGAGATGAAGAAACAAGATTGTTTCTGTGAGTTGTGTCGTTGTTTTGTTTGAACTGTTAAGTAGATGAGAAATGGGAGGGAGAGAAGAGAGTTGTAGCTACAAAGCTTCCGAAAGGTGGCATTTATGGTTGCTAAGAGATGGAGAGCACGGCAACGAGTCACGAGGGCAAGTACCTAGGCCATGCTGCGTTTGCCTGGTTTCCTTGCTTGGCTTTTTCTTGCTTTGATTGCCTGATTCTATTACTACCATGTACGTACCCTCAATAACCAGAGTGAAACTCTATGAATTGCCAATCGATTCGATCGCGTTTCTACCCTTTACCACAGCTGCTGTGCTTGTCCCGCATTCCCATATTGAGACTTGCGAGTGCATACGTCATAACACGGGCTCTCCCAGTAGTGTACCCCACTAGGTTAGGAAGGACCAACACAAGCTCTCCCCTCGCTGCCCATCTTTTTGCTTGGGTTCCTGCGTCAGCTACTGTTTGCTGGGTGCCAGCGGGCAGTGTAGAGGGTGGTGCTGGGGAGGGGCAAGCACTGACCAGCTCCTGGGTTGGGTACGGCCTGGACTGGACCCAGAAGCTACCCCGCCATTATTACACACTGATTCCAGCCGCTCTACGTCACTAATGGAGCTTGAGCAGGGGGGTCCACAGGTATGGCCTCATTGAAGTATTTGTTTTTTGATTTTTTTTTTCGTGTGTAGTAATTTGGTAAACAGAACACGGTTGCAAGCGGAACAATTCATGTGCACAAATGAGAAACGGAAATTACGGCATCACCCATCTGGGTTATTCACCTAATACGTATTGATACAGACCAATGCAAAGTACTAGTACCTAGGCATTCATGGCCGTGGATGACACTTTGCTCACATCGACCTTTACAAGGTCCGGGTAGACAGACACCAATATCCGCTCAACCTTCTTCTATACTGAATGGCAGATGCGTGCCTTTTTGGTACTGGTCAATCTAAATGCAAGCACTCTAAGGTTAGGCGATTCGTAATTTGTATGTCACTAGCACACCATAGGTTGACAGTGCAACATGATATTGTATATGCAAACCGCAGGCGCTCAATGTGATGATCGACAGCCCGCATGGCGGAAGTTGCCTCTTTGAGGAGACGTCAGGTACGTGCCGAGACTAGTCGCCATAGACCTTGGTAGCTCAAGAAGATCTGATTGATTATCGCCATTGATAATCTACCAACTCGATTGGGAAGTTCTCTACCTAGACCTGTACACAGTAGACAGCCAGGTACGAATAGGGTGGTAAGAATAGATGGGCAATAATTGCATCCCAAATCGGCAAATCTCTCCTTGTACGCTATCATCTTCACGCGGATTTGGTGAAACACACAACTGGAAGGGACTCTCGTGTGTATAGTCGCAAGTGGGCACGTCACAAATGCTGGGATAGAAGAACTTGACTAAATCCAGCCGTTGTTCCCTCTAGGTGATTTCCTTCTGCTGTTCGCTCAAGTCAAGTTTCTTGGATGTCTCTGTCGTCTGTGGTAGGATATCATATGTATTTCATCGTCTCTCATCACACCTGCAAGCTCCATCTTTTATATACATGCAGTTTTCGCATCCCTTGTCCAAGTCTGGCGGGTGATCCACGTACTCTAGGAATCAATCGTATTCTTCGGGGCGCCAGGAACAGAATATTTCCATCACCACCAAGAAAACAAACAAAAGGAGAAAATGGGTGGTGGCCTACATAATATGTGTGTCTAGCCAAAACCATCGCCAACGCGGCTCGTATCTCGGGCCATAATAAATTTACAACTGCTGTCGTTCTCATCTGAAAAAGCTGCGGAATGCGCCAGCCACGCCGCTTCGCTCGACACCGGTAGCTTTGGATCGCTTGGTAAGCTTCGCAGGACTCGCAGTCTCCTGGACTGGCCGCTTGGTTTGATTCGCTTTTGATATGTTTTCTTTCTTCTTCGTCGGCGCCGGCCTTGCCTCGGGTTCGGTGGCTGGAGGACGCTGGATGGGTGGTCGTCGTGATATACTGTCTGTTGGTAATGCCCCCGTGGGAGAGTCTTGGGCAAGAGCCTCTTCTTTTATATCTCCAGATCTTTGGAATTCGCTGGCTTCGTCAAGACTCTGTGACCCGTGTCTCCTAATCGTTACTGACATGACAATCCCCTCATCGGATGAATTGCTCGCGCTGCAACCGCTGGTTCTCTCTGTTGCGTCTCGAATGACTGGCAGTCTCTGAATATCACTCTGGTCTTGGTCCAAACTTAATGTAACAGATGACACGTCACAACTCCTCTTCGTAATTGACTCGGCATACTCTTTTGTCGGCGAAAGTTCGTCTTCGCTTGCCCTCATGGTGCTCACACTTGCCGAGCTACCAGATCGTTTCGCAAACGAACTAGTAATACTTGCCACGCTCAGTTTGCGCATCATGGTTGAGGCAGAAGCGCGAACAAGATGCTCACTTCGCGACCGAGGTGTGATGCCCGGAAACGGCAAGATCTTGCGGCTCCAGACATCCGAAAGTTGTGCCTCGATACGCGCGCGATCCCCACGAGGCGGTGCCAAAATAGGGATTCTCGTGGTTGTCGTGAGCAGAGACTGAGAACGGTTGATGTTGGGTGTATCGCTGGTTGAGCTGGGGGTTTCCCTCACCGTAGTGGTGTTCTTCAGTATCACTTGGCACAAAGGAGATTTTGGACCGACGGTGGTCGCCCGGTGAATTGATAAGCGACGAGCGACAGATCCTGCACAACATGTGTCAGATGAAAATGGCTGAAGACTTCAAGTGCTTACATACCTGGCTTTCCGAATACAGTTCCCAGGCTTTTGATGTTCAAGGACAGTGAGCTACAGAATAGAGGTTCTCCGGCTTCTTGTGCCTCGCTTGCGCATGCCAGTCGGCTCCTCCATTCATTCTCTTCTCTGGGTGTACACGCTGTCATGATCACCTCGTAGAGTTGATGGTCAATCTCAAACACGAGTTTCCAGGAGAATGGTGCAGTGTGACACTGGAGACCTGTTACCCGTTTAGCTGATTGTGAATACATGCAGATCCAAGGGGTTCCTACCTCTGCCATTATCCGCTTCTTCAATTTTGATGGTATTCAGGCCGATGCAAGCCTGTATAGTGTAGAGTTGATCGGACCTGGACGCGGTTGCCAGGCAGAGGCATTCTTTATATAAAAGGCAGACCATGTACCGGCCTTCAGCTCCTCCCCGTGTCTGCCAGCAGATGTGGAGAGCTCCGCATAATTGTATCTGTCCCAAGGAGCGGACAGTGGCTTTCAGTGATGGATCAAAGCTCTATCGGCTGCGTCAGCAATGTATAGAACAAGACTATGATATTCGCTTCTCACTTGGTTTGGAAACACGAGACGATCCTGCAAGAGCCATGTAGTTTCCATGGATGACTTGACAGACGGATCATCCGTGGCCCGGTTGATTTCTGACGTGGCTTCGCGCAGGCGAGCAAGGACACTTTCGATTTCCGAGTGAGCACTGGGGCAATCGCACACGGGCGTATACTTGAGCAGCTCGGCAAAAAGCAGAGGATATTTGCAAATTCGCTGTATGGGCTGTCACGTGTTAGTGGCGTGAAGAAAAATTCCATTTGATTGTGAGACATACCTTGACCAGAAGATCGCCAATGGTGAGGGACTTCCTCGAACCATCCAGCTGATGGTTTACTGAGCCCAGTGAGGCTGCAAGAGCTTCAAGCCCCTTTTGATAGGTGTCCCACTGAGGCATAGCACGTGGAGCTGATGCGACATCCCTGATCATCATTTCGTATTTTGCGCCGTACTCCTCATAAACAAAGAACCGATGCATCTAATCGGACTCTGGTCAGCATGCAGAACAGATGGCCATGGTGCCATTGTGGGACTGGTCTTGCTTACTCTTGTACGAAAGATTCGGGCGACATCAGCGGCCACATCCGGATCTGCTGTCATGCCAGCAGTTGCGTGCAGCCAAGCTGTTCCTGATTCATCTTCTGGCACAGAATCGAGGCTGCGCCATCTTTGGTGGCGAGCAGCTTTTGCAGCCGGTTTTGGCGTTACATGCGCTTGGTCGATCTGGGTATACTCAGAGTCGGGTACTGCTCGATGAAGATCTCCAAGTATTTCTTCGTGGAGCTCGACTATTTCTGTCAAGTTGCGATTGATAGAAGACCGTAGACCAGGATGCTGCGTCGGAACCGAGGCGAGGATGGTGACATATACCTGTATCTGTGTCAGTTACGTTGAAGAAGAGGCATTATACTCGACCAGGGCCGACCAACGTTCATCAAGAATTTGACGTCTCCAATATAGCTCTCCTCTGTCCCAATGAGCTCTTCGAGGATGCGCCGACGCTGCAGTAGACGCTCCGTAATGGCAGGGTCAGCCACACTTCGCTCCGAGCGGACACTATCCTCTGATCGTCTTCCAATCGAAACCGAAGCTCGAGCACTACGATCTGTCCTGGCATAGTACGATGACTGAGCAGTGTTTTGTCGGGATCGCGTAAGTGCACTCCCATCGATGCTTATAGTTGCACTCCTTACACCAGCAACATAGCCAAATGATGAATCGGACGAAGACCTTCGATGGCAACTATAAGCAGACGAGTCATCAACAAGGCTAGGAAAAGACTCTAGGTCTCCCGCACTGCTTTGAATTAGTTTATGCCGAGATCTACGCTGCAATGTCTTCATCCACCGGTGAAAAGGCTTTGAATCAGACGAAGCTCCCGTCTGCTGAGTTTTTGGATGATCGATTGCTTTCGATGGTGTCTGAAGATCTAGCACCTGGCTGACATGGTCGTCTTCCTCTGGATCCAAGGTCAACCCTAATTGGGCAAATGTATCCAAGTTCTTCCACGGTTCTTTTATACTGATAGAGACCAGTCCATCGTCGTGGTAGGGCAGTTCGGGATCAGTACGGTTCGCTCTCGAGATTGTACGTTCTTGCAGCAAAGCTGCCCATGAGCTCTTTCTGCGAATTCTGAACGAACTACTTCGCGAGGCTGGCCGTGGCGGAAGGCTGTTTATAACCAGTGCCATGACCACGGCTCAGGGGAATTGGGACCCAAGAAACGGCAACCCAAAAAAAGAAAACAAAAACCATCAACGTATCAAAACGAGGGCCCCAAAAAAGAAAAACAAAAAAGAAAATGAAAAGACTTCTTGAAGATGCTAAATGACTTCCAAGACACCAAAAAGCTCCAAGACAGGGAGGGAAGGAAAAAGCAAGACAAAAACTGGGGTCCGGGATCAAAACATGGTGGAAGTAGAAGAAAGAATGGTCTAAAAGAACAAGAAGATGTGAATGAGTCGTGGACAAAAGTCAATTGCTCATCGAGCGAAAAGGATGCCTGCCTTTTTTGAAAACCGCTCGGCGAAAGACTAGCCGATAGCAATCACCATGCTTGAACAGAAAGAGCAAAAAAAAACCTGAGAAAGAGCAACTAAATAAGAGGCTAAAGTTCAAGCCTCTGATGGAGCAAAAGTGGTTTTAGTAAGATGCATGGTCGCTCTCGGCCCAAGTAGAGTGAGTGACTGCATGGAGGAATCCTGCGGGAAGGAGTCAAGTGCTTGGTTGGCTCTATGCCGCACGGCATCGAATGTCCATACCTAAAGCAGCATAACAAGAAAGTCAATCTCTGGATGGATTAGATGGAACCATTGAAATGACCATATCATCATAAATCATAAAAACAACATGTCTGGTTCCTGGTTGCAGGCAGGCAGGCAGGCAGGCAGTGCGCGTTTTGACCGACCAGTGAACTGCGTGTTGTTGATGGAAAACAGTGACACAATCGCCATGGTCCAAGGTGATACACGGGCACTAAATCAAAGATGGGTGCGTCATCGTTCTTTTATCAGCAAAGCAAGTGGCATTTCGGGGGGCAGACGAAATAATAATTCATGAAGATCGCAGTGTCCACATTAGACAACGGGGGGTTTCCGGTGTCTTGGATCTCCAACACTATCGCGGGCTCTAAGGGAAGGCTTGGAAGGCAATCTGGTTGGCGGCTTGACCAAGCAACGAGGTCTAGGTTTTCTGGAGATGCTCGCTCACAAAGTCTATTCCGCTGGGAGGAGCAAAACTTTCTCGCTGAGGCGCCTGCTCACATGAGATCGCGATGCCATGAAATCGAGCGACAACAGGGCTAGTGCCGGTAGATTAGAGCCGGGGTCAATAATGTAAGCTAGAACCCAAATATCGATCCCACGCCCGCGCAATATGGATCCGGGCCCGACTGCTTTTCCTTGAGCAAATGAATAATGAATGAAGTATGATATGCATGTGCTCAGCGCCGGGGAATATCTACACGTGCGTCCCAAGGTTAGGGTCCCCTCCATGGCTCCTGTACCGTCATCTCCTGGTCATGGCCTGTTTGATCTAAGCATGATTACACACCATCCTCGCCATGCCTCCTACCCTTACTATAATAATGAACCTGAAGAGGGAATGTCATTAGGTAGTAAGTAGGCAGGCACCAAGCCCGCTTATCCCACCCCCTCGGGACTCTGCCGGGGTTACGGAGCTATGTACCTGGGGATCCATTCCCCGGGCGCCCCCCACTTGACTTGCATCACCACATTCAAAACCACATGTTGCACCGTAGTTGACGCGTACCGTTGCTGGCTGAAACTACCCTACCTACCGACATTATTTCGGCTACAGCAGTGAGTGAATCGACCATCTTGTTGCCAAGCGCATCCTGACGAGGGCATTTGGTACACAAATTCGCTGCCGAAAACCATGACTTGACCTTCTTGAGCACTCGATTATGGGACGACCTCTAAGAATGGACAACATCCACGCACCGACCGTCCCCTCGGGGCCATCTTCGCGCCCCATCACCAACGGCAATGCCAAGAACTTGTCGTTCGCCGAGTTATCTCAGAAGAAGGATGATATGGAGGCGGAGCTTAAAGCCCTTAGCGGCGTGCTCGACTCTCACGGCGTCGACATGGACACTCCTCTGACCAGGGACGGATTTCCTAGAGCAGATATCGATGTCGCGCAGATCCGAACTACACGCTCCCGCATTATTCACCTTCGAAACGACTACAAGGACCTGATGGGTGCCATTGAGAAGCACTTGCACGAGCACTTTGCCAGTCTGGAAGATACGGACGATCTGCCAACAGGCAGGACAGGTGCAGGCATGCTAGGCGACAGCATTGCCCCAACATTGGATGAGCCGTTTGCCAGAGTCAACAGTGTTGTGCCTGCAAGTCCAGCCTACACTGCTGGCCTCAAGGCTGGCGACGAGATTCGCAACTTTGGTTACGTGAACAGAGCCAACCACGATGGCCTGAAAAAGGTTGCAGAATGTGTCCAGGGCAATGAAAACGTGAGCTGTGCCTCCGCGGATGGTTGTTCATATTGCGACGAAGCTAACTGGCAATCAACAGCAAAACATACTTGTCAAGATTTCACGGCCAGGCGAGGCAACCAGACGGCAGGAGCTCCAGCTCATGTTGACACCACGTCAAAACTGGGGTGGCAGAGGCATGTTGGGATGTCACATTCTTCCGATATGAGGACGGTCAAGTATAGGCTTAGGCTTACACTATCTGCTTCGTTTCAAATTAGGAATGATAGTGACAAATACCACACACTGCATTGGTCTGTTCAGACGCAGTCGGGGCCTCGGGACTATAGGTAGACAATGATCTGAGGTCTGCTCTACGTTCTACAGCATTGAAATGCGACATCCGTGGCGTATGGTGTATTTTTGAGAGACTTGTTACATGGTCGATTCGTAGCGCAAGGGCCGAGTGAGCCATCAGATTTTCATACCGCATGAAAGGCAGCCCAATACACCTATGTCTTGCCAAACTAACAAGGCCACGACATTAAAATGTTACCTCAATGGACGGGGCGAGAATCCTTACAGGAACAGCTCCATCTAATACCTCAAGGAAATTTTTTTTTTTTTTTTTTTTCTTAACAGAGATGGCTTCTGCCTGACGGGCTGCTGCTTAGAAATACATCCCAACAGCAGGCACCGACAACATCGATGCATATGATTAATCAGCAACAATTACTGCCCAAATGCCAAAGCCCAGGCGATAAGTCAAGTATAAATTATATTGGTATGCCCAATAACGGCCATATTGCCTTGGCCAGAGATCGTACTGAATCACAGGCTTGGGGCATTGGTTACGGGCAAGTTTCTTGACTCATCAGCGATTGATTACTCATATCCGCGGAAAGGCGTATGATTGGGCATATTGTCAACGTTGGGTAGCTTGCAGACAGATCAGATCTAGCTTTTGATAGGGTTGAGGACAAAGGGATTACACATACAGACAGACGTCTTGTCTTGATCTATCACTTCCTTGGTTTGCAACAGTCAAAGGTCACTGCACATTACATACCTCTACCGCCGTAGGTGGTGCAACCTGAGACTGCCTTGTCTAGCGCTTTTCTGAGATTTTACCCCTCCATCCTGTCTTGGCTGTTTGATTGCTGGAGCGCAAACAAGCCTTTTTTCAGCGACCCCGCCATCACTACGTAATACTGTACCTATTACCTAGTGCAGCAGCCTGAATAACCTGAGGCCAACCAACCATCAGAGCTTGCCGCCAGGTCACGTGCTAGTCTTTGTGAATTTCATCAAAAATTTTCGCTGGGCAGCCACCAGGTTGCCAGTTGCTGAGGCGCCCGGGAGGAAGAGAAAAAAAAAAAAAGCACGAGCCCGACCCGCCCTGTTTTCCCTGCTTTCATAAACACAAACAAGTCGGCCAGCCAAAGCCAGACAGACAGCCCAACCCACTTTGACAGTGACCCCGTCGGTCAAGAAACCACCACACACCAGACCGTCTACCCAAAGCCTCTTGCTTCCCCATCACACATTTTTTTGACTTTGCATACCAGCGGTCAAAGGTACGTCTATTCTGCAGCAAAATACCCCCCCAAACCACCTCTTCAAAAAACGAGATAGCTGTGCCCTCTTGCTCCCTCGCTGGGTCACTCTCGATTTGATTGCGTGCAGCAGCTTGAACTTTTGCTCTTGTTCCTGCCCTGCACGTTTCAGCCAACCTGAAGATATCTACCCAAAAGATCACAACCACCCCCGCTGACGTTTGCGCCGCAGTCTCTTCTCCGTCTTGTTTACAGCACCACAAAACGGTCTCTAGTCAGATATCCTTTACAATGTCTGCTCAACAATCCGTTGCGACCTTCAAGCTGGTCCTTGTCGGTGATGGTGGTACTGGAAAGGTAAGCACATCAACCAATCCTTCACGTTCCTCCCTGTTCTACCCCGCCGCCCTGCTCTCTCACGATACCTTCCATCGCGCGACTGTCGGGGCTGCACGCCATCAACCACCTCCCCATGCTAAATCCAACAAAATGCTAATCATGTTCTTCGCGGTATTTAGACCACCTTCGTCAAGCGCCACTTGACTGGTGAATTCGAGAAGAAGTACATGGCCACTCTCGGTGTCGAGGTCCACCCTCTTGGTTTCTCTACCGTAAGGCTTCCACACACGCCCCTCTTGTGATATACGCCCTTTTTACTAACAACTGGAAAGAACGTCGGCCAAATCACCTTCGATGTCTGGGATACTGCCGGTCAGGAGAAGTTCGGTGGTCTCCGTGACGGTTACTACATCAACGGCCAGTGCGGTATCATCATGTTCGATGTTACTTCCCGTATCACCTACAAGAACGTCCCCAACTGGCACCGTAAGTTTCTGCCCTTGTTACTCCAAATACAAACGAAATCAAGAGTTTCTGACACATCTAAACAGGTGACCTCGTCCGTGTCTGCGAGAACATCCCCATCGTCCTTTGCGGTAACAAGGTTGACGTGAAGGAGCGCAAGGTCAAGGCCAAGACCATCACTTTCCACCGCAAGAAGAACCTTCAGTACTACGATATCTCGGCAAAGTCCAACTACAACTTCGAGAAGCCTTTCCTCTGGCTTGCCCGCAAGTTGGCTGGTAACCCTCAGCTGGAGTTCGTTGCTGCTCCCGCCCTGGCTCCCCCCACCGCCCAGGTCGACCAGGAGCTGCTCAAGCAGTACGAGAACGAGATGATTGCTGCCTCTGCCATGCCCCTGCCTGGTGAGGAGGAGGACGATGACTTGTAAAGAGCTACCACTACTACTGCTGGGAACTACGGGTCATGCCGGCGCATTTGCGTCATGACGAGATTACGAAAAAGAGACATGCTTCCATGTAGCAACTGCTACTCATACAATACACATGGATGATGTCGTCAGGGATATTGCGAGGGAATGGATAATTATTCGAGCAGCGCCAGGGCTGCGACACGCTCAGCATTGGGGGAAGACTGAAGAACCCCCCGCTACAGGCGGATTCTTTGATGACGTGCTGCATTTTTCGCAGCTTCTAGATAGCAACATCCGTAGACGACGAAGTGATCAATCTTAATGATCAGGACGACCAATTCACCATTCACCATCTCCCTCGTACAGCGCGCAATCTGTTCTTGGACACTATTTTGATCTGCTGATGACTAAGTGATGCACCGGAGACTATAAAATAGATTCACGAATGGCCACTAAGCGAAATCACTATCGGTCCATTTACATGGAGGAAGTATCATTATATGGATATGCGGGGGTATAGCACAAACTGCCACGCGGAATTTGGCAAGGATGCATGCCCTATAGACCGCAATATCATAAACAAGTCATCTAGTCAAAGCATCCGCTTCAGAATGCTTCAGGTCTTGTGATAGGCATATTATACAATCTAGATTGGTTTGGATCAGTTCATACTGATGGAACTAGTCGAGTATATCCCATCGCATGCCTAAAACCTTACGGCGTACAGGTGTGAAATATCGCCTGTTGTAGGCGCTGGTCACAACGGCAAACGATACGTATATGGTTACTCCCTTCAGAGTATATGTGCCTACCAAAGAGGAAAGTCATATGACACGATTGGGATAGCAGTCGTCGTAATGGATATAAGATGCGTGTTCCTCCTGCTACATCTTTGGCAGACTTTGACGACCCCGTAAAAACGCAGGCTCTCGAAGAAGGCGGAAGCGAATCATACAGCTCCGTCGGGTAGTGATCATGCGGCTTTGCAGACCTTATTTCTTGACTCAAAATCGGCCGTCGACATAACCTGATGAATCGGATCGTGTCTTGGTCGGCAAATGATATAGGCCATATACTAAAGACCGACGTCTCGCATAGGACGTGGTGGGATTCAGACCAAGTTATGATGTTGGCTTCGTCTTGAGGCCCCTTGATCACGCGCGTGTAGTAAGGCCCGCCCGATTCGATCCCACTCAAGTTCTGTGGGTTTGTCGCGGGCCGTAGTCATTGAGAACTTGAGTCCTCGTACAATATATTGATCAGAATCGGTCCAACATGGAAGATTGAGACCCGCGTTGGCCAGCATAGTAGTATGTATAAAATGGTGACATGATTTGTTCGCCTAAGGACTAACATTAGCCAAAAAGTTCATTATTGGCATACTTTTCAATAATGTCATTAGTATTCGCAATCAATAATAGATAGTTTAGATGATGATTCAACCAGATCATGTGCCAAGAAGAACGAGCCTCGTACGGAAGTGGTGATTTCATGCATAAAAATGAACGTGCTGAGTTTGCACTATCGAGGTGGTTGGCCACTTCGCTGCATTGAATTTTACATGAGGCCGACAACAAAAAAAAGGAGGGCTTGCAGTAGGATGCAGCAAGGACGGCACATGTATTTTGACATTCTTCCTCGAAAGTAGGTAGGCATCCAGATCCAGTGTTTCCCACCGGCGTGTTACAAGACTATATATATACAAACAAGCACGCAAAACGTGGAGCGGCTACCAGATGATGGCGTTGTAGCAGATCTGCTAATATTCCGTAGGCGACCTGGATCCCGGCACGGCAACCAGTGCTCGGTTACAGCGGCTCATCAAGGACTCCACCCTCGAGCATCGTCGTCGGAAAACTGGTACCTCTGCGTTGGACAACATTGTTTCTTCTTCAGATTGAGCGTCAGATCGCCAGTGGACCGTCAGCCCGCTTTGTTAGGGGAGTACTTGGAGAGTGGGCAGTGCTGCGCCTTTATTAACAGTATCCGTAAAAGCCAGCCTGCTGTTCGGTATTTCGGCACTGACTGGCTCGAGAAAAGAGAATGGACACTGGCAAACACGGACCAGTAGGCTGGGCTTTGCAGGTCTTCTCCTCTCTATGGGGGCGACATACAAAAAGGTGAATGTGCATTCTCAGATGACTCGCCCTGCTTGCCTCTGAAATTCTTGCAGATTAAGCACATCGGAGTTCTCCGTGTATAATATTCTTCTCTTAATTGATACAATTTGTTTTTGGCATTTATGCTTAAAATATTACGCAAATCGGGTGATTTTATACCTAACACATATGACCAATAGAGCAACTTGTATACTCCAGATAAAAACGATAACAAAGATGAATCGGCAGTACGGGGTTGGCCTATCAGTGGCAGGGGATAGAATCGGGCAGTTTCTCTCTTTCTCTTTCCTTTCCCCGCTGCCGCCACAACGGAAAAACTCCATGGGCACAATGTGGTAATGTACTAGGTAAGCAGCGTTTGACTACACAGAGTACTCCAGGTTGCCTGCTGTAATAACGGCTCTGACAAATGTAGAATTTTTCCTCAGATGTAGTATTACCCTACATGAATCAAGGAGGAGCACTGTAAAGCTGTTGGTACTGGCAGCCTCGCTGACGCCGGTGCAGGACCTTGACACGGGTCCAATCAGCACCAACGCCTCGACCCCTCAATTACCAGGATGGCAACCCCGGGACCCTGGACGAGCGAACTGTCTAGGCTGTCCGAGCTGGAAAAACAGGCACAGAATCCAGCAGGGCGGCGGCGACTTTTCAGGTCATGTCACTCACTGCAGGCACCAAGAGACCCCAGCGCAAAGTGTTCGGCTAGCCTCAACTCAGTTGGTTTTAGCAGCATGTAGTACTGCAACTGGCTAGGTATGTACTTCGTAGCTAAGAACACGTTGTGACTTGCGGAAGGGCGAACCCGATCCACAGAGAGAAATCGATACGACCTGCTTCGTTTTTTTTTTTCCTTGTCCTGCCTCGTCTTTTGATTCTTTCCAGACTTTCGACGTCCTTCGCACTTGTTCTCTGCGGCAAGACTGTTTCGCAATATACTTGGTGAAAGCGACATGTGGCCTTAGCTTCTTCTGACCAAAAAGAGAAGAAGAACAAGACCAAAACCCGCTGACGTTCCAGTCCGTCCGCTTACACAATCCACATTCCCACTGCACTGCACTGCACTGCACCTCTGCCGTGGCGCAGCCTTTCTTTTAACACAACCTCGTTCCCGAGTTTTATAGAATTGCGACTTCAGTTCCTGTTAAGACAACATATAGAACTTTCCCCCACACACCCACCCAAACCCCTCGACAACCCTGCCCGCCATGGACGACTCCTTTGCGAGGCCTATAAAGGATGTCCTGGCCGAGTTCGGCGTCAACCAAACCGACGGTCTTACAGACTCTCAAGTTATTGACCTGAGAACAAAACACGGAAAGAATGGTATGCGACAATTGTCCCAGCTGCCGCTCGTGTGCTCTGCCCCTTTACTAACTACGTCTCTTCTGCTTAGCTATTCCGGAAGAACCACCAACACCTCTCTGGGAGCTCATTCTCGAGCAGTTTAAAGACCAACTGGTTCTTATCCTGCTCGGTTCCGCCGCCGTGTCCTTTGTGCTCGCTCTCTTCGAAGAGGAAGGTGGCTGGAGCGCATTCGTTGATCCTGCCGTTGTAAGTATCTTGTCCATATCATATTGGCGCCGCCTTCAGAACCTCTTGCCTCGTTCTTCATTACTAATGTGCCGTTTGTTCTAGATCCTCACTATCCTCATCCTAAATGCTGTCGTCGGTGTTTCTCAAGAAAGCAGTGCCGAGAAGGCCATTGCTGCGCTCCAAGAATATTCTGCAAACGAGGCCAAGGTGATTCGAAACAATGGCCATGCTACCAAGGTCAAGGCGGAAGAGCTGGTGCCTGGTGATATCGTCTCTGTTTCCGTTGGCGACAGGATCCCCGCCGATTGTAGACTTGTCTCCATCGACAGCAACAGCTTCTCTGTGGACCAAGCTATTCTTACAGGTGAGAGCGAGAGTATCAGCAAGGACCCCAATGCGGTGGTCAAGGACGACAAGGCCGTGCTGCAAGATCAGATCAACATTCTCTTCTCGGGTACTACTGTAGTCACTGGCCGCGCAAAGGCGGTTGTTGTCCTGACTGGCTCGAACACGGCCATTGGTGATATCCATGAAAGCATCACTGCTCAAATCTCCGAGCCCACGCCTCTCAAGCAGAAGCTCAACGACTTTGGAGACTCCTTGGCCAAGGTTATTACTGTCATCTGCATTCTGGTCTGGTTGATCAACATTCCTCACTTTGCTGATCCCAGCCACGGAAACTGGACAAAGGGTGCCATCTACTACCTCAAGATTGCCGTCTCTCTGGGTGTTGCTGCTATTCCCGAAGGTTTGGCTGTTGTTATCACTACCTGTCTCGCTCTTGGAACACGCAAGATGGCCGCAAAGAATGCCGTTGTGCGCAGCTTGCCCTCTGTCGAAACTCTTGGAAGCTGCAGCGTCATCTGTTCTGACAAGACCGGTACATTGACAACCAACCAGATGAGCGTCAACAAGCTGGTCTTCATTGCCGAGAACCATACCGACTTGGAGGAGATCGATGTCGAGGGCTCTACTTTCGCTCCCAAGGGTGACATCAAGCGCAACGGCAAGGTCTTGTCCAACCTCACTGAGAGCTCCAGCACCATCCGTCAGATCAATGAGGTTGCCGCTCTCTGCAACGACGCTCGCCTAGCTTATGATGCTCGCAGCGGTAACTTCTCCAATGTTGGTGAGCCTACCGAAGGTGCTCTACGTGTCCTCGCCGAGAAGATTGGCCCTTGTGCCCCTGCCAGCGCCAACCCCGAAGATTGCCTCCACCACGCCAGTGCCGTTTACGAGAAACAGTATCCTCGCCTTGCCACTTTTGAATTCTCCCGCGATCGCAAGAGCATGTCAGTCCTTGTTCAGGATGGTCAGAAGCAGAAGCTCCTTGTCAAGGGTGCCCCGGAATCCATCATCGAGCGCTGCACACACACTCTGGTCGGTACTGCTGGAAAGCGAGTTCCCATGAACAAGCCGCTCTACGATGTTTTGATGAAGGAAGTTGTCGAGTATGGAAACCGCGGTCTTCGTGTTATTGCTCTTGCCAGTCTGGATGACGTTGGATCCAACCCTCTCCTGAAGACTGCCAAGTCTACGGCCCAGTATGCTGAGATTGAGCAGAACCTGACTCTACTTGGACTTGTCGGCATGTTGGACCCCCCTCGTCCCGAGGTTGCTGGTGCCATCAAGAAGTGCAAGGATGCCGGAATTCGTGTCATTGTTATCACTGGAGACAACCGCAACACGGCCGAGAGTATCTGCCGCTCGATTGGTGTCTTTGGAGCCAACGAGGATCTCACTGGAAAGAGCTTTACTGGTAGAGAGTTCGATAACCTCAGCCCGGGACAGCAACTGGAAGCCGCTAAGCATGCCTCTCTCTTCTCCCGCGTTGAGCCTAGCCACAAGTCCAAGCTGGTTGATCTGCTCCAATCCCTCAACGAGGTTGTCGCAATGACTGGTGACGGTGTCAATGATGCCCCGGCTTTGAAGAAGGCTGACATTGGTGTCGCCATGGGATCCGGTACCGATGTCTCCAAGTTGGCTGCTGATATGGTGCTCACCGATGATAACTTTGCTACAATCGAGGTTGCCATTGAGGAAGGTCGTTCCATTTACAACAACACCCAACAGTTCATTCGATACTTGATTTCGTCCAACATTGGCGAAGTCGTCTCCATCTTCCTTACTGCGGCTCTTGGCATGCCCGAAGCTCTCATTCCTGTGCAGCTTCTGTGGGTTAACCTTGTCACTGATGGTCTTCCTGCTACTGCCTTGTCCTTCAACCCTCCGGACCACGATATTATGAAGCGATCCCCGAGGAAGCGTGATGAGGCCCTCATTGGCGGCTGGTTGTTCTTCAGGTATCTGGTTATTGGCACCTATGTTGGTGTTGCGACTGTCGCTGGTTATGCCTGGTGGTTCATGCTTTACTCTGAGGGCCCACAAATCTCCTTCTCGCACTTGGCCAACTTCCACCGCTGCTCGTCCAACTTTCCCGAGATTGGTTGCCAAATGTTTGGCAACGAAATGGCCAAGTCCGCATCCACTGTCTCCCTCTCGATCCTAGTTGTGATCGAGATGTTCAACGCCATGAATGCCCTGTCTTCGAGCGAGTCTCTCTTGACTTTGCCCCTTTGGAAGAACATGATGCTTGTCTATGCTATTGCCTTGTCGATGGCTCTGCACTTTGCCCTGCTCTACACACCTTTCCTGCAGACCTTGTTCTCGATCCTGCCTTTGAACTGGACCGAGTGGAAGGCTGTTTTGGCAATCAGCGCACCTGTAATGTAAGTTTCATCCCCTGACAATGTTACCTTGACTATATGATGCTAACATGACTATCAGCTTCATTGATGAGGCACTGAAGGCCATTGAGAGGCAGTTCTTCTTGCAAACCACACCGGCACAGGTGACCAAGGCCAAGAAGGAGGCCTAAGGCGACTTTGTGATGATCTAGACGCGTGTGGTCTTTTGATAGATTTTAGACTAGAGAATAGGATGCGACCTTGTCAACAAGCCGTCTTTTCCTGTTATATCACACAACTCATGTCACCGTATATAGTACTCGTTTCGGGGATAAAGATATCCTCGTCGTCAATGAGAAAGACTTAGTTTCATGAATTGCCAGGTGTATTCTGCTGCTTTCATGATAATTCCCCAAGTCAACTTTGCAAGTGATCATAACATTTACATTTCTATGAAAGTAACTCAGATGTGGTAAGAGTGCTTAGTCAATCAAAGTGATTTGTTTAAGTTTATCAGCTAGATGGGGGGTGATGAATAAATAGGCTGGCTACAGGAATCGCCTCATATATTTGGTCCTTTCCTCTTGAAATGTATGATCAAAGTATGCAATAATCTAGTCGATGCCCGGGATGGACCGATGAGCAGTGTTGATGCAACCCGAGCTTTCCCTCCCAGAGGACATTCATCAAGAACAAACTGTATTGTTACAAAATGGCATTAGAATGCCTCCAGCAGGCGCTCTATCTTCGTTTGGAACAGCTACTGCCAGTCCGTCTAGTCAACTTCCATGCGTGCTTCGCGACCCGACTTGTGCTTTCTCTCTCCACGTTGACACGGGAGATACTCCTGTACATGACGAACCCGGTCATGGCAAAAGGTTCGGGTGTCTCCATCGTGGCGAGCAAGTCGAGACCATTTGTAATCCTGTACCTGTACACTCCAATCCATTTAATCTTGACGACCCTTTAGTAATCTCTTGGTGACCTTGTCCTTCTCAATAATGTAAACGTGTGCTCCCCAGCCTGAAAGTGCATCTCTGTCGACGGCGTTGAGTAAAGCTTGCGAGATGGTTTCAAACAGATCCTCAGGTTCCTGCAAAGGTGAGCATTAGTTTTCTATGCTTGATATACGTCCACTTATCGATGTTTGAGTTCGTCACAGAATGCTCGTCAAGACATGGTGCAAGTGTAGCCTTTGGGAATGACGGAACAACGCCAAAGAGAGGTTACATACCAGGTTAGGCTCCCAGAGACCCTCGCACATACCAAAGAGCTGGTCAGTAGCGGTGCCGCTCACGATAAAGTCCTTGGCAAAGTCGATGCAGCCAATGGAGTCGAAGCCACAAATGAAGGGCTTGCCCGTCTTGGGCTCGAGACCAGCGACGACGGGGGAGACAAAGTAGGGACCGAAGCGGCGCTCGTAGAGACTCGAGGAGACGAGGTTGGCAAAGGTGGTCGGCGCAATGTTGCGCTCCTCGCGCAGGCGGTACATGTTGACCTTGTAGCGGAACAGGTCCGAGACGGTTGACACATCGGTCGCCAGGCCCGTGAGGCCGAGGAATACGTCGCCGTACTGGAAGATCTTGGGGAAGTTGTTGGACACGGTCAGGGCTTGCAGACCCAGGCGCAGGTCGCAGGCAATGGCCACGCAGTCCTTGCCAACCATGGCCACGCAGGCACCGCCATCTGTGAGGTTGGGGATCTCTGGTCAGCTTTCTTTGCTTCTTCTTCTTCTTCTCGGGCGAAAGTTCCTAAGGTTTTAACCAGGGGATAGTAGGAATGAACGAACTTATGCTGAAGGGCGATGACTAAAGTAGGTGTTAGCTAGCTGTTGTTTACTATTCCTTGAGCCAACGCTGAATGGGCTTACCATTGTGAGACTCTGGAGAGAGTGATGTGCTGTGTTGAAGGGAGTAGCAGCTCAATCAAGAGCCACCGATTTTCTATCGTCTGTTGTGTGTATATCAAAAGTTCCGTGATCGAAAGTACAAGATGAAAAAGGAATGGGTCGTTTCGTGCAGGAGCTGTTGTGGTGGTGGTGGTGTTGAGTCGTCAATGGTGATGAAGCAGCAATGTCAGTTGGCAGTCAGTCAGGCTGAAGGCTGGTCGTTGCTCTACGCTCTCGACCTAGGTAGGTGTTCCAGCGCCTCGCGTGCTACGACAAGCACCAGGCAAGTATGGCAAGGCAAACACGCTATGGCGCGGCAGCTCGACCCCATGGCAAGCTCCAGCTCCTCCGTGCTGGCTGGCCATTTGGTCGGAGTAACAGGGATCACAAGTCGCCGGGGTCGTGCTCGGGCCACACATTATAGCTGGAGCCGACTGCCCGATAGCCTCTTTTAGCGTACTTGCCCCTCTACAACTGATACTGCTGCTACACACACTGGACGGACATACATCATCTTGATAGTTGCCTGCTTTGGAACAAAAGGACCTCCCTTCACTTGGTGCTGTTGACTGGCATAACGTAATCCGTGGAACAATCTGGCATCTCTGATCGCATTCCTAGTTTTCCTGCCGTCACATCCCAACAGCCAGACTACGCCGAGGAGCTTTCACTGTTTTTGATTACACTTACATCCCATCATATTCGTTAGCGTTCTTCTGCCTTCGTTGTGCCGGTAATCCAACACACAAGACCGACCCCACCATTGTGAGATCATTTGGTGTACCTCACCTCGAGGAAGTTTTGATCTTTCCACCCCATCAAATACAACAAGCACTATCCGATACGGGAACAAACGAGCCCGGTAGCTTTCAACCAAGATGGCGACCACAGTCAAGGTCGTGTCGGTCGACATGCGCCAGGCCTCCATCAAGGTCACACCCTCGACGTATCTGACCGATGTGCTGGAGCAAGCCTGCAAGAAGTTCAACCTTTCGCCAGACAAGTACTTGCTCAAACACAAGGAGAAAGAGCTCGATCTTTCCAATACCTTTCGCAATGCTGGCCTGATCGCTGGCGCCAAGCTCGAGCTCATCACCAAGTCCAAGACGCCTGGAGCATTGAACATTGCCCTTCAGCTACCTGAACCCGAGGCCAGAGCTTTCGGTGCACCGAGGGCTACGGCCAGACTACCCAGTGACACGACTGTGTGGAAGGTCCTTAGGCATTTTGAGAGCACCGTCTGCGCCGGAAGGGTGAATATCACCGCTAGAGGTATTCCTCAGACCGGCGTCAGCAGTGGAAGTGGCCAATTGTACTATGAATCGCCAGCCCTACAGATAGAAAGTCGGAGCCTGACAAGTTTCGTCGACTTTCAGAAGACCATGAGCCAGCTGGGTTACAATAAGGGCAACGTACTTATACGGTTATCCTTTCAGACATCCGAAAGAACATTTGTCGATGCAACCAACGATATCTCCCAGTATTTCGAGGAGGAAGCCAGCGTTCAGCAAGAGAGAGAGGCAGCAAAGGCCACGGCACTGGAAGCGGAGACCCAGGTTACGCGCAACAACGCTCAAGAAGCGGCTTCAGAAGTGCCACAAATCGTGCCGGAAGCTGTGACTCCAGCTCATGAAGATGCTACGGCACAGGCACCAGCCATAACCGCAGAGCCATCTGTACCAGAGCCCATGGAAGTTGACACAGCGTCTGATCCCTTGGCGCCGACAGCTATCTTCTCCGCTCCAACGAATTCTACGCCGGCAGCAGCACATACTACCGAGTCTGATGAGGTTTATGTACCAGGTATCGTACATGCACAACTGCACCAACAACGTCTCAAAACGGCCGGTATGAACAAGCGATTACTGTCGGATCGAGAACTTGAGGAAAAGGCTGCAGCTGAGCAGGCTAAGATTGCCGCCGTAAAGTCCGTTGACGTCCGCGTGCGTTTCCCTGACCAAACTCTGGGTCAATGGAAGATCACACCAGAGTGGACTGGCCACACGCTGTACAAGGCCATACGAGACGTCATGGCGCACAAGGATGCCCAGTTCCACCTGGTCGTACCTGGCCGGCCAGTCGTTACGATAAAAGACGAGGACGGACCCTCTGCCCAGCTGGTAAAAGGCTATGGCTTCAGACAAAACACCTTACTCAACTTGGTGTGGGACGGCTCAGCGACCGCCAATGTGCGGAACGGACCGTTCTTGAAGGCTGAGCAACAGAAAAAGGCCGTCGAGGTTGTCGTGCCAGAGGTGCCCCAGGGTGAGGAGGAAGACGAGGTCGCCGCCCCAACCACAGCAAAGCCAGTGCCGCAGCGAAAGGATGGCAACGGAGATGGTAAGAAGGGTGTGCCCAAGTGGCTCAAGCTGGGCAAGAAATAAACTGACCAAAGACATTATTTTACTTAATTGCATTGCATCGGTGTTCCGGTCGATACGTCGGGTTTGTGGCACAATTATAGATCATGATAGATGTTTCACCATAAGCGCATGAAAACAATTTATTACTTCATAAAAGCCATTCAAGTCACATGCAATAGGAGGAGAAACAAGTGCGACATGTCATGAGGAGCTTGGTTGTTGCTCCTGTTCTTGTGGTATTGATCGAATGATTGAAACTAGCAGTATCCTTTTTTTTGTCTGCCCTGTTCTGCATACCATCCATCATGACCGAAGCTCTGAAATCCAGTTGTCGTAAAAGAACGCCGAGACCATGCCATGCCGTGAGAGTATTTTAACTTTTTCCCATTTCACCTAATCATCAATCAAGCCCATAGTAGGACGAAACCATTTAGTGACCGGCACGGCGGGACTCAGCAATGACACCCTGGAGAGAGTCAATCTTGGCCTTGGCACGGCCGAAGGTACCGAGCTGGAATTGGTGTTAGTATATAAGAGATGCAGAATTTGCTGCTAGATAACTGTAGAACATACCCTCTTCTTGGCGAGCTTACGGGCACGCTTGTCCTTGGAGTTGCGGAGCAACTCGATGCAGCGGCGCTCGTAGGGGGCAAGACCGGCGACCTCCTTGACGACGTCACGGACGAAAGAGGTGCGCTTGCTCAGGTGACCCTGAAATAGTTTAATGTTAGAATATCTTGGAATTTAAATTCTCGAGACATCACTTCCACGACCACAATTGTGGTGGCCGCACAATGATAATGGTCAAGACGTACCTTGGTGCGGGAGATTCTGGGCTTGACGACACGGGAGGTGGTCTTCTATATTCCAGAAAAAATCCAATGTCAGCCAGCGTCCATCATCTGCATAGTGTGCTTTGTCAAGTAGTGAAAGCAAGCAGCAGAGATTCTCCACGAGATGAGACGGTGAGAAGACTTTTTGTTCATATCCCTCCTCTTGCAGTTTTGTGATGTTGGGCTTCTTTTCGTTCTTCGTCTTCGTGTCGATATCTCGCTGATGCGGATCCGTTCCGACGGGTGGCGACGGAGAAATGCAATGGAAGGGAATCATCTTACGTGGCCGCGGTTGAGACCAACGGACAGGCCTGTGGGTGGGTGATGTTAGCAAAATGCGCAACGAGGTTGAGAAATTGACGGATTTTTGTTGCGAGCTCGATCGATGGAGCGCAGACATCGTAAGAAAATGAATTCCACATACCGGACTTGGCGGGAGCTTCCTTGGCCATCTTGTCTGATTGATGATGGTGCTGTTAGGTGGTGGTGTCGTTAGTATTTCGCGGGCTGAGGAGAGAAGAACTCAAGTCCGAAAAAAAGTTCACGATGGAGTTTTCGCAGCAGGTGGGTGAGTGGGTGCGACTGTTGGTGGTCCGAATATCAGCCGGCAGAGGCAGAGAGAGATTTGCGCTAAGTTTTGTGGCTAGACTTATTGTGGCTTTCTTTGTGGCTTCATCATTCTACCAGTTCTCGAATTGCTTCCGGGCCGGCGCCAGCTGCACGAGCTCCGTACGAAACATGAATACATGTCCCCAGCTCGGCTGTCGATTTCAAGATCCATTTGATAAAGAATCTTGATATGACTATCGAAATATTGTGGTATCTAAGGTATTCAATATCCTACAATCTAATGTAGATTATAATCTGTTTTTTGTTTCTGTACACGAACATGGCTGGTTTCAGAAGCACCTGCATATACCACGAATCTGAGGTCATTAACCAGCAAATACTTATCCTACATGTTTTCGACTCATACTGTTCAAACGGCGGCAGTTAGGTCTAAAATCTTGATGCCTTAGCGTCATCTATCCGCCATGACGATTTCTCTGGACCACTTCGTATGCTTCCTATACACGAGGCGTTGTGCATTAATGTGATTCGTAAGCAAAAAATCATCAAAGGGGCACAATTGTATAGTATCTACATGTTTGCGTAGTGCACCGAGTCGCTGGCAGAACAGCCAACTGTACTTCAATCGTGACTACCGGAGGTCCGTGGCAGTGTTTGATCAGTCACAATGCAATCCCTTCTGGCGTCGTCAACCCTGTATCGTATCGTTTGGTTGGCTCAACACGGATGGAGCACAAGTTGGCAACGCTCCTGTGAAGCCAACCTGGTGATACAAGGCTATGCCAAAGCACAAATCTTTTCCTGACGAGCTTGTCATGCTCGTGGGCCGGCAGGGTCGAGACCTTTCGGCATCCACAATAAGAACATTGCATTTGCTATTAGTACCTGCAGCATCTCTCAACACGTTGACACGTTCATAGTATAACACTGCCAAGGACAATGTGTTACCGCTTCTCTACTACTGACAGGCCGCACCGCAGCTAAAAGCAAGCAAAGCATTTGCATGAATACTATTCTTGCGCAGCCATCGAGCTGCCTCCCAGCCGTACCAGCCCCCCTGCTATCTTTTTGACTTGAAACTTGAAACAGTCCACCATGGCCTATCAAAGCAAGGACGCGGGACGGGTATTGTGGGCTATAATCGAGTATAGGCCGGGGTCAACCTGTGTTTCGGCTGCATTTTTATGGACCGTTCAATCTTAAAGCTCGCCGATCCAGATGGACAGACGGTCTGGTTTGGGTGAGATCTGAAGTGGGTTGTGCCGATAGGCCATGACGGAGCACTTCGGGCTGGCTCGATGACCCCTTTCGGACGACGGCTCGGACGACTGCGTCAGCGATCTGCATCCATGACCTGCATTTTGTGGCTTTTTGCAGGTACGTGGTGCCGTACTACCAACTTTGCCAGGCCATGGAAATGCCGGATTCAGTCGTTCTTGGCAGGGGAAGATCGAGAAACTAATGCGTCTAGAGAACGCTGCTTGTCTGCTATGGCGAATGGACGCCCGGCTGGCGGCCCAGCTCTCATGTAGGACCCGGAAAAAATGAAGTCGAGTGGGCGGGAAAGGACGCGTAAATTGTAATGTAGGATTTTGTGCCTGGCAGTGCTGTCCCCGTCTTTTCTTGTGGTTTATAAACGTGCACGGAACGGAGGGTCCTGAGATCATCCATCCACTGCCTAGATATAGCAGGTATCTTCCCTTTTCTGCAAAACACCACTCTTGCCCTTACTCGTCATTCTTCTTTTCTCTCTTTCTTATCAATCACAACTACAACGACCATCACCTCCCTCGTCTGCCCAAGCAAAAGGTAGCCTCACCATTGTCGGAACATCACATCACCAAATATGCGCTACTCTACCCTCGTCGTTGGCCTCCTGGCCGAGATCGCCTCTTCGGCGTTTGTCGCTCCCGTCGAGCTCGCTGCCTCTGCCTGCACACTGCCCTCTGAATTCACCATCAAGAGCTTCACAACCTTTAGCGAGCAAACAAACGGCACATATGACTCCATCTCGTTCCACTTCACAGACGCTGGCACCGGCATCGACACCAGTTGCGAGCAGAACTCGACTTCGGTATCCACAAGTCCCAATGGCGGTACTGCTCGGTACTATTGCGACGACGAAAACGTTCAATTCATCTACCAGACCACTGGGATCGTAGGATTGACAATGATTGAGAAGGCTTGTCCCGATAGGTAGTTTTACCCCTACATTGCCGTGTCTCCCTGACTTATTTCTGACATGTTTGATTTAGTGACTCGGGGGCAAAGTACGAGGCTTCTGGCAATGCTCAGTTTAACCTGACTTGCACAAGCGCCTACGGAGGCCAGACGTGTACGACTAATGTAACAACAACTGAGGAGTTCTCGGCCATCAACCCCATCAGCAGCTAATTTTCTTCATTTTGCTGTGGTTGTTCGGGAGTGGTGTCGAGATAATAGGATGTTTCAAGCCTAGTAATTGTATAATTGGTATCCAGACAGATGGCTCATAATGAGTAGCCACGAGCTTTCTGTTTGCAGCATCATTATAAACGCTGCGAGTACCTTTCGCTGGTCAACAAGAGTTGACGAGAATGAAATAAAAAGTAGTTATTGAATTCCAACATTCAATTTTTTCAAGTGTGATACTCGGAAAATCTCCCAGAGACAGTATGTTGATAATCATTATATCCCACATACAAAGAGTTTTGGTTGGTGGCTGTAGGAAACCCAAATGTGTGACGTTTATCACTATGCCTGATCCAGTAGCGCATTACGGCACCCCGCGTTGGCGCCAAGCCCCCCGTGAGCTTCCCCAGCATTTGGGGGCTTTCAGGTGATGCTAGCCCCAAAACAAGCTTGTTCCCATAAACGTTTTGGCACTGGACTAGGAATGGTCCTTCCTTTCCACTTCCCAACCATTCGATCACACGACTGCTCTTTTGTGGCAGTGACAGGCCATCATGAGCGCTTCAATCGGCTGCTCTGTGCTGTACTCCGACAATCGCAACTACGAGACCTAATACTGCCCAACGAACATAACCTCTGCTATTCCCTCAATCCTCCAAACCTCACAAGGACTCACTATGATTCGCAGTCACCTAGCGAGCTGTACCACGATACTGACATCATCGCAACTGTAACTTGCAAGCGTACGCTGAACAACAACCAAAAACATGGTGTCGACATTCTCGACGCTTCTGACGATCCTTCTGGTGGTCTGCCAGGCAGGTCTGATCCTGGCTTCACCGTCGCCCTCGTGGCCTCAACAACCTCTCGACGCGCAGGATAGTCGCCCGCACCACAAGAGTATATCCAACCACTTCTTCACCGCCCTCGAACGCTTATCACGACTTGTCGATATAGCCTATTGTGTTGGAACCACCGGCCTCTCTAGACCTTTTGAGTGCGCCTCACGCTGCAAGGACTTCCCAACGTTACAGCTGGTTACAACTTGGAACACGGGGGTCTTGATGAGCGATAGCTGCGGCTATATAGCGGTCGACCATGGCGCAAAGCTAGGGTCCAAACAGAACACGGAGCTGTATGGAAATGACAAGCAGGGTGCCATCATTGTTGCCTTTCGAGGAACCTACAGCATCACGAACACCGTGGTGGATCTGAGTACGATTCCACAGGAATACGTTCCATACCCATCCCCGGAAGACGGAGGCGACAGCCCCCCAAAAGAGCCTGAGCACAGGTGTCATAATTGTACTGTGCACATGGGTTTCTTGTCATCCTGGACTGTCGCGCGGGAAGCTGTTTTGCCTACTCTCAAGCCGCTGGTCGCTCAATATCCCAACTACCCCATTTACCTCATCGGGCACAGTCTAGGAGGCGCTGTAGCTGCGTTGGCTGCTCTGGAAATGAAGGTGATTCTGGGGTGGCATAATATCACGGTGACCACATTTGGAGAGCCCAGGGTGGGTAACGGTGGCTTTGTGCGATATCTGGACACCGTCTTCGAACTCAAAGACAATGCAACAGAACCGGAGGATTGGACATACCGACGGCTCACCCATGTCGACGATCCCGTACCCCTTCTACCGCTCCATGACTGGGGCTACAGATCGCATGCTGGCGAGATTTTCATCTCCAAACCCGACTTGGCTCCTGTACCTGAGGATATCTGGCCTTGTGTAGGCGATTATGACCCAGAGTGTGCTGCGGGATCCGAGGGTGAGACTGAGCTCTCGAGAATTGCTCGGGACGAACTTCTTGCTCTGAAGGAAGAAGATGGAGAGATGCGTGCAGAGAAGCGATGGGGTTTTCCAACAAGATTCAAGCTCTGGCAGCTTTTCTTTGCACATCGAGACTATTTTTGGCGCTTGGGCTTGTGTGTGCCGGGAGGAGACCCTTTCGACTGGGGTCGCGGCAGGTATCCTGACGGAAAGCAAACGGAATTGTAGTACTTATCTTGTGGAGTTGGTGTTCAGTCCTCTGGTCATTATATGTGTTGAGAAACTTTCAGCATCGGCGTTTCCTGAGTTTCGGGGTTACAATGGAGCCAGGCTGCGGCAAGCACTCAAGTATCTATAGGGGCACTCCTTGGAATAGTACCTGGCTAATGTTTATATCTTCAATAATTCCTTATGAAACTTGATGAGATATCATGATGAAAGCCTCGCTTCCCATGAGGTCTACTACTCATACTATATGCCATTGTACGTGAATGCCTGCCTATATCAGCGGATCGCCGTTGATCAAATGTTGGGGGCACCACGGCCGTAAGCGCTCCTGGCTCGTATTTTGTTTGATAGACTCGAATCTCCCACTTGGCATATTTACCCCTCGTATCATGGCTTTCCTCAAAGCATCTTTCACCACTTGCCATACAATAGTGTGCAGTTTCAAATTACGTTTAAGCAGTTTCACTTATGCGCTTCGTATGATCATGGATGGGTGTTTTGTATTATGGTTATGAGATTGAGGATTAAAAGCAATACTGACATGAGGCAATAGAGAGATCCAACAGACCCGGTGAAGATGCCAATGGTTTGAATGATCATATTCGAGGACTGTGGAATGCATACTGTCATTTACAAAGGATTAACATGTGACTTCTCTGCAACACTCCCAAGCATACGTACCCAACTTCCAAGAACATCCTATACAATGCAAACAAAGTTTATGAAAGGAATGAGCGGAAAAGTTGTGGGATATCTTGTTACTTCATCAATATTTGAAAGAATCAGATACATTAGTCGTCAAGAAGCACAAAATACGTGCTTGAGAAGTACGACGTATGGTTGTGCGAAGAAAGCTCTTGTAGTAAGTCGGAAGAGAGAGATGTACTAGTGTTGAGCACCGCGACCCTCAATGTATAAGGGTAATATGATACGCCACTTGTGGCTGGTCACTTGGGTAGTGTGGGTATCCGTATACAGCCTGATGGAGGCTATCATTGGTCATACGGGACGGCCGTCTACTTCCCGAGTGTGCGCATATCTTTAGTTCTTGACTTGGAGGAGCCATCTTTTAATGTTGCCTTCAGTTTCTTTGATGCCGTCGTATCCTAGTAACTGGTTAGGTAGGCACTTGTATAACCTAGTGGGTATCCACGTGTACGACGACTCAGAGACGTGTCGAATATAATCCGAGCCCGATGTCACATGCCGAATTCCCAAGGTTGCCTTTCCCACCTCAAACGAGGCGGAATTTTCTAAGGAATACGTACCAGTCCCTACATACGCTGGTTGATCTGATAAGCTAGTTGCTTTTTTCAAGGGGTCACTTGATAGCTGCACTGGTTCGGATTTCTCTTGTTCGCACACACAAGGAGAAAAAGGGTAAAAGCCCCAGCCAATAACCTTTACGTTCTGGCATGCTACCCAAAGACGTGACTGGGAGAGAGGGCCGCCAGCACAGCCGCCCATGTACCTACTCGGGGCGGACACGCGCGCAAGACACACACAGAGAACACCACCCACGTCTTTTTTTTTAAGGCCCAGTCGATGCCACGCGATAAGGCTGGGGGGTGTGGTGTGTCAAATGAGGGGTAGGTGGTAGGACAAGAGGGAAAAAGGCTATCCAAGTTTTGAAGAGAGAAAACCAAAAGTGCTTGTTTACTGCTTTGGGGCACGTGTGGTAAATTCGCAGCTGGCAGCTGGCTGTGCAGATAGGCAACGGCAGGGACGTTTACTAAATGTATGAATAATGCTGGTACGGAGTGATGCTTTGTTGGGTACTGCAAGTATCGGTGCTGGGCATATTTGCAATGGCAACGGCCCGCCTTTTTCATCATGACGCAAAGAACAGGGACGCAGCCCTCCTTTTTCTTCTTCTTCTTCTTTTTTTTTTTTTTTTTTTTTCATATTGTTTGCTTCAACTCAAACCGCCAGATGACACGAGGTAGTTCAAAAATTAGTATATCAGAGAAAGTTTCTTGGTTTAACAAGCATTGTGTTGATCTCTCAATGATTTCTGGTCTGGTAGATCGCCAGCTGGGGTCATCCCCCCAAGCTAAAGCACCAGACCACGATACCCTTTGACTTGTGCTTGCGGCATTGTTCCAAAGACTCGCCTGGAACTAATGGACCCTGGAAAACGCAAATCTCGCGATTTGGCTGGTAGGGAGAGACACCAGGAAAGGGGGGTGCCGGGTTTGTCCTGTCCTGTCCTTGCCCTGTGCCTGCACTGGGTCCCAAGGGTCGGAATAGGAGGATGATCCGTTCTTTGCTGGGCACCACCTCTCACAGTAGGTATGGTAATCGGCAGCAGCCTCGAGATCAAATATGAGCCTTCATCATTCAATACCGAGTCCGCTTGCTTGGGGACGGTGAGCGGGCTTGGCTTGGCTTTTTTGGTACATCAGGTCCCCACAACGCGCGTTGGTATTATTGCCTAGGAAGCACTAATAAGCAGGCTGATTAAAGCCCAGCTGCGGGGAGCTCCCGGGCGGCCTGGGTGCTAATCTTCCATGGAAGCCTTCAGAAGCTCGTAGGGAAACAAGTTGAGGGGACAATGATCTGGCATTTCTGGGTCCCCATTGTGTCCATGCCTTGTTCTGTAGATATGTAGGTAAGATCGGGTAGTAGGGGGTACATGATGTATCCAGCATCTACATGACCTAGAAAGTACGGTACATAGCTGTTCAAGCCTTTTGGAATGTGGCACTGAAAGATGAGCAATCGGCGGCAAAGAATGGAGCACGTACCTGAAATGCCCTTTACTATAGCAGAGGCATCAACTGGAACCACGGCTTCATGTCGACTTATTACCCAAGGTAAAAGTCACTAGGTTTCAGTATTTGAGAAAGAAATATCGGCGAGGCCATGTGATCTTGAGATTTTGGACAAGGGGGGAAACCGGGCGGAGGATTTGAGAGGGTGTATTTTATTTCAAGCCGGGCGAACGATTAGGTGAGGTTCAACATTTTCCCCATGATCTCCAGATGAACGAGAAGCGCAGAGATTTGTTATTGTAAGAATATTGCACGAGAAGAAGTCAGTCACACGAGGGAATGGCTTTTCCATGCCTTCTACGGGTGGCTAACGTACCTCTGGATACGACTGCCGGTCTATCATCATCAATGGCTTGACGTGCAAATGGGAAATGCTTTGAAGTGGCTGCCCCATTTTTGTAATTACCTAGTATCAGCTGCGGAAAGGGAAACCCCCTTTGCCCCTCTATTTGGCAGCGGCGAAGTGCGAGTGGGCAAAGACAGACAAGCCAGCTGGGCTTCGGCCTTTTGGGGGACACAGCTCAAAGGTTTTCTTTCTCTTCCTCTGGTCTCTTGGTGAAGGATAAGGTACAGACAACCAAGCGCCTAAAGGGTGGTTTTTTCACACAATCGGACGATGAGGGCACGCAGTGAGAAGGGTATGCAGTACGTAGGTAGTTAGTGTACTTTGTGCATGCAGTACAGATCCGAGCCATCAATGGAGAAGTGTGTGAAGGAGAGAGACGAGACTGGATTCTTGACCTGAGCTTGCCTTGGACATTGAACCACCCCTCCCCTCGCCCACACCCCCCCAAATTGTACCAGTGTTGGAACCCCCCCCTCCCCTCTTCGCCCAAAAAAGAACCCAAAGCAAAAAAATAATAATGCCTGTGCACTCATCACTTCTTTGGGCCTTGCCATTGTGGCTTCTGCTGGGCCCGCCAACCCGACCCGACGCTTGTTTCCTCCTCGTGTGAACTTGAACGACCTCCCAAGACTATCCCAATCCCGACCCATCAACAACATCAAGTAAATAATATCCTCCTCATCACTCACCCTCCACCACAGTCCATCTTCTTCGTCCCTTCTTTGACGACCCCCAATCCCAACTCTACACTCCTCTCTCTTTCTCTTCACTACCAATAAACATCATATCAAGATGGCTACTGAGGTACGTTCTGCTGCACTCCCTCTCCCTCTCCTTGTCTCCCCCCCAAGATAGCTGCCTCGCTTCGCCGCCCGGCATCCCCTTTCCTGCCCTCCTCCCCTTGCCTGCACTCTACTCTGAGCCGCTCTGGATCTGGCGCCAGCGCCGCTTATTCAATGTGTTCTTGCGACTTCACGTCCTACATGAATTTTGTGCACTCTGCTCACTCTCTGCAAATGCTAACATGATCTCCTATTCTAGCGCGAAAGGTTTGACTACCTACCCACGATGAACCAAGCAGAAAACCCGCGTGAGCCATGATTCTGACCCTTTTTACAGCAAGACTTTCCTCGCCCGCCTCTGCGAGCAGGCCGAGCGTTACGATGAGATGGTCACCTACATGAAGGAGGTCGCCCACCTGGACGGCGAGCTGACCGTGGATGAGCGCAACCTCCTCTCGGTCGCCTACAAGAACGTCGTCGGCACAAGACGTGCCTCGTGGCGCATCATCTCCTCCATTGAGCAGAAGGAGGAGTCCAAGGGCTCGGATAAGCACGTCTCCACCATCCGGGATTACCGCAACAAGATTGAGCTTGAGCTCGAGAAGGTTTGCCAGGATGTCCTTGACGTCTTGGACGAGAGCCTCATCCCCAAGGCCCAGTCTGGCGAGTCCAAGGTCTTCTACCACAAGATGTAAGCTACTTCATGTTCACCCCCACTCCCATTTACTGCAGACGGCTTACTTGTTTTCTTTCCACTTATCAGGAAGGGTGACTACCACCGTTACCTTGCCGAGTTCGCCTCCGGTGAGAAGCGCAAGACCGCTGCCACTGCTGCCCACGAGGCCTACAAGGTAAAGCGTCCTCAAAGATGAAGTATCTGAAATCATAAAACCGTGTGACTAATTTTGGATTGCTTCCCCCTTATTTAGAGCGCCACCGACGTCGCTCAGACTGAGCTCACCCCCACTCACCCCATCCGCCTCGGTCTTGCATTGAACTTCTCCGTCTTCTACTACGAGATTCTCAACTCGCCCGACCGTGCTTGCCACCTCGCCAAGCAGGCCTTTGATGATGCCATTGCTGAGCTCGACTCTCTCTCTGAGGAGTCTTACCGTGACAGCACTCTGATCATGCAGCTCCTGCGTGACAACCTTACCCTCTGGACCTCGTCCGACAACGCCGAGGGCGAGGGTGCCGCCGCTGAGGCCCCCAAGGAGGAGGAGAAGCCCGCTGAGGAGGAGAAGAAGGCCGAGGAGGCTCCCGCCGCTGCCCCTGAGTCCTAAGCGACTCTCACCACTCTCGATGTGCCTTCTCCCGCTATCTCTGGCCTGCTGACACATTCTTACGCGACTTATTTTGAGGTCAGGACTCGCGTCGATACCCGGCAGATATGGTTTTGCAACTTGTGGGATCGGTCAAGGATGGCATAATGGAGTTGGCTTTGTTGACAGGGGGGACGGAAGACCGCAGGCCATTTTCTCAATGGCCATTTCTTCCGGCGGGGAGCAGCAGCCAACGCGACGTTTACGCAAAAAAACAAAACAAAAAAAGTGTGTGCCCTTTGCTTGGCGGTAGCTCTCTGTCACGACAAAAGGTTCTCGTGTTCTCCCATGGCCTCGCAATCTGGCTAGCCTAAAAGGGCTCCTCAGAAAAAAAATTGTGATGGCCCGAGAGTTTTCTCGATCGTCAATATGGATTTCTTTTTCCCTCAATGTTTCCTCAGTTCTTGTTTTGTGTCTTGGTCTCACGATCCCCCCAAATGTTTGTTTTTTGTTTGACAACCCCAACCCGCACCACACACACACACACACACCTGGACTGGACATCTTGCGGCGGCGTCCTCGCGTACGACAGAGCTGGTGGTTGGCAAAACTCAATGGCCGTTGCTATCCGGACTCATTTGGTGGAATGGTTTTAGCAAGACGCGCCCAGCGGCTACCTCCATAGAACGTGCGATTACTTGTATCGTCGCTCTGCAGATGCACAGGCCACGGCTTCCACGCCCAGAGAATAAAAGAAAAAAAACTTACTCACTAAACAAACTGATTTTGATTGTTGCCATCTTATTGAAGAGGCACAGCTCGTGATTGCTAAGTATTGACTCGCTATACTTTGTGTTACAAAAATTTCACAAAACTGAACCACATGAAAGTCTTGAAAAGACTCCTCGAAACCACAAGTGAATAACAGCATTGATACCCATATGTAAGTCGTAGCGCAAAGGAACCTTCATAATCAGCCGCAGTCTTGTCTTCTGCTCTTTAACTTCCCACCATCTACCGTGTATATGTTCTAGGACCGTCCGTCTATGCAATGAGTGCAGGTCATTATCTTCCCATACGAAAGAAACTGATGGCATACGAGTCGTTTATCGTATATGTTCCTTACCTTCCACTGCTGTTCTCAATTCCGACAGATATAGTAGCAGCGACAGCTTTGAGCATCGGTCATTTGGATCTAGATGGCACCAAGCAGAAACGGCCATCTCCTAGTCGTTCATTTTCAAATGTTTCCTCTCTTCGTCCACGGTCATCGGACTGGGGATTGGGGAGGAGGGCTAGGCGGGATTTCACCCCTTCTTCTGTGTGTTCAACAGCTTCTGGGCCCTCCTCATCCGCGCCGCCGCATCGTCGAGCCTCAGTCTCGGTTTGCCATTCTTGGCCCCCTCGCCATCACTTGGCAGATCACCGTCCCTCAAAGACCCCGACGCCTCGTCGTCGGCCTCGTCTTGTCGGTACATTTGCGTAGCCGTCGTCACTGTTGCTGTTGCTGTTGCCCCGTTTCCGTGGCCCATTTTCCCTCTGCCCGTTCCTCCTCCTCCTCCTCCCTGCTGTGGAGAAGGGGCAGAAGGGGAGGCAGAGGAAGAAGAAAAGAATTTCTTGAAGAACGATGTCGGACCACCTACTCCTCCACCACCGGGAGACCCGGCGGATGATGACGATATTTCCGCACCTACTCCTCCGACGGCTTCCCCTTTCCGCCGGCGTATAGACCAGCGACCCTTTTCCCACCCGTGACCGCTGCTTGTAGATGATTGCTGTTGCTGTTGCCGTTGCCTTTGCTGCTCTAATACCTGATCCTCGTAACTGGTGCGACGACCGCAGCACCCACAATGCCGTTGCTGCTGCTGCTGTTGTTGCTGCTTCTTTTTTGTTGCAATTGTTATATTTGTTGCTGCTGCTGTCGCGGCCGCCGCCATGCCCATCTGCACCGACTCTGGGTGCTCGGAACAACTGCACACCACCTCGGACAAGTCAATCTCGGCCCGCCACCGGTCAATGCGCGAGCGCTTGGCTTCGCCGAGGAGTTGTCTGGCTACCGCGGTCATTTGGTGGTCCCGGGAGTGCTGGTCCGACGGTTTTATGGGCGCCGCTGCCGTGGGCGGCTTATTAGATTTTGTTGTTCCGCCGCCGCCCTCCTTTGTATTGCTGATCATCATGTGACTACCGCCCGTTCTCGTTGCGGCCGGGAGTAGTCCCACCTGCGGCGGCGATGCTGTAACCATGGCCATATTTGGATGATTTTTGTCTCTGGGTAATATGGAGGAAAGGGTAGATTATGTAGGTATGAAGGCAGAGGTAGTGTGATCATGTATGGGTGGTACAGGTCAAGGTAGGTCCGGCGCTTACGAGAGAGAGGAGGATTCCCCCTGGATTAAAAGAGAGAGAAAGAGAGCGCGAGAGGGATTTTGGCTTGTCTCTTCCTAAAACGACAAGAATAGGATCATGCAAAATTCACATTTCCCTTATTGTTTGCCTTATTTCTCCCGCACATGGGTCATACATTTTCTGATTTTGGCGGATTGACTTGCATGGTTCATGTGCTGCCCGGTAAAGGAGCGAGCGGGTAGAAGAAGCTAAAGAGGGAAACAAGGGGGAAAAAAGAACACCAAAAGGAAGCACAAGTGTTGGCGCGACGTCGCGGCTGTGATCCACCAGCTCCGGTGGGGACTCCGAACATTTTACTTATAAGTATTGCGCAAGTATGATACGATTTTTTCTTTTCTTCTTCATTCGTTTTTTCCTCAAGTCTGCTCGTGTCCTGATTTGTGCATGTGACATCGAGATATTTGGGCTTCCAATGTACGCACCGTCTTGGGCAATCTGCACGTATCAAGTCCTGTGGCCTCTCTATCTAAACTCACTCTTGATACTGCAGTCAATCATCATAAAAGTGGCGAGGAATCATCGGACAAAGAAAAGAAGGACCATGTTTGGGCATGCCCCGTTCCATGCGGGTTTCAATGTTTATATACTATTCTAGCTAGGCCGTAAAGTTTCCCAGCCATTCATCTCCCCACCTTCGTCATCCGCCAACAGATCTACTACTGGTTTTCTTGCGGGTTTTGGCGGAGGCATGGGTTGCGTTCTTTGTGGTATTTGCTGCTGCTGCTGCTGCTGCTGCTGCTGTATCGGACGTGTTGGCAGCGCAGGCTTCCGCTCGCCTAGTCCGGGTAGACTCACCCCGCCACTGAAGTGTCGAAATCCCATGCTTGCTCCTGTTTGCGTCGATGGCATAGTACCGACCCGTCTGGGTTGAGCGGGTGGAGGTGAGGTTTGGCGCATCCCTCCAGTCAAGCTACCAGAGCTGTTTTGCTCAAGCCTTGACGTGAGGCTCTGTATATTGGTTGAGGCTCTACGTGGCAGATTCGGTTGGAATCTAGCATCATCAAACTCATGGTCGCTCTGAAGAGAGGGACTTGTCGCCGGTGATAGCGATGCCAGATGAGCAGGCTTCTTTGCTACCGGTGGAGGTGCTTTCGATTTGGCTGATGTCCCAGATGCCTGAGAGGTCACAGAAGGACGCCTGGCTGGCGGTGGAGCCGGCACTGGTTTTCGCGAGTTGGTGGGAATTGGCTTTGGCATCGCTTGCGCTGCTGATGTTCCAGTCTGTCCAGTCTGGCGCCTGGGTGGAGGAGGTGGGGGTGTATCATCTCGTCTATAGTTTTGTCCAGCTGGTGCCTCGTCCATCAAATTCAGTCGTCCGACTTTAGCGGCTTCCAATGGCGGCGGCAATTTCCTGGGTGTCGTGCTGGAAGCAGATGTAGACAAGAGTGTTGAGTGGTTGATGTGTTCATAAGGTGAACTGGACATGCTGGAGAATGATCCTAGTCTTGAGCTGGCACGGGGTACTGAGACCCAGTCGGGTTCGTCAGTAGGAGTGAAAGGATTGGAAGTCCGGTTTGGGTTCAAGATAACCGTTGAACTACCATTAGTCGACTTGGGCGGTGACACACTAGACTGTGCCATCTTTCCGTGCTCTAACCACCATCTTTGGCGATCTGAACTTGCCGGTGGTAAGCCTGGTTCAATGGCATCATACCCAATCAAGTCCTCTTCATCAGACTCATCGATATTCAAAACAGAGCCCCCCTGCCCAAGCTCTGCTTTGCGACGCTGGTAAAGCCCATGGCTAATGTTCTCGCGTAGGTTCTCGTCAATGATGCTAACCATGCACTGGAAAGTTGCATAGACTGGGCGATGATCCGAGAACTTTAGCGGTGCAGAGTCATAAGACAGCTGTCGTATGTTGGTGCCTTTGCGCAATATGCGATCCGTCCAAGCAGGTATTCGTGCCTTTTCGGACGTGTCATATCTGTCCGTACCAATGTCGAACTTGTATGTGGGCATGAACGTGATCCTAGCCTCGGAATAAAAGGGAAAAGCCAGACCAGCCACCATTTGCAGGTTGAGCTGAGAGCTGTCAGCAGGGTCCTATGGCTATTTTCGACAAACATTAGACTCACCTGATCGTTCTCGTATAGTTTCCCTAGATCCTTCTTTTGCACAAGATCGGTAGCAATCTCATGACTCAACCCAATGCGGTAGTTGAAATCTCCCATCCAGATTACCGTGTCTACATGTGTCAATAGAGCAGTCACGACGCCGTGAGGGGGGCCGACTTACCATGATCATCAATGCCTCGGTTTCTCTGGAACCGAACGCCGTGATGGATCGTGGCGTAATCTTTATTTCTTTCCTCGTAGTTTGCAAAGCCGGCAGCCAAATGAGCCGTGACAAAGCACAACTGGGTGTTGGCATATTCCATGCGAATAGCCACTGCGCCCTTGTTGCCAGCAATGCCAGACATTCCGGTCTTCTTGACACTGCCCTCGACGTTTTTTATTTTCGACAGCACCGAAGCCTTTACAAAAATACAAAGCGCAGCTCCTACCAGCTGACCACTTCGGAGGAGGACGTACTTATCACCTCCCGTTTCATGCGCCCGGTCGTTCAAACAGCGTTTGATGGCCTTTTCCCATTCTTGTTTTCGCGTTGGATCACTGTTCATGATTTGCTGTGCACTCAGCTCAACAATCTCCTGAAACCCAACGGCGACTATCTCGGGTTGCATTGCCTTGCCAAGGATGGCGGGATGTAACCATGGTGAGAGGTCTTCATGGATGCCATTGGTTTTACCATTGAGGTTGAATGTGCCAACCCACCTCGGATCCAGTCAGCTGAGATACTGTAAGAATGCATGCAGCAGAGCACTTACATATTGATCGACTCGGTCGAAGAGTACTCACTGCTTCGCTTTGAGAGTTCTCCAGAAATGTAGTCCATGATGGGGTCAAAAAGGTGCACCGGGGATTGGCCAACCAATCTCCCTAGGAGCATATCGATAGTGTTTTGCCTCGCCTTGTCTGCAAAGTTGTTTATATATAGTCTGGTGGCGCTTTTCCGGGCATCAGCAAAGGCACCTGCCAATGACATCTTTCCATGTCTGGTGAATGACGTCTTGAGCGCACCAGTTCCAGCATAAATCCTGGACAGGGCATCGCCATTGTCAGCCCACAAGGTGGAGTGCCGCACCCAGAAGTCTGATGCGGCGTAGTCTGCACGATGGCTCAAGAATGACTCAACCGCCAGTTGGGATATAATTGTCTGAATCAAGTTTGTCCTGTCAAGACAATCCAAACAGTTTGTCCGGAAAACACCTTCTTGCTGCAAAACAACGACCATGCGGTTGCCGGTTCTGCGCTCTGGTGTTTGCTCGGCCGAGTCGTCCATCTCTTCGGCCAAAAAGTAGGCAAATCCATCAGCGGAATGCTCGATATATCTCCTAATATCCTTTGCCGCCTCATAGCCGATACTTTTGGTCTCTGCATGGAAGTCGTAATCTGTCACCCTTAGGAGGGCATGGTCTTGTGATCTTTTCTCTCCTTGGTAGGATAGATTGCAATGCTGGACTCCATAGTGGTATTGTTGTGTCAATTCCACTTCTCCTGGTTTAGAGGCGCTTAAGAGGTTGACAATGTGCACGGCGCCATACGACTGCTCTAATTCCTCAAAGTGTTTGTCAAAAGCAGGTTGGGTGCCCTCGGCGGACCGGGTCACGGCGATCTTTTGCTGGCCAGGAATAAGACCGGCAGCCTGTTCCCAGAATACTGGTACCGAGCCGCGGACCTGGGCATACGAGAATAGAACCCCAGAAGGACTCCAGTAGATAGTCTCGGTTTCGACAAAGTTGGCTACATTGCCGTCGTCATCAATGCCTCGACTGTTGAAGCGAGTACCGGCCCTTTTACAAGACAATCGTGAGATGACCGTCAGAAGCGAAGGAAGACCTGATCTTGTCGCACTCATTGGCGCAGCGGCTTGGGGGATATTCAGCGTCGAACAAAATCCTCGAATTGCCGAAGTCAGAATCCGCGATGCGTCCAAGGCTTCTCTTTCGTGTACTAGTAAACGTGATCTGAACTGCACCAGAGGACTGATCATGAAAGAGTTCCATAAAAAGGAGTCGTCAAAATTATCGATATCGAATGTGTCTGAGTCGACAGGTCTGCGCGAGTGTCAGTCTCTCTCTATTTGAATACTTGCACCCATCCGAGAGATACCAAAATATGGCTATCGTTTTGGGAGCGGCAGACCAACCTATCCTGAAGACGATTCGTAAGATCGAAATCTGTGCTAAAATAGAAACTTCCATTACTCAGGAGTTTCTGCAGTTCTTGATACGGGTATTCCATCTCTCCTTCTCTACGATTTAGTTGTTGGCCGTATGTCGATGAGTCGGAATAATCATTGTCCCAAGGGTTCGAGGTGAACACATTGTCGTACTCAGCACTGTTGAGACAGTAGAAGTCGACATTGGCAATTCTTTCGACCGTCTCTCCTGGCCGAACCGAGGCGACTCGGGAAGCCTGGGTGATGACGGATATGAAGACATCCGGACCGATCGAGATGAGGCCCAAGGTTCCAAATATTGGCTGAGGCGTCAAAGGTCGGAAGTCTTTCAGAAGCTCGTCTGTCCTATGGGAGAACTCAACCATGCACTTGGACACCAAGGCCTCGGGGTCGTTCCTAGATCTTGTAGTGCCATCGTTCACGGCATCGTTCGAGGTTGGACTATAGCGGAAGATTAAGGCGTGCGACGAGGAAACAATTGCGATGGCGCGGTGAGGGTATTCGCGGATCAGGAGTCGACTCGACTTTTCGGTTGCTGGCTGGTCGCGTTCAGCAGCGCGAGGGTATTGATCCATGCTCTTTCTTCTATTGCCAGGTCGGCGGCGGCGGCAGCATCACGGGGGTCGCAGATTCGGTGGTTTCCCAACGTGTGCTCAAGCTGTTTCGGCGCAGCTTCCCATGCGAGCGACAAGGCACCTTCTCCGACAGTGCATGTGCAACCAAGACAGGTAAGCAGTCGTCTGTAAGCGCCGGCGTTTGTCAGTCTGGCTTCTGGGCGGGTTTGATTATTACGACCTGAATGTTTAATTGAGAGGTTCAACGTCACTGGTGGGGCTGGTCTACTCCTAGCTTAATTGTGCTGCAACACGGGGGGTTTTTGGACCCCCTTGTTCCCCCTAACACTACCCAACTTTGGCTGCCCAAAACCTCTAATGAATTGCATGGCAATAGGTATGGCATTGTGCCTCGATTGGCGAATGACCAGTAGCCACTATTCACATTTTAAGCACCATCAAGCACATTCATTATCAAGTGCTGTCATTGGTTTTGTGCTCAGCAATCAGATATGCTCGGCATACCTGCCACATTTCGAGCATCACAGAGCTCCTCTGTCCATGTATTTGAGCACTGCTCTTACTGCAATCTCAGGTAACCCATATCTTGGGTGTTACAAAAGCGTGGAATTAGGCCATCACCGTCACAGCTGGTATCCTCGGCTGGGCAAGTAGATGAATTTGGGTGGTCTCTTCACGAATTGGCAGGTGACTCCTGTGTCCTCACTAACAAAAACTCTCCCGGGCAAGGGGGAAAAGGTGGTCGGGCACACATATCGTTTTTTATGAACCTTCACCAGGACAGACATGCATGGTAAGCATGGAGCATTCGAGTTGAATACTAGATTATTGCCGGTATCCATTTGAAAGAATTGAGTGTTGCAATCTCGAACAGTATTAAGAGGCTTCAGACTTGTGTCATGTTGAGATCATACGGCACACTGCCGTCTCTCTCTTCCTATTTTATTGAATATAGATACTTTTTGTATCCATATTGTTCATCACCAGCCAACTGTGAGATTGCACATTTTCAAAATTGGTAGCGCCCTCACTTGAGGTGTACATGGGAACTAAATCATGGGGGAACGCATGTGGTTTTGTAACAGACTGCCATCAGTAGTAGACCATAGCAGGAGCAAGATTTCTACCTGGCTGATGTCGTTCCCCAGTATAGGAGAGTTGCCTCAAGCACCAGAATACTTACCAAGACGTCTGTTTGCGTAGAATCAGCCGCCATCCTGATGCACAGTTGAACAGTACCAGGCCAATTTCCTCAATGACTCGACGGTTCTAGCCGAAGCTCATCCATCCAACTCAGCCGTTGGGCATATGTGGAAATGACAGATACACAGTCCAGGCAGTTGAGTGTATTTGAGAAAATCCGGGAAGAGTGAAAACGATTTGTGTGGTCTCCCTCTTGGAGTGGAAAGCGTCGAAAAGTTTTTCTTTAAAGGAAAGCAAAGGCCCACAGCTAAGGCTGGTGGGGAGCGAGCGCCACAAGATGGTGCTGAGCACTGGCGCAAGCCTTACACACAAGGACAGCGAAGGAGTGGGTGGATATGTGGCTGATGCTGGTCCCTTAGGTGCCTGCAAAGAGAAGAGGTTGCGCTCCCCACCTGCATTAAGATATGGGCGGCGCGACCGTCAGCGCGCGCGCATTCTCGTCTGAACTCCTTTAGATCTGCGCCCAGACTTTTGAAGAAAGCCGAAGCCTTCTGCGCCTTCTCAGCCCTTCCACTGTCCTTGTCAAAACCTCACATCGTGGGCTCCTTCATAGTCCTAACAAAATTGTCGAGGCATCAATCGGCGAGCATATTTATCTTTTGCGACGATTTGAAAAAGTTTCGTGTCGAAGCCCTCTCCTTCGCAAGCTGCATAAAGACACTACCCATTCCCAGCCTCGTCGTCGCAATCCTCGGCCTGGATAATCAGAGCGACGCCTACCCGCATCACCACTCTCCTCTTCTCGCTTCTTCGATCACGAACGCATCTCATCGACAATGTCCGACTTCTCGCAATACGGCGGTGATGCCGAAGAGAACGCCGAGATCAAGAAACTTACTGCCGAAGTTGTACGTGCCCCGACATACCAGCTGCAACGCAGCGCATCTGCAGCAATCATCACCTATCGCAAGTACATAAACTGATTGTTTCTTTTCTGTGCACAGGAAGTCGACACCGATAGCTTTGAGGCATGGGAGAAGCTCATTCGCGCCTGTGAGGCTCAAGAGGGAGGTCTCAACCGAAACTCCAGTCCACAGGCTCTATCCACGCTCCGTGATGTCTACGACCGATTTCTTCTCAAGTTTCCCCTGCTTTTTGGGTACTGGAAGAAGTATGCCGACCTTGAATTTAACATATCAGGGCCGGAGTCGGCTGAGATGGTAAGTACACAGCTTGGATGGGTATCATGAAAAGAGGAGCAATGCAGACTGACAGGTGCACAGATCTACGAGCGCGGCTGCGCCAGTATCACAAACTGCGTGGATCTTTGGGCGTCATATTGCTCATTCAAGATGGAGACAACCCATACTCCGCACTTGGTGAGAGAGTAAGTAAAGATGGAACCTTTCCTTCCCCTTTAACCAAAATCACCGAGCAGCTTCACGCGCGACAAAGCACAATGTGGCTTTAGCCCTCCGGGGTAACCTTCACAAACACACCTAGCAAAGTCATGACGGTGAGAAATACCAACAAACCACACTTATTGTTGGGGGCTTTCTCACAAAACGTACTCAGGCTCTGGTTTTTTCTATCAGTCGTCAATATGGCATGACGCCCTCACCCGTGGCATTCTTCCTGGTCTACCTAGAACCGTTCGGCTTGTTTTGGATCCGGCACCGCTGCTTACACAGACTGCCCCTTCCTGTATTACACTCCTTTCCAAACCCCCAGCACTCGAATCCCTCTCCCTTGGCATGATCTTTGGCTGACTCGTCTCTAGACTGTTCGAACGCGCAGCAAACTGCGTGGGTCTTGACTTTCTGGCGCATCCGTTCTGGGACAAGTACATTGAGTACGAGGAAAGGCAGGAGGCACATGATAAGATCTTTGCCATTCTCCAACGCGTGATCCACATCCCCATGCACCAGTATGCTCGATACTTTGAGCGTTTCCGGCAGCTGGCCCACAGCCGACCCCTTGCTGAACTGGTGCCGGCAGATGAGTTGGCACGCTTGCGAGCCGAAGTCGAGGCTGAAGGTGCGGCTTATGGTGGCATGCCCAAGCAGGAGCTCGAAATTGAGCGCGACATTCGTGCAAAGATCGACACCTTCTACTATGATATCTTCCGCCAGACCCAGGAGGAAACCACGAAGAGATGGACCTACGAGTCTGAGATCAAGCGACCGTACTTCCACGTGACGGAACTCGAGAACCCACAGATGGCCAATTGGCGCAAATACCTCGACTTTGAAGAGTCGGAAGGTGATTTTGCCAGAATTACCTTCCTGTACGAGCGTTGCCTCGTCACGTGTGCACTGTATGACGAGTTCTGGTTCCGGTATGCCCAGTGGATGGGTTCCCAGCCTGGCAAGGAGGAGGAGGTGCGTCATATTTACATGCGCGCTGCTACAATTTTTGTACCTATCAGCCGTCCTGGGATCAGGCTGCAGTTCGCATACTTTGAGGAGTCGCAAGGCCGTGTTGACATAGCCCGCGATATCCACGAAGCTGTGTTGATGCAGCTTCCAGATTGCGTCGAGGCCATTATCTCGTGGGCCAACCTCCAGAGACGCCAAAGTGGTCTCGATGCTGCCATTGAAATCTACAAGGCACAGATTGACTCGCCGAATATTGACATATTCACCAAGGCGGTCCTGGTAACGCAGTGGGCATTCCTGTTGTGGAAGATCAAAGGTTCTGTGGATGAGGCGAGAATAGTGTTTGCCAAGAACGTGCAGTGGTATGCCGATAGCCGGCACTTTTGGAAGAAGTGGCTGGAATTCGAATTGGAACAGCCGACAAATGCAGAACTCGAGGCCCAGCACTCGGAGCGTATACAGCGGGTTTTCGACGATCTGCGAGTTAAGAGCCGCATTTCTGCCGCAGCCAAGAAGAGTCTGTATTTGACATACATGGCATACCTCCAGGAGAGGGGTGGCAAGGATGCTATGAAGCAATTCCTTGCACTCGATCGTGAAATCTATGGGTTAGTGATAAGCCTGGACCCAAGACAAGACAGCGTTCAAGAACGTCATGCTAACTATCCATAGTCCCACATCCACCTCAGTACTCAGCAAGCCAGCGTTGAAGGAGAATGGCTCGATGCGTGCACCATTGGACGATGCCACTCGCCTCAAGGCTGAGAGTACTTACCCCATGTATTATGAGTTCATTGCGGAGGCCGACGCGGACGCTCCCGGAACTGCATCATTCAATTAGCAGCAGAAGCCACGACTTCACTTATTTCTCCTGGCATGGGCGCTGCGGAAGTGAGCCACACTCGCACGGTGGCAACGTGTATAGTGAGATTGTTCGCAATTTCCGTGCTTTCATGGTATCATATTTAAATGGGTTTTCAGAGATGTATTGAGAAATGGGTCAGAGAAAGAGAGAGAGAGAGAGAGAGAAAAGAAAAAGTATTATCAGCCTGGCAGAAAGTCGGGACTTGGAGTTGTAGGAGTCCAACATTCGGGAACCGTTCTTGGACTATAAAATGCATGTATACTCGTTTTATCAAGTCCGTATAATATACGTGTAACACTTGTAAGCCATACGCCCAATCAATCGTGATGATATTGCTTCGAGGGCGTATTTCATACTCGAACATTGTGCAATGAGTTGGTGATCTGCTCAGCCTGGTCAGATTGTGGGGGAGAGGTCTGCTATCGTCTGCCTGTGTCCCGTGTCCTGGTGTCGAATATAAGAGTCCCTGACTCGCTCATTGCCACGGCATCTCAAGACGACTGCGTGGCATTTGAAACTGGGTGGGTCAGGATCCTGGAACCGAGCGCAGCCGCGGAAGAGCTTGAGGTTCCGAAAGGCGGCGGTTGAGGGTCCGTTCCGGTCACGATTCATGGCTTTCACAGGCAGGTGGTTAGTCAGGAGAAAGTCTTGCTTAGGCAAACACACAAACACAATCTGACTATTATTTGTCGGGTCGCCGCATGTTGATGTTGTCAGCTTGGGTCGGGGTATTCCATCAGCGAGTGAGACAAAGAATGATTATTCCGTGACTGTGACATGACATCCATCTTGCCGTAATTCGCCCGAGGGGCCTTTTTTTTTCGTCCATGTTATTAGTGTTGGGTAGTACGTAACATGATTTTTGCCAGCACATGTGCGTATAAGGTTGGCTACATGTACATTTCCACACACTAGATACTATCCTGTGGGTGATATTCCGTACTAATTCGAGGGCAATGATTGGCGATCTGACCAAAGCTGACATTTGAAAAAGTACCTTCACTCCACAGAATTGCCTCGTTTTGATGATGTGGAATCATTGACTCGTCAGTTGAGTAGTACCCAACCGCGGGGACCCATAATACCCACGCCTGGTTGCCTGGCTTGCCTGGAGAGAAAGAATGGAGCCTCGAGAGCTGGAGAGTCTGGAGAAGGCAGAGGGTGGAAATTCGGAAACTTGACCGGGTGGATTCGTTTTAGTAGTTTTCGCCGCTTTTTTTCATCCATGATTCCAATGGCGCAACTTCCATCTGTAATCAGGGCGGGTCAATCTAGGGGTCCCAGCTAGTCCCTGGCTCCCCCTTCTGACCAATCACGGCTCTCGTATATTCGGTGCTCGCCAGATGCCTCGATAAGACATGACTTTTTACCCTTCTGGTCCTCGTTTGACATTTCAAATCGCGTTTGTCTTTCCTTCCGTCGAGAATTTGTGAATTTCCTGCCTTTGGCGATAGCTTCAGATATCCTTCATTGTCGCGCGCACACACACTCTTTCCATCTCCCTTCCGTAAAGCACATAGACAACAAGGTAAGCCACCAATCTGTACCTTTTATACTCACCTCGAACTCTCGCCTTTTCTCTTTCCCATTTCGATTCTCCACATCATACCATCCCGACCCGATCCGATTATTAACTTGCCCCTCCGAGCAGATGTCTGCCGCCAACGTTTCTCGGCAGTTCGCCCGCGCAGCTCTGCGTACCGGAGCTCGCAACACGTTTGCAACCTCGTCTCGCCAGGCTTTCCGCCAGAACGGCCGTCGTTTCTACTCCTCCGAGGCCCCTCAAAAGTCCAGCTCGTCGGCACTCCTCTATGTTGCTGGTGCTGCCGTCGTCGGTGGCGCTGGTTTCTACCTCTTCAACTCTAGCAGCTCCGCCTCGGTCAAGACCTTTGTGCCCACCCAGGCCGACTACCAGAAGGTGTACAACGAAATTGCTGGTCGTCTGGAGGAGAAGGATGACTACGATGATGGCAGCTACGGCCCCGTCCTCGTCCGTCTCGCTTGGCACGCTTCCGGTACCTACGACAAGGAGACTGGCACTGGTGGTAGCAACGGTGCTACCATGAGATTTGCCCCCGAGTCTGACCACGGCGCCAATGCCGGTCTCAAGCACGCCCGAGACTTCCTTGAGCCTGTCAAGGGTGAGCTTACATTCCTGGCCAATTCTTGCGTGAAAGACCGGATATACTAACATTTGACTTTGTAGAGAAATTCCCTTGGATCACTTACTCTGATCTCTGGACCCTTGCCGGTGTTGCTGCCATTCAAGAGATGCAAGGTCCTACCATCCCTTGGCGCCCTGGCCGCGCCGATGGAGATGTCGCTGCCTGCACCCCTGATGGTCGTCTGCCCGATGCCGCCCAGGGCACCAAGCACCTGCGCGACATCTTTTACCGCATGGGCTTCAACGACCAGGAGATTGTCGCCCTCGCTGGCGCCCACGCCCTCGGTCGCTGCCACACTGACCGCTCCGGCTTCGACGGTCCCTGGACCTTTTCCCCCACCGTCCTGACCAACGATTACTACACCCTGCTGCTCAGCGAGAAGTGGAACGTTCGCAAGTGGGATGGTCCCAAGCAGTTCCAGGACAAGGGCAAGACTCTGATGATGTTGCCCGCCGACGTTGCCCTCATTGAGGACAAGGCCATGAAGCCCTACGTCCAAAAGTACGCCAAGGACAACGACGCCTTCTTCAAGGACTTTAGCTCCGTCATTGTCAAGCTCTTTGAGCTCGGCGTCCCCTTCAAGGAGGGCACTGAGAGTTTCACTCTCAAGCCTACCAACGCATAAGAAGCATGCGTGAGAAATGAGAAGATGGCGATGAGACTTGAAATGAGTTAGAAATACCCCCATTAGAGGACGCCATGTAAGAATTATGTGGCGGTAGATCAAAGTTTAGACTCTTAGATCAGCGGTGCCCACAGCTGCGGCACACGTATCCCATAGAGGAGGAAGAAGAAGCAGTGGCTGGCATTTTGCACCTCGAGCCGACCGGAAAGTTAGTCGAGGTTGTATGTTTTTTTCCAAAAGAAGAGTTGATTTAGCGTAGACTCGAAGACTTTTGCCGAGATCGATACAAGGATCAAGAACAATTTGATTTGTCTGTACCAACCAAAAGGCTATCCCTGACAATTCCAATGGGTGAAGTGAACGTCTCCAATGTGCACGACTCCAACTCCCCAAGGAGGACTCTGGTCAACCTTAAATACGCACAATGTAGTATAGGGAACCCCCCTCCCCCTTTCCCCGCATGGCTGTGCGTAGCGAGGCTATTGATTTCCATTCGGTTTCATTAAACCTTGGACATAACGACCCCATGTCTAGCAGTATACTTCTTGGTTTCTATCTAAGTAGCGAAGCTGCCCTGTGGACTGTCACGGTCCGTATACAGGGATTGCACCTTGACATAGAGTATGTCGATCAACGTATAATTCTTACCATGCACTCGACCTTTACCGTCCGCAATCACATGATTGGAGAGATTCGCAATGGCGAGAGTATCTGGATTTTTGACATGTTGTATCTTATTCACCATGATATCTTGAGAAAATGTGGTTCCATTCTTACCGACTACATATACAGCAAGCATCACGGTTCGATGGCCGAGCTTGGAAGTAACGAGCAACACTCGGCGTCCATGTGCAAGGCATGGATCGATGATCATGCGGTGCTTAAGCTTACAAGGCACAATTGTTGCCCACGGCCTCTCTTTTACATCTTGACAATCATCCTCCTGTTGTTTGCCCATCCCCGAAGAGCTCTTGGCGCCGAGATCATCCTACGTGACCTGTCATCGTCGCCATGGCTAGCCGCCATCAACAATTGTCAATTTTGTTTTGTCATGGTTTTACATTGCATTTGTCCCTCTCTTAGTCCAAGCTTAGACTAGCAATAAACAACTTGTCCTTGATTTCTACCGATGACGCTGGATCCAAATACTCGGCACAAAGACGCTTGGTTTTATGACCCTTCTTGACAATATCCGGTTCAGGCCTTTTGCTACTCGGTGTTTATCCTCCTTTGCAGAATGTCTAGTGGACTTGCCCAAGATCAACCACCAGATGCGCGTGAAGATGTCCAAGTGAATAGTCAACACCGTTTCTTGCCCTCCTTATTCGGCACATACTTGTCGTCTTGCAGCACAACATGTACTGTCCATGCATGTGATGAGACGATCCAATCCAATGAATCCTGTATGACTGCGAGGCAAAGTTCTGACCTTTGCTTATAGAATAGACCGTCCGACCACTCGCTCCTGCAACGCCAATCATCTTTCATGGGAATCCACATCCTTCCAGCATAGCGTCAGTGCCGGCTAGTGTTGGGAATGCGCTTCATAAAGACGAGCCCGCTGTGAGCATCATGGCTCCTATGAGCAACGAGTTGGCAGCCCTGCAAATGATCACAGCACTCTGCGACGGGCATGACACACACCTGAATCTGCGATCCAAAGCCATTACCTTTGTCGCAAAAATCGCGCGATCGGACCCGATGACTACAAGTTTTCAACAATAGATCTAGAAACTCTCCCATCCAAGTCTGCGCGGATGCCAGCGCCCCCCTCTGGCACCCGTAGTCAGCCTCATTGGTGTTACCAGAGTAGAACGCCCATTGCAACCTCCAGACCACCAGACTTGGAATGAATTCGAGTCCCTGCTCAGGATTAAAATGAGGTCGGTACTACAGTGCGCATTTGCCCATCAGCACACGACGCTTATTGAAAGTGCTATTCATGATGGCCCCTTGAGAAACTTGCCACAAACGTGGCTCGCGTGGCCGAATGTTGGATAGAAGTCGCGTGCGAGCCTGAATTACACCACAAATTTCAAGAATTCTGTTTCGTGTCGGAGGACAATATCGCCTGTTTGAATTCCGCTCGCTGTATTTTCCCCTAGTATATTTATCTTTACCACCAAGCAGACGAGGCTACCAAATAATTCTATAACCTCTACCTTTTGTTAGTCTTATTGCAACCATGTCCTGCCAGAGTCACTTGCCGCTCTTCATGACAATACAACAATGTATATAGAACGAGTTTTTGGAGGATCTCTGTACAAGACGTAATAAAGAAGCCCCGGGGCCTATGTAAACTTTGTCTTTTATCAATCTTGCAATTCTCCTTGGTCTCCTCCTTCCACCGGCGAGGGTTGAGGGGAGCAAACAATCCTGTTATGCACGACCGAACGCGATATCTCTTGATCGCTTGCATAATGTCAAAGAATGCCGATATCGAGGCGCCCTGACACTGATAAAGCCCGGGCTCATTGCAATCGCATGTGATGAGGTCACCATGTCGTTGCGATATTGCGATCAAGACCTTTTTTTTTTTTCCCCCTCGGCTAGGGATGCAAACAAAACGTCCCGTTAATACAAGGCGGCAGAGCAAGACAAAAACTGGTGACGGCATAGCGGTCAAATCGGTTAAGCTTATGTAGGCGGAAAGCACAAACAGTAAAGCATTTGAAGAGTTTAAGGTTACAGCAAAGCAAACAGATAAAGGCAGGATCCCGGTTTGCCGGAGTCGGGTACATATCAAGGTTCAAGACGGTGAAGACGGGTGTGTTTTCTTGAATTATGCACAAGCCAGTGAGAGCCTGGCCAAAGGAAAAATGACAACAACCCATGGCAAAATGCTTGGTATCTCTCTTTCCATGCTCCAAGTGCCAATCATAGGTAGCTACGTTGCTCAGACGACGTAATGCGTTCCTCGTGGAAATGTACCTCAAGCAAAGTTCTGACAAAAACAAACAACTCTTTTTTAGAAGATAAAAAAGACCTTTCAAAATTAAAACCCTTGGGGGATCTCTTCGAGATTGTCCCCCTGATCGCCCCCGTCGAGGATCAGATTTGGGCCAAAAGTAGTACATGTACTCTATAAGCCCTTCGCAGTCCAGCTGAGGAACAGAAGGTGTGCCAATTTTCATCCTTCTGATGCATGGCGTGATTGTACAAATCCGAAGTGGCGAAAACCGACCGACCCCTTCTCTTTTTGTGAGGGGTCATCCATTTGGTATCATATGAGCCTGTGGGAAAAAAAACAACCGTTGTGAACACCTCTATCCCTTGTCCCAATGTTGCTGTTGTTGTCGTCGTTGGCGCCGTGTCGATATTCGTGACAAAATTTAGATGGAAAATAGAACAATTTCTCCCCGGTCATTACGTCGCATCCGCAACGACCGCCAGAGCTCCTTTTCCTCCAGCACCTTGCCCAAGCTTGATTCCGACGACAGCCGCTCACGATGGAAGCGCTTCAAGGCCTTGTTCACGCTGTAGCCTCGTGCGCTCTTCTCGTCCTTTGTACACATGCTCAGGAAGAGCTCAGACCTGGGCTTGAATACCACCATTTGGTCATTGCCACTGTTGCCGTCGCCACCCTGGGGACGGTACTCGATCAGTTTCGGGGCCTTCTCCGAGTCCGTCTTGGAATGCTTCTTCTTCGTCTTCTTCTCCTTTCGTTCTGATGAGTGCTTTCGCTTCTTCGAGACCTTGCTCGCCTTTGATGTGCCCGACATCAAAGCCTTGAGATTGCTCCCGAGTGATTCCGTGCGGCTGGTCTTGCTTGACTTGTGTTGCTTGGACTTCTTGATCGGGCTTGCTGGTGAATGTTCGCCGCCATCACCCCCAGAGTAGTCGGGCGATGGGGGGAATTGTGAAGGGCGCATGAGCCCCTTAAGTCCACCAGTGAGGCCCGAGTGAAGCTCTGGCGGCGGCGCATCAATCATCATCTCATCACTTGGTCCGTTGTCAATGGCCAAAGGACTGTTGGTCTCAATGTGCAAGCGCTTGCGCTTCCTGTCCTTCTTCTCACCATCCTTGGACTTCTTGCTCTTGGGAGCAGGCGTCTCGTACTGGGTGGGAACAGGTACCATGTCCTCATCGTCGACCATGTAGCCAGTCGGGTCGACAAAGTTATTGGCCTCCTTTTCAAAACGAACTAGCTGCGTCTCCTCATTGTGACTCGGGAGGTTCAGGTTAGAGGCATTGGGAGTAGCGGCGACGAGAAAGTCAAACACATTTACGCTGTTATCGACAGCTGGGGGCGGTGTTGGCGCCTCTGGTGGCAGGTCTGCCGCCGACTTGTTGTCGTCATCAGATTCATGGATCTCGTAGTCTTGGTATGCCTCGTATTCCTCCGCAATGTCCTCAACATATGCGTGTTGCGACATCTTCTTGGGTTCCGCCGCTGGAGGCGCTGATGAGGCTTGCTGGCCAGACTTTTGCTTCTTGGGTTTGTATAGAGCTCCCTGGTATTTTTGTTCCTCTGTCATACAAGACTGGCGGCATGTTAGATAGCTGAGCGTTGGTCAGGGGAAATGCGCTGCGCCTGCGCGGGCACCTACCGTATGCGAGCGGTACTCCGCGCCGGGAAAGTAGGTCATGCAGTCAATACACGTGAAAGTGGCGCCGCGACAACGATTCCTGTGTGGGTCGAGTTTCTTCTTCGTCAGAACATCACCACAGTTCTGTGGATTATATGAGTTAGATTTTTGTCAACAGAACAACAAGAGCGGCAGATTAGTAGTAGAGAAAGAGATATGCATGCAAGTGGGTGGATTGATAGAATAAACGAGGACACCAGGATTGGGTGACAAAGGGGGGTGTATCATCTCTGGTTGGAGGGGCAGAGGGGTGAAACTGATCAGGAGACGGGACGACAGCAGATATTAAAAAGGGAAACAGTGCCGGCAATTGGGGTGGGATCAGTGACGGGATATGACGATGATCAGTACCCAGTGCAGCAGCAGCGAGCTGAGAGGAATGAAAGACGGGAAATGGGGGATAGATGGAGGGGTGGCGTAACGCGCAACGCCGTGTGTTGGTTAAAGCAGGTGATGGTGTTGGGCAGGGAGGCGGAGGAGTACGTTAATGTCAGGCATTAAACGATAGAGTGTGTAGTAAGTAGCTACTGCTAGGTACATGGCTGACTATTATGGACTGGGGGAAGCAGAGGGGTATAGTTACCTCACACGAGAATGAAACCATGATTCTAAATGGTCTTGGACTGACGCGCAGTCGGGGAATAAGATTCTGATTGGCGCTGGTGGTGAACAATTTCCTTTGTGTTGTTTGTCGTGACTTGGGGATGTTTTGATGTCTTCTGCCGAGTGGACTTGCAGATGAGACAGCCGTCCGATGAGTGGACGAGAGAGTGTTCAGTGCAGAGAACAGAACAGGGGAAAAAAAAAAAGTCCTGTTCCTGTCTGGCGGATGACCAAATGCGGCAGCCTTTGATAGAGGGCGAGAGAGGTCGAGAGTGCGGTACGACAACAAAACGTCCAGATTCCTTCCTGTTCGAGTAGGCGACAAGGAAAAGAGGATTCCCGAGAGACGGACCCAGGTGCCACAAGGGCGATTTGCGACCACCAAAAACTAAGATGCCGATAGTGGGCTCCGTCCAAAGGAATGGACGCGTACTGTATACGGTTTTGTGTCCTGGACTGGAGTGACTGGAGGTTTGCAAGGGCGAACGCGTGCAACGGGGTCGAGTCAGGTGGGTGCTGGACTATAACACAAACACCTTCCTTGATGTCTGCTATTCCGGCTGGATGGTGACTAGTCTGGGAGATCCAAGGCGGACTATCCTGCGCAAGCTTGGGTGACCCCGGGTTTGATGTTTGCTGATCCGCGAATGACTAGGTATGGATCCGAGAGATTCTAGGCAAAAAAGCAACTATGTTGTGCAGTAGTAAAAGGAGAGTTGAGTGTTGTATCCGCAGGACCAGAGGTAGCCAGGAATAGAGGTAGATACGAGGGCGCGCAAAGCCCATGATCTGATGCTTGGGGTTTGTTTTTAGAAACTAGAGCCAAGCCAGGGACCACTTTGGCAGTGTACCGACGACCTACGTGCTTGGACGTGTGTGGTCGAGGAATCCCGCTGCAACGAGTAGTAATAATAAAGCCACGCCGAGTATGTTTCGATGAACTCGGGGTCCGGGGGGGGGTTGTTCGTCAGAGTCAGCAGGGTCGCTATTCCAGAACTGGAGAACTGGAGAGCTGAAAATCCAACGACACCGAAAGGGCTGGATTGGGCTGGGCAAGCTGAAGAGAAGGACTACTTCTCTCAAGTGCAAAAACGAGATCAGGCCGAGTAGATCTGTAAAGAAATTGGGTCGACGATGGGATGCGCGCAGCTTGTGACGGGCCCAAAACACAGAGGAGGGAAAAAAAAGGTTGAATAATTATTTTTTTTGTTTACGAAAATTTGAGTGTGGAAAGATTTCTTCACGGTAGCTACGGTAGCGTTGGGCGCCGATGCGTCTACTGCAGCATCTGCATAGAGGA